ACAGGAGGTTTTAGGCTTTTCTGCTTTCATAGTAACAGATAAAGGAAGATTATAATCTTAGTTTCCCAGTGAATCATTTTCAGTATTTTCCGCATATTCATTTTTCTTCTGAAGATCCCTGTGAGAATATCTTGTAATCTGTGCATGAGTACATCAGACAAAAGGCAATAAATCTGCACAAAGCAGGTATTTTGCTCTTATAGCCCTGCTAATGTCCTATGTAAATGTTTTGTTTGGCCAACCTTTAAAGAGATTATGATGTTTTGACTAGATTAAATGCAGGATTATAGTTTACACATATCACTGAAACAGATGTTTTTTTTAGATCTCTTTCTAAATGCCCTTAGCTTTTACTCTCTGCTCTTTATTTTTCAGCCTCTTCCGCCCTCCATTTTAAAATCAGATTGCAATAAAGCAATAAGACCATTTCATTTATAAGCTGCAAAACTGCTGTTTTATCTTTTTCAACATTTCTGTAATTTCACCTGCTGCATATCTGAAATCTTATGGCAATGAAGATGCGCCATTGCACGGCAAGTTTGAATATTAACATGTGCCTCTTGATGTCCGGCTTGATGGCATCAAATGCATGTAAAACCTGGTTGGCAGGCACTCATGCAAAAGCACTGATGCACCAATCAGTTTTTGCATGTTTATGAGAGAGCTGTGTGTGTGGAGGGGGGGGGAGTAGGCAGTGTGTTGGTGGTGCTGCTTGAAGGAGAGCAGTAGTGATGGAGCCTGAAAGCCCTGCAGCGCAACTGTTCTCCCGGTGCATCGTCAACTTCACTGCTGAGCCCACAACGCACGCTCAGCCTTAACCCCTGCTCGCACACTCCTCTCTTCTCACTGAATCTTCCTCCCTCTCTTTGTGTGCTATTCATCCACGGCCTCTGCTTATTTACAGCCCAATGCTCATTTTCAACCAGTCCACTTTGGTTTGACAACCTAACGTATTCACTGATTGCACCCAAATGGCACGACTCAGTCCTTTTCCCCTCTTTTTTTGTCTTCCTGTGATCGTCTTTAGGCACAGACAGGGCTGACTTCCAAGATGATCACCAATAGACGCTGCAACTGAATGCTCTGTTGATAATTCAATCATTAATCCAATGCTCTTGTCTCATGCACTGTCAGGGGGTGGGGCTTTTGGGTGACAGACAGCTCTCAGATAGAAGGGCAAGCAGTATGTCATCATAGTGACTGCAGAGCGATTTAGGGAAATGGAGTGATAAGAGCAGAGAGGAAGAGGCTCAAGCCTGAAGGAGCGACTGGCATTAAAGCAATGCACCAAGACTCACGGATGTCTGCAAGGTTCTGTGCATTTGAGTGTGTCCAGTTAATTTGTGTGTCAATATGTGCACATGTCAACCAGCCTGGGTGCATGTACGTTGGCCTGTATGCGTGTCTGCATTTGTGCGGCCTCTGAAATCTCGTTAATCACTCCAGCCCAACAACCCTGAGTACATTATCGTTTATCTTAGCTCTGCATTTGGGTTTGAATAGCCACAGACACATGCACATGCACATGCATTATATTAACGCATTGTTTTTAAAAGTGGCTGCTTTGCTCCTTTTTTTTCCTGCCAGAGAGATTAAAAATAGAAACATTCCTGCTCTCTGAATGTACTTTCCCTCCAGGAAGTGTGTACTTGTTGGTGTCTGACATTGGCCGCGCACCGTCACGTGACCATCTCATCCCACGCTGCCATTGGCTGGCACCTGTGGGGCTCTGTGAAGAAAAGCGTTTCTGACAGCACCCAGGTGCCCAAAGGAGTTGCTGGAGACTGGGAGAAGGACAATGTCGGTGGATCCAGGAGAGCAGTGGTGGGGGTCGGGGGGGTAAAGGGGCTCTTGAGATGGGGGCATGTTCTGGGATGTGACCTCACAGCCACAGCGACAGGCAGGAATCCACAGAGATAATCACATGTCTGAATAGGTGAAGGGGAAAATGAAAGAGAAGAAGGAGAGGACGACGTTTGTAGCAATGACACTCGCGCAACCATCACACAATCTCAGCCGACACTGTCTGTTGTCACTCAATCTGGCTGATCTCCATATATTTACATGTAAACATGTCTGGTGTCTTTTCATGTTGTAGTGGTTTGAAACACATTTCACATTGATGTTTGACCTCAGTATTCATTCTGTATTCAATGATGTACAAAATAATCAATTATTCAAAACTCATCTCTGCTTGAATGGTTATTGTTAGATTCTCTATTTTTCAGTTATTGGCTAATGAAGTGGGTGTAATATTCTGCAAACCATCATAGACGTTATCGTCCTACATTTTCGAGGAGATAGTGCCCCCTGCTGTTTAATGTTAGGGACACAAATGACCTGCAAAGAGAGGCTGTTCAAAATGGAGTCGTGAAACAGGCCAAATTCTAGTGATTCCAAAGCACTGCAATATGAAATTTAAAAAAAAGATTTCATGCACTTTACTACACTACAGTATATTGTATTTTTATTGTATTTGATAAGGAAAGAGCTCCTTGATGAACATTGATGTAAAAGATAACATGTAAGCAAGAATGGTAATTTACACTCGTGGTCACAAAGCATCTAACACAAACACTGCACGCTGAAACATACAGATACAAATAATACACAAGTAAAGATGTTACATTGTTAGGGTTCGGAAAGCTCTCGAGGGAGGCGTCACTCCTTTTTTCTCGTCCCGGCCGGAAACGAAGATACAAAAGAGTCAGCTTGCGTAAATTCAAAAATCAAAAAGTATTTAATAACTAAACAACGTTATAAGGAATACAATTACAAAGTGAAATACAAAACGAACAGTAAATATTTCGCGAAATAGAGAATCCTCTGTGCAAGTCTAAAGTGACTTATCAAAGCGGCTTCAGGAAAATTCTAACAATCTTTTCCCCGCTTTGGTCCTTTGAAAAGTCTTGAGGTGTGTCTTCTTGGGTGCATTTGAATGTCATTGGCTTCTTCTTCAGAGTGTCCCCTCCTGGACTGTCCCCTTCACATCGAGGTGTGAAGCTGCAGCTGTAACCTGAAACCTCACTGTACCATCTGTCCCTCACATTCCAATGCACACAATGTAGATACATTTGGCTTCATGCCTCAAAGAGTGAATATAACAAAGCATGCATAGTTTGTCTTCATCTTATAACTAGTACACCTTAATTACAACAAGTCATTAATGATCACCGTTCATCACACTACATCATAAGATCTAAGACAGTTCATGTGGTCCAATACTCAAGACATTTGCCTCAGTTGGCTGCCTTACATTAAGTTGTTCATCTACTACCTGACAGGAGAAAAAAACTCCCAAAAAACCCTCTTTGGGGATAAAATTGGGAGAAATCCATAAAGGACGGAAATTATCATCCGTCCCCAGATTTTAACATCACATTGTGACAGAATGTTAATGTGTACAGTGTTTACATGATTTTAATGACTATGAATTGTGTTTGATTCAAATTGCATTCACTTCATCTAATATGTTAATGTAATAACTAATATCTAATAACACACAAACTATAATTCTAACACTAAACATTATTACACATACTATAACTTCCATGACTAGGGATGCACTTCTGGCTTGAATCCCTAACAAATACTATGTAGTACATGTCAATAGAAAAGTAGTCACAGTTCAGATTTGACTAATGTCCTTCTTTGAAATTGATCTTAAAGTGGAATAACTAGGACACTTCCTTTTTGCAACAAGTGGAACTTTTTCAGTATCTACTTCCCTTCACTGACCGCACAGTCTGTCTGCATGTGCTGCCCATATGTGCCACCTCACAGTCCCGTCTCGTATTGGCTGTGTCGTCGTTGCCACAGTCAGCCACTATTTTTTTTATTAAAACAAGGACATTTTTAATGTTTTGAAAAATACTTTTGACATTTTCAACTATATGTGAGTGTCAAACTATACAAGATATACAATGCTTTTCCATGCTATATTATGTAACCATGCTTCACTATACACAATATACTATGAGGACAGGTAAGGACATGTACTATGGCAATAACTGATACCTTCCTGTAAATGTATTTGTTTGTGGTTGGTGATTAATCATTTATGAAGACGGGTCTAGCCGTCTTTCCCCTAACCGATCATCAGCGTGGAAAAAGCCACGACCGAAAGCTGCTTTAAAAGGTGTGGAGAAATTCATGCCTTTATGTGCATTCAAACTCTGCTTTGCTCATCTGGACAGCGTGAGCCGGTCTTGGAATTTGTGTTAAGTTGATGAGGTGTTTTTTGTCCTCTGGTTTCTGTTGTTTCATCAATTTTTGTTGAATATGAATATGCTCTTTTTGGTGGATGATGATTTGACACAGGAAAAAGAGTATTGAAAGATTAAGAAGATATTGCTGCCTGTCTCTCACATTCTGTCTTTTATTCTCTTTCCATATTTGGCTTCTCTTGACTCCCATCCATGATTTTTATTTTCCGGTAAATTTCCAACAAAAGCAAATGAGCGCAAACGTGGGCTTCAGCAATGAGACTGGGGTGTTTTTAATGTCAGTAAATAACAAAGCCGTCCTTTGACTACACCCCATTTTATCCCGAGTGTCACAGGGGAGGGAGCCAAGGCCAGCTGACGTTGGGCGAGAGGCGGGGCACCTTGGACAGGTCACCTTCTGATCACCGGGCTGAAACAAAGTGACAGGCAACAATTCACGCTCACATTCGCACCTCCCACCCCGGTCTGAATTATTAGTTCCGACAGGAGCCAATGCCAAAGTAAATCAGGGTAAGACGCTTCAACCACCCCCCCACCCTCCCCCACCCCTGCTCAAAATTATCCAGCCTCTCCTTACGGACGTACAAATGTACACCCACCCGAGAAACACCTCAACCATCGCAGTCAAACAGGAGCCAATGAAATGATAGGCATTAGATTTTAGCAGCAACACCCATCCCACGTCACTGGCTTGCCCCTCCTCTCCTCGTCTGTGTGTGCTTTGTACGAGTGTGTGTGTGTGTGTGAGATGTGTCCTGGTGCATCTACGTGTCTGCCTGACAGGATAAATCCAGCTTCTCTCTCATTCCATCATCTTTCTCTCCAGCCCTCTCACACACACACACACACACACACACACAGGTGCTGCTGTCCGGCAACCCTCTCTCTCACATTCGTATAGCACAATCACATCGCAGAATCATAGTTGATCCACTTTTCTGGTGCTAAGGAACTTGACATTTTGCCTTCATGGAGGATTACCACAAACCTGACCAGCAGACAGTGCAGGCGCTGAGGAACATCGCCAACCGCCTCCGAATCAACTCCATCAAGGCGACGACTGCAGCAGGCAGCGGGTGAGGTGTCTCTACCGACTCTCAGACATGAACTTTAATACTGTGAATGCATTGATAAACACGATGCAAGGGGAATATTTATTTGTACCATGCACATATTTAACATTTACATCTGGTAAACTACGTGCATGCATGTACAGATGCACACACAGACTTCAAGGGCCAAAGGAACAGCATGTCCTGCCTTTGTTCTCCCGTTTAGTCTACTGGCAGAATCATTTCGACATGCATACACGTTGTTTGATAAGTTAAGCTCTTAATCCCTAATTAAATAAATGAAATAATAAATATCTACAATAAATACCATTTTTAAATTTAGGGAAATATATAGTTTATGACATATATAATACATTGCATAAAAATACATCAGTTTATTCTTTCTAGCAAAAAGTAGGTATTTAGACATTTTCCTCACATTTAAAGTAAATAACCGGGTTTTCTTCTGATGATCACATTTTCATATTCTGGAGAAGGGATTTGATCATATTTGGTTTACTCACTTTGATTGTGAAAAAAAAAATTGTCTCTGATATCTGACCTCAGAGTGGTAAAACGCCCACTTGCAGAAGAGCACAATGGAAGACCAAATGCAATGGTGGATGTATTGTATGTTGAAAAGGGTTTTGGAAGTGTAATTGAAATGTTGTATATAATGTCCACTTATAGCTATTTTAAATAATGTTGCCAATGTAAGTCACATTACAATTACAGAAGAAATGCTAGAGATCAGGAGAATACGGTTATGATTCTAGGGCCCAAATCCCCATTCAACAGTTCTGCATTTGCTTTGTTCCCATCCTGTGTTGAATGGGAACAAAGAGAAACCTAACCTAAAATTAAGCTAAAATATTCTGCAAATGATTAATGGCAGCTTTGAAATGCCAAATAACGCCTGCCTGTGTTTTTTTTGCACATTATTGAGTGAAATACTCAAATACCTTTAATTGTGGGAAAGCCCAATAACCAGCCATTGCTATAATTGCACCAAAAATACTTTTGAGTACAAGCACTGGATGCAGCACTGTTGGAGGGCTAAATCAAATTGCTCAAAGTAGTTATTGTCCATAAAACCCAGCGATATTCAAATTGTATTTCTATTACATCCAGTTCCCCATCTAATCTGTTGAGTGCATTTAAGTGAAGGCACTCAATGAGCTGCCATCTACCCCCCTGAGTGCAAGTTTATGTACTTATGTCTTTCTCTGTGGCACAGACACCCCACATCATGCTGCAGTGTGGCAGAAATCATGTCTGTGCTGTACTTCCACACCATGAAGTACCGCCCTGAAGACCCGAGGAACTTCAACAGTGACCGCTTCATCCTGTCCAAGGTGAGGGCAGGGTGGGGTTAAAATTCAGAAATCCAACTTTTCCTGAGTAACATCAGTGACTAGTGATTGTTTTTCTTCCACAGGGCCACGCTGCTCCGGCCCTGTACTCCATGTGGGTTGAAACAGGTTTCCTGAAGGAGAACGAGCTGCTCAGCTTGTGCCAGGTTGACTCTGCGCTGGAGGGCCACCCGAACCCCGTAAGCTGTGACATCCTGTAGCACACCTTGTGAATCATGTCAGGCAGAAACACACAGCGTTCCAGCTCACTTGTATTGTGTGTGTGAGTGTCTGTGTGTATTTGTGTATTTCAGAAGCAGCAAATTGTGGACGTAGCCACTGGCTCCTTGGGGCAGGGCCTCGGTGTGGCCTGTGGAATGGCTTACACTGGGAAATACTTTGACAAGTCCAGGTAATCCTCCATACATTGGACACATACAAATGTTTATTTGCAGTTTAGATTTTCTGCGTGCATTAAAAAATCCTTTGCCATCTATGGACACACTCTGACTCAACAATGTGCAGTATGAATTTACAAATTGTTCATATACATCGTAGGGCCCTATTGTGCTTCTCTCAAGTGTTAAGTGATTGGGATTTTCCAGATTCTGTGTGGGTGTGCTGCAGCTACATGCTCTGCTCTCACAATTCTTCTGCTCTAATAATCACAGGCCCAGCGGTCACATCTCGCTTACTTTTACTACCCATGCTGATTTTATCTCAGATTCAAATTCAGCCATAGTGCTTTCAACCATACATTTTTTTGTATTTTTATTATTTATTATCAATAATGGTACAATGTTCCTAAATGATTCTTCCTTTTACTGGTAGTAAAAAGTATATAATCATATTTGACACATCAAATGCTATGTCTATGTTAATAATTAGCCGGAAAAAACACGTACATAAAATAAGATGATGATTTGTCCCATTTAAAGACTACGACATTGGTGTGGAAGACGTGTTTCAGAGGCAGGTGTGAAACTTGGCAGTCACACCTTCAGGCTTCTCCGGAAGCCTTTTTTCATGTCACAGCTGATTACCATCCCCAAAAATAATTGGAGGATATGTAGTCAGACAGGAAAAATGACAGAACATGTTTTTGTGAGCTTTGCACCCTACCCTTATCTGATGCACTCACACACACATTTACACAAACACAAAGACACACACTAATCACATAGTTTCACCCTGTTTTCCAAACCAGTTATCGTGTTTACTGCCTGCTGGGGGATGGCGAGATGTCAGAGGGTGCGGTCTGGGAGGCCATGTCGTTCGCCTCTTACTACCAGCTTGACAACCTGGTGGCCATCATGGACATCAACCGCCTGGGCCAAAGTGACCCTGCGCCCCTGCAGCATCATGTGGAGAAATATCAGAAACGCTGTGAAGCTTTCGGGTAACAATGCATTAGAGGCTGCTTGTGTCAATGTACTCAACGTGCTGTTTAGGAAGATTATCTTGACACAACGTAAAGTAAAATTTCTAGCCAGTTAGTTGTGTGTATTGTGTGTCCTATGATTTTACACAAGCAAATGTGTCTTAATGCATAGCTTTGATTTTGTGTGTGTGTGTGTGTGTGTGTGTGTGTGTGTGTGTGTGTGTGTGTGTGTGTGTGTGTTTGTGTGCAGCTGGCAAGCCATCATTGTGGATGGACACAGTGTGGAGGAGCTTTGCAAGGCTCTGAGTCAACCACGTCATCAGCCCACCGCCATTATCGCTAAAACCATCAAGGGCAAAGGCATTCCAGGTAGCCGCCTGTCACGGTCCTCTCCTCATCTGCAAATGAACTGCTCTCACTACAGTGTGTATCGGCTAACAAGCTCAAATACGTCACCCTTTTTGATTCCAGCTGCAGAGGATAAGCTTGGGTGGCACGCCAAAACGCTGCCCAAAGACATGGCAGAGATGGTCATGAAGGATCTGCAGAGCCGCATCATGAACAGCAGCAAGCACCTGTACCCTCCCGCTCCCGTGGAGGACTCCCCCCCAGTCAGCCTGAGGAACATCAGGATGCCGAGCGCCCCCAGCTACAAGACTGGTGAAAAGGTCTGTCTGCCCGCTCTATGCTCGCACGATGTCCACAGAAAGCACAGGGGCAAATAGTGAAAGGACTTGTACAGATGAGCTGTCCAACTTTGTTAATTATTGATCTGTGTTTACTGCATGGCCTCTCTGTCTTTACAGATTGCCACACGGAAGGCATATGGGATGGCGTTGGCTAAATTGGGGCGCTACAATGAACGTGTTATCGCCCTTGATGGAGACACTAACAACCTCACCTACTCAGAGATCTTTAAGAACGAGCATCCCAACCGCTTCGTGGAGTGCTACATCGCTCAGCAGAACATGGTATGTTCCCTCGTTTCACAAATGTTTTTTGAGACATTCATATTTACCAATATATATATATATATATATATATATATATATATATATATATATATATATATATATATTATCTGTGAATGTTTGGGGGGCATTCTCGTTTTTTTTAAAGCTGATTAAAAAATAAAAGACTTTCATGTGGAGATTTTGTTGGTTAAATTGCTCGTTCTCAGCTGTTTGGATAAACAAACTTACACCTCACAGCTGTCCGTCTGAAGATTGACAGCTGGGAAGATGACTTGTCTGTCCATTATGACAGTAATTTATCTTGTTACGGCCATTGTTGCTGCTGCTCACTGCCCCCCCATCTTCGGCCTCTGTCAATATTTTATCAGAGTTTAGATTAATAATTTGGAGAGAGGCGCTCTGACATTAATTCCCGTTGCTGTTATGGCTCCAGCAGCAGCCAACTCCAATGTAGGTCATGCGTGTGTATGATGATAAGCAGGCATGACAAGTGTAGTCACAAATAAAATATTAATCAGTGCAGAGGGGGGGGACCATCTGGCAGAATGCATGAGAAAAGTCAAACGTTGAATGGCAAAAGGTCCGTGGCTAATGGAAATATAGTGGATACCAATTACCTAGTAGTACATATTATACTTTTGGCTCTATAAAACCTAAAACAGATAATTATGAATGTATCCGTTTCTTTGTTTGGATGAAACATCTGCTAGTTTAAATTAGGCTTTAAGGAAGTTATTTATGTGTCTATGAGAATTGATCTAACATAACAATTTAATGGATGCTTAGTTGTTGCTTCTGCAAAAGCATGGAAAGATGTTGGGGTTTGGTGAGAGTTTTAGAAGCCGGACAAAGGAAATTATTCGGAGGAGGAGGTATGCACACAAATTCCTCACAGATGGGACGATAAGCTTTGGAGCTTTAAAAAAAAAAACTCGTTGACTTTCGACTTATCGGGATTTTTTGTTCAAAGGCGCTTTCAAATACTGTTTGTGCCGCAGATATTTGGACCTCTCTCTCTCTTGGTGATCAGGCCAGTGTGACTGCTGGAGGGTCACAGCCCTTATGATGTTAAAATGTAGGTACTACGAATGAAAAAAAAAATGTGTTCCTTTCCCAGGTCAGCGTGGCGGTGGGTTGCGCTGCCCGTGAGAGGAACGTTGTGTTTGCAAGCACTCTTGCTTCCTTTTTCACCCGCGCCTACGACCAGCTCCGCATGGCGGCCATCTCGGACAGCAACATCAATCTGTGTGGCTCCCACTGCGGCCTGTCCACTGGTTAGTAACCAGCTGCCGACGAGCCGAGGCCCACCACGTCCCCTCTCACACACCTTTATTTCCCTCACACTGAAGCCAGACACTTTAAAACACCCCTTTTATGTGATCCCTTTCAAAGTCTCCCTAAAGGGGATACGTGTATAAAGTGCTTTTTGTTCAATCCTTTCTCACTTTTCCTTGCTGTATTCACCCCCCTTTGCCCTTACAGCTAGTTTTCAATCCTTCCCTTTTCTCCCTTCCTGTCTGCCCTGGAAGCTGTCATCAGAGGTGTCCCTCTTTTAGTGCAGGTACTCTGCATGCAAAGTCTGGCTTTATGTCTGTGGTTCGGCATGCATCAGCTCACCTGACCTGCCAATCGCTTTTGGGACTTTATGAAAAGGTCGGATGTACGAAATCGACTAAATGTGTGTTTTACAGGAGAAGAAGGTCCCTCTCTGATGGGTCTAGAGGACGTGGCTATGTTCAGGGCACTTCCCACTGCCACCATTTTCTACCCCTGTGACGGCGTGTCTACAGAGAAGGCCGTGGAACTGGCTGCTTCCACAAAGGTTTGTGAAACCTAAACACAGTGTTTTTGTTTCTCTGCTTTATCTGTGGCACATTATTTCAGTAGCAAAACAGCCTATTTGCTGTCAAAATATCCCACTGGTGATTGTCTATTTTTCCCCTCAAAAAAGGGAGTTTGCTACATCCGAACCAGCCGCCAAGACTGCTCCATCATCTATAACAGCAATGAGGACTTCCACGTCGGACAGGCTAAGGTGAGACAGTCTTTGGCTGTTATAAGGTGGTCGTCTGGCGCAGGGGTAGAGCGGGTGCGCTGGGAACCACAAGGTTGGTGGTTCAAGTGCCGGCTGCTCCATGTCCCATGTCGAAGTGTCCGTGAGCAAGACACCTAACCCCTAATTGCTCCCCGGGCATGTAAAAAGCCATGGGTTAAAAATGTAATGTACGTTGCTTTGGATAAAAGCGTCAGCTAAGTGGCCCGTAATGTAATAATAAGGGAGTGTAGAGAAAATAAGAACACAGGGAAATATTGCTGTAAACTGAACACAGGCAGTACTGTCAACCCTGTAAGCTGAAGATTGCACCTTTCTCATTACCAGGTGGTGTACCAGAGCAAAGAGGACCAGGTGACCATTGTGGCAGCTGGAGTGACTTTGCATGAAGCCCTGGCTGCAGCTGAACACTTAAAGAAAGGTACAGTGCAACAAATACTCCTTCTGAAACATAAGCTTTCGACTAAATCACATTTGACATATCCAATACTGTAAGACCATATGTGATAATTCACGGTTTATTACTTTTTCAATTACATTACGTTTGAGATTTGCTGAAATAAAACCTATTTGAAATGCTCGGTCTTAGAATCTGCATAGCTGTCGTTCTGAACTTAATTGTGAAAGCAAGCTTGCATGGATTTCGGTCTTTGTCAATGATTTTGCAACAGCACTGGAAGCAAAACTAAAACTATGGAAGTTACATTTGTGATGTAAACTGCCACTGTGATATCTCAAACAACACATGCATTGTGTTTGTATTAATCGCTAGTTTCCGGCTTAAATCGAGCATTAACACTTAAATCGAGCATTAAATCGACATCAATCACTACTTGAATCGCATGTTTCAGCTGCCCCAAAGCCATTTTCATTATCACGCTACCAACTTGCCTCAAATGAATGAACTGAATTTTCAGAGAGGATCTCCGTCAGGGTCATTGACCCATTCACAATCAAACCACTGGATGTCAAAACTATCATCGACCACACGCGTGCCACCAGGGGACGGATCCTCACTGTGGAGGACCACTACTATGAAGGTAGGCCATGAAAGATGCTCATTGCTGTTGAGCTTCTGCATGTTGTGTGACCACAACTGACCTAACAGCAACAAGCCTCTCAGCATAATGCAGCGGGGGGTCGCCGTCATTGGCCCAAATCCTCGGCTGTGTTGAGGTGGCATGTTTTCATTGGTTCAGCAACAGAGACGCGATGTGGTGGCATTTGCTTATTGGCTGGGGGGGCTGGCTGACTGTTCTGTGCTCGCATTGCAGGCAAGGTATTGCTATTGTGGGGCATTTTGTAAGTGCGAGAGCAAGAGGGGCAGAGTGCTGTCAGATTTCCTTAGCCGAGCATGTGCCCATGGGGCTCTGTGTGACCTAGATAACGCAGACAGCCATGCCCCACGTGCCCGTTAAGAGAGGGGACGGGTGATTGCACGGACTTGACTAGACAAAGGATTTTTGGCCATCGGTCTGATGTTTGGAATCTCTTTCATTTCACATCTGGACCGGATAGAGTTAAAGTGGTGGAGGACATGTTTAGATTTAGCTTTTTTTGTAATGATTTCTGGTCCCTCTCCATGTATGTGACCACATGATGCTTCTACACAGCCACGACTTTGGCGTTCAATTGAACCCCAAGAGCCTTTGAAACAATCGGGCGTCCACCAATCTGTTTTCCCTCCTTCCATCTCTCATGGGATTCATTATTGTTCCACAGGTGGACTTGGGGAGGCCGTGTCCTCAGCAATGGTCAATGAGTCCGGCTTCAATTTGCACCGCCTGGCTGTGTCCCACGTCCCCCGCAGTGGCAAACCACATGAGCTGCTCAAGATCTACGGCATCGACCGCGATTCCATCACGCAGGCCGTCCGCAAGATGCTCAGCAGCTCCACCAACGCCAAGTAACTTCATCGCTGCCCCACCCACCTTTTTCATTACACCCCTGCAGATAAACACGTCATGTATGTTTTTGATTGACATGACACCCAGCTCTGCACACTCCTTCACTGTGAATGCCCCCGAGTGTGTCGTGAAGTAATGTGATTTTGTGCTGTACACTAGTAGTTCCACATTTACCTCGCTTTCACGCATCCGTCACATCCCACACTCATGAACGGAGACAAACCAATGTCCTCGCCCCTAAACTCAATGTCATGAACCAGTTCAGTCATCGAAATGTGGCCATAACGGACTTTGTTGTTAGTGGATGTTCAACCTATGAAACAAAACATTGTTACGTGTTCAACATTTGTACTGTGTGATGCTCTCATGTGTTTTTTAATGCTCGTTGATTAATTCAACTCAAAAGGGTTTTATATTGTTCTGATGTAGCTCTTGGGTGGGGCTTAGTTTTAAAGTAGTTTATCGTGACAATAGTGTCAGAAATAAGATTACTGAGTCGTTGTTTTTAGAAAGTAGAGGAGAAAAGAAAAAATCAAACAAATGTAGGTAGGTCATAAACATCAGTCACTCCAAGCATCATTTAAACCCTGTGGTCTCAAACGTTGTTTCAGTTCTATTCAGCACTGTGTTTTTCTGTTATGATATTGATGTTTCCATCAACCCGCACACTTCAGTGTTCATTTATACTTGCAGTACAAGTGGCCCATAAAATCAATGTGATGATGCATTATGTTGTCAATGATTTCATAAAAGGCCTTTCAAGTGCTGGTGGAGCGCGTGGCTTGCTGTGACTGACGCTAAGTTGACCCAAGACCAAACACTTTGTTACTTGAAATTTTGTATGTACACCGACGTTCATGTAATAAAGCCCTCTGCGTTTGACTTTGAGCAATCGCAATGTTTTTTTTCTTTTTTGCCTAGAACAGTTTATCTGTGTGTGCAGTTCAAAGCAGTACACACACACAAGAATCTGCAATTAACGTTTTAATTCAAACCCTGTCTAAATAAGTGATTCAAAACCAGGATGAATGACAACACACAGTAGTATAGACAATTCTGCATCAATCTGTATCCCTGGTTTTATAATTTAATAATTTATTTACCCCACGTACCTGGGATAGTTTGATACATTTGATCTGAGATATTGTGTCTTTGGAGATGTGGTTGACTCTCTGGTAGAATTCAGCATCAGAAGTTGTGTTCATCAAATACAACTCTTCTTTTTTACCTTGTAGAAAACCAGATGTACATTCTGTGGTTGTAACCTTCTTCTACCAACTGCGGCGCTGTCTCTTTCTCAGCTTCCTGCACAAATGATCATGCAAATATCAAAATTTAAAAGAAATTTAAAGACACAGAATTTGACGGTTGATACAAAGGCTGTCAGTTGGGACAATGTGCAAAATTACAACCTGTTTTTTAGTAAGCCCACCTACCCGAGAGAGCTGTATTTCCGTTTGGCTCCTCTAAGAGCAAACACTATTATTCCACATCCATAAGACAGTGTGTACACTGGAATAAAGCACAACATTTAACCACGGAGGTAGAACTCTCCAAAAGCATGTGCATACCTGCTGTAAAGTATGTGACTTTACCATGATAAGAGTTGAGGTTCAGGATGGCCACAAAAAGTGCAAAACAAAATCCCCAGTAGACATCTAAAGAGAGTTACAAGATAACGTTTTAATAAAGAACAGGTACGTTTCCGTATTTATGCATGATGCTTGTAATGATGGCAATTGCTAGCGATACTTTTATTGGTAGATATGAACTATAACCCTCTCAATCAGCTGCACATCATTTATGAACTAATAGATAAAGAAATTGCTAGCACACATCATAACTGAATCAACTAGTGCGTGTACCTCTTCTGACATAGGGAGGACCTTTGCACCTTCTAGTGTGGGCTGGCAGATCTAACAGGAAACATATGAAATGAACATTTGTGTTTCCATTGTTGTTCAACCATACACGTATGATTAGGTAATCACCCAAGATAATGTTTAGCATTTCAAAAGAAACATCTTCTGTTAAAAAGTAACTATTATGGTTATAAAACAAAGTGCAGCTTACCAGATATTATCCCCAAAATCTCGAACACGATGGTGAAAAACACACCAAGAACTGATGGAACAACGAGTCCTGCAAGAGAGAAATCGTTCTTCTTAAACCATTACAAAGTAAATTGTATAAACTTTAACTTTAAATTTACCTCCTCACAACAAATGAACAATGTTTGTTGATTAATAAAATCATGGGAATGTATATTTATTTCGCATTTAGTTGAGTTATACTGTATGTCTCACCATAAAATGGTCGGTAGAGTGCCGTTCCACATCCCAAACCAAAGCAGATTGAATAAAAATGATAATATTTGTCTGAAATGTTCAGAAGGAATAGATTAAATTACGAAATATGTTCTAAATAAAGGATGATTTGTTTTGTGCCACCATTATAATGTACGTACAGTGTCTGTAAAAGTCCTTCCGTATTCCTGTAAAATAAACATTAGGATTATCTGTTGTAGAGACCGATCAACACAAATAGCTTAATAGATAAACACAAAGTAGAATATTGCGAGGGACAGAAAGACAGAGAGAAGACTGAAAAATACAGAAATAAAGTGACATAAAAAAATAATGTCTACTGTATACTGTGCAGTGAGAAAATGGATTAACATTACCACAAGTGAAATACCATGTCATGGTATACACACCCTGCATGTTCAGCTCCAGGTAAATACTAAATACTGGCAGGTGTAACTACAACGGCATAAGTAAACTCCAACGCAACGCCGGAACTCTGTGAAACCCGTCGGACGGAAAGTCCCAGAAAAGAAATGTTTTGCTTTCACATTCACATGGTTAAATACAGCTATGGTTAAATATGGTTAATACGGATAAGCTTCAATATTACAATGTGTCGTGGCCGCATGATTATGGTCAAGTTATTAATTTAATGGAAGAGATTGACACACAGATAAAAAATCTATACCATTTTTGGTGAACACAGATAAGAAAATGATTTTAATAACTTTTGTATAATATTATGGATATGGATATGATAAGAAATACCCTAAAGCTTTATCTTGGTAGTGTCGCTGCAATCTGCTGTTTAAAACCGTCTTTCCCTGCAAATAATCCAGTTGATAAGAAACTTTTTATCTACTTAGATGAAAATAATGTTTTGTTTGATCCCTCTTGGGTTTAGTTGCAATTTTACCATAACATATCTAGATGGCAGTGCTGTATTATAATCTGTAGTAGTTACTGAATCCACGTCCCAGTCCACGCAATGCATTCTGGTACTTGAAGTAAACACGGCAGCTGCAACGCGTCGTCTTTGCGATACTGACGCCACGCATACAACTACATTTCCCTCCACTCCCTCGCCGTTTTGAACGCCGCACAGAAGTAGCTTTTTCCAATCGCTGACCTCAACGGAAGTTCCCTCTGTCAGATTCACGAATAACCCGAAGAGGAACTCCTCGAAAATGACCAAAGTGTCCTTCAGGTCGAGCATCGTTGAACCGTGGGGCGGGAAAAGGCAAACGGTACTTAAAGCTATTTAGGTCCCAACAATGCGGCTCAAACAAAGCCCGCAGTGATTTTATTTGTGTGTGTGCGGTCTCGGTGGTCGCGTGCGCTGCCCTCGCTAGCCGAAGGGCTGGATCCCGTCACGGCTCGTGAGTTCGGCGGCTCGCACCAAAGATGTCCGCGGAGGAGCAGGGGTTCGCCGAAGCGGTCCTGGTGACCGAGGCCGGGCCGCAGTGGCTCCGGGTCGAGGTCGAGCGTCTCACCCGGGAGCTCCGCGAGACGACCGCCGAGAAGATCCAGGCGGCGGAGTACGGGCTCGCGGTGCTCGACGAGAAGCAGCAGCTCAAGCAGCGGTTCGATGAGTTGGAGACTGAGCACGAGACGGTCCGGCAGGAGCTGGATCAGCTGAAGGAGGTAAACCCGGTGCGCCTTCTTAAGATGAGCAGCGGGGGGGTCGTTAACCCGACGTTTTGTTTGTACCGGGACGTGAACGGTCCGCGTCAGTCGGAACCGCACCGGGTGTGATCGGAACCATTGTTCCTCGTGTCAGCTGGGCCTGGCTCGCTGCGCGAGAGAACTTCGTAACAACTTATGAGAGTCCGTGAGAGAGACCCGACCGGCTGAAAGCTTTCTCTGATTGTTGCATGAAGTCATAATGACGGGTGCATTGTCACGGTTCTGTAGGTAGTCGGCCGCTTGATGTTTCCTTGGCGCTGACAGATCCAATAGAAGTTATTTTTAGCCGCATGCCCGTGCTTGCTCTTGGTATGCGAGGTTGGGGCCTTGAAATTAGACGTCTGCAGCTGCAACAGATTCCGATGCCTGTGTGTCCAGCCTGCTGGTAGTTGTAAACCCAATAAACTAACAAGAAGGGTCAGGCTCTTGAGGCATGCTGCTTATCTTCCAATGGCTAATCTATACATTTATTGGAGCTGATCAATCATTTTTATTTCTGGTATCTAATATGAAAACACAGCTGACGCTCACTCATTGTGACACGTTAGTTCTTCCTCGTAAGAACTAACGAACTATTGCAGAATGTACATTCTAGATATCCAGATAGAGATCATTGGCAAGTCAGAGATTACATTTTCCCCAGGAAGAATTCTGTTGTGGATATCTAAATTGTTGATAGGAAAAAAGTCATTGCGGATATCGGAAATGCCCTAATACGAGGAACGGATCGATAGGAAAATAGGAAGACACTTTTTAAATAGGCCTTAAATTCCGATTTAAGAAGTACAATCAGTTATAAATGTATTAGAATAATACTTTTACTACTGAGGATTGTATTGTAGTTATCTGTAATTACAATTGTTACCAGTGAGAACACAAATTTTAACTAGGAGAAATGGAGACTTACATCCAGGAGTCATTAAAAACAATGGATGCCTTAAGGCTGTAGTTTCTACATGCATGTTTGCGATTTATGTGTCTGAAGGGGAATCTGGAGAAAGTTGATATCCATTAGTGGTATTTTCATAACTGCCCTCGTCTGATCACATTTATTTATTCATTATGTTCGTTGGAAAGACATTCTAACCCCAAACTATAAAAAGTAACAGCATCTGGTTTTCTCCTCACTAGCTACAACCTTTGTGCGTTTGTCACTGAAGCAGTCAGGAGAGACTTTGGTTTTCCTCTTTCATCGTTGCCCTCAAATCCGTCTGCCTGAGACTTCTTTTTAACCAACTCAAAAAAAAGAAATATTTGCTACCAGGATCCTAAGACTTAACAAATTAGGAGAAGTCTGGGTTTTCCCTCCTGCTCCATTTCGTCAGTCTTGCAGCCAGTTTATTGACCTTCAGAGGATCTGCATCCTAAGGCGTTTGCACATTCGCCTCAACACGCCACAGTCGTGGTCTCCACTTGTTTTTCACTGTATCTCCGATGCTTGCCTCTTAATATTTTTGTGTGTTCGAATATTTAAATGCGTGTTGTTTAGCTGGTTGCCAGAAAGCCACAAATGCTTAATGTTGTGTAAAAATGACAGCATCAGCAGTGAACATGATATGCTGAGACTGAAGCTGTTAATAATAAACATGTCTGTTTAATCACAAGCATTACCACATATTCCTGCAGTATGTCCAATTTCCATTGTGTCTTTTTGATACTCTTTGGTCTTTTAAACGTCTCAAAATGAGGAACTTCTTGTTCTTGTTACAATGTCCCGCAGTCCAAGGTCATGTGCTTCCGTTGCTTGTATTCTTATTTTTTTTAACTAAATTTAAACCCTTCAATATAATCCGTTCGATGTGACAAAGGAAATCCACGACTCATATTGAAGACGCTGCAAACAGGGGATGTTTGAGGGGAAGTGACTCATTTTTACAGCACTATTTTCTGTTCCTTAATGAAACCTCCAGACTTGCTTGTGTCCCCTTTCTGTGCGAGTTTGAATGAGTTTGAAGTTCTTCTCAGTTGTGATTTTCCCCGCCTGTTGCGTTATTCACAGGACAGACCGAGTCCAGTCAACGTGACTCAGTGTCGTTTTCATTGTCTTGGTATCTCAAGATTGGGAAAGCTGCTCCTCTCTTTAGTAGAGAAAGTCTCTTTAGACTTTATTAGAGTCTCGGTGAACGAATCACCCGTCAGCATCCGCGTGTCTTTATTTCAACTGACCGCTGCCTGTCACACGTTTCCTCTTGTTTGAGGGATAAATAGGTTTGGTTTGAAGCTGCTGGGTTTCCGGGCTTTCTAGCACACGTTGAGTCACTAGTTTGGCTTTCAGTGCCTGTTGGCAAACCTTTTACTCAAATGGGAATCTGGCATTAACTGGTCATCCCATTCAAACTATTGCTATCGAACTATCCCGCCTGTCAGATTTCTACGTTGGACAAAATAAAACAAAAAAAATCCAGAATGTGTATTGGACCAGAGCAGTCTTCACCCGTAATCTGTTTTTGTGCTCTGTTAGTGTAAGATGACCCTCATGACATAAGACCAAATGGCGCAGTGGGGTAACGCAGCACTTTCAAGTGCTTGGTCTTCAGAAATAAATTCTGTTAATAGCAGGCTCTTCGTATTCTGGATTAAACATTTTGGGGAATATAACCTTCTTCTATCGCTACAGTCTTGGTTGTTCTTGCCATACTTGTGATTCCGCGCGCGCTTCCTAAAACGATTACGCCCCTGCTAAATGATGTTCATTCCTCGTCCGTGTCCCCCAGGCCTTTGGACAGGCGTACTCAGCCCACAGGAAGGTGGCAGCCGACGGGGAGAGCCGGGAAGAGTGCCTGATGCTGGAGTCCGCCAGTAAGGAGGCTCTCTTCCAGCAGAAGGTCCTGGAGTTGCAGAATGAGCTCAGACAGGCCAAAGCCTCCCTGACGGGCATCCAGGCCGAGAATGACCGCCTGTCCTCCATCGCCCTGGAGATGAGAGAGGTGCTTGTTCAATTGATTCGTTGATTTACAAAATACACTTTTTATCAATAAAAACTTGATCTACCTTTTTTTTTTTTTTTTTATAGCTCTTTTTATGTTGTAAAAATATATATTATTTTTTTTGAGTACTGCTACAATCTGGATAGTTTATCCCTCACTTTAAATAAAGGCTAGTATCAAAGTACGTCTTGTCTTTGAAATACTATCGTATAATGTAGATACATTTATACAGTATAAAAGAAAAGGTTGGTAGGTTAAGACTGACGACCACGAGTTGATCGGGTGACTTGAGAGAGTTGAAGTTTGTGCTTCTGATGGGGGAGGGTCAGCTGGCGGGATTGAATCCCCGCAGTAAAGATGATGTCATGGTCCAGAGTGAGTGACACAAAGAACGTCCTCTGCCAGGGCTCCCTGTAGCACGGGCTGGCAAGTGGACCATGTCCTCCTTCCGTCATCACATTTATCTGCCAAAGCTTTGCCCCCTGCGGTATGTGGAACATGCCGACGCGCTGACTCCTCATTTCACTTGACCAGACGGTTGAAGGTTGTAGTTTGCAGTGAGATTTTAGGTTAATGTGTATTTTCGGTTCTCCTGCATTCCCTTACGGCATGTCGTGTTTCCCCTGTACTCCGTGGTACAGGCGTCCGAGCTGGCGGAGCTGCAGCGGGGGCAGCTGCGTGACGACATGAGGGAGTACAAGGTGCGAGAAGCTCGTCTGCTGCAGGACTACAGCGAGCTGGAGGACGAGAACATCTCTCTTCAGAAACAAGTGTCCGTGCTGCGACAGAACCAGGTGAGGAGGAGGAGTTGGAGCATAAAACTCATTTGGTCTCTCCTCAAACTACACAAATTATTGTAGTTATTTTTCTACAATAAACACACCTGTCATTGGGACCCTTTTGATGTTTTGTTACAATGTGAAATTGTAACTAAACAATTTTATGTTTTTTTTTTTAATGCTAATATTCACACAAAGCTTCCACACTGGACACAATTCATGCGATCCTATGAAATCTTAAGCTTTTTAGCAAAGTGTATTGGTACAATTATTAGCAATTGAATTTATGTTTCCTACCATCTGCTAAGGTGGAATTTGAAGGTCTGAAGCATGAGATCCGCCGCCTGGAGGAGGACTCTCAGTGCCTCCACAGTCAGCAGGAGGAAGCCGTGCGCCTGAGAGAAATCGCAGAGCGACAGCTGACGGAGGCCCTAGAAACGATCAAAACGGAGCGTGAGCAGAAAGCCGCCCTTCGCAAGGAGCTCTCCCACTACATGACCATCGGCAGCTCCGTGTACAGCGGCTCCTACAGCATCTCCATCGACAACCTGAAACTCCACGACGACTCCTCCTCCATCACGGAGGCCGACAACGACGATCTCATCAGAGGCTTCGAAAACGGCTTGGCCAAGATGGGTGAAGGTGACGGAGACAACCGAACTGCCGCGAACAAGAGAGGAGATGCTTTCAAGCCGGCTCCGAGCCTGGTGGACGACCTGCTGAGTGAGCTCAACATCTCCGAGATCCAGAAGCTTAAACAACAGCTTTCGCAGGTATGAAATCCATGAACTGCTCCAGCTCGATTAGGTGTTTCTCTGTATATTTATTGTGAGGGTTTGTCTGAATCGATTTGTCTAAGCTGTAATTTATTGGTAATCGGGTCCTGGGTTAAACATTCTATTATATAATACAACAACCTCTCAATTTATGACAGAAGTAAAACATTTGTACAGCAGAAACTGTTAAACTTCAATGCATTGCCTCAAATGTTCTTTTTCCTTTTTTAACACTATCAGAATAGACAAGCTAACTAAGTCCTCGATATCCGTTCTAATACACAATTTCAGAAACTAGGTTTTATTCACTATTTGTAAAGAGAGCTAAAAATAGTGATTAAGTGACTACGGGTCTGAAGTTCTTTAATTTAGCCGTTGTCAAAACGCAAAACATTATTTCTCGGTTCAACTTGTCGGTGCACAAGATTACAGTAGAGCTCAGATCTTTAACTCTCCCCGCATCAGAATAGACGGACTGAGAGTTCTTTTGTGTTCCCGTTAGGTGGAGCGGGAGAAATCCGCCCTGATCAACAGCCTGCAGGAGAACCAGAAGCACCTGGACCAGGCCTACGGGACCGTGTCTGAGCAGAAGGAAACGGTCAACCGGCTAACTGAGAACCTCACTGCAATGAGGAAACTTCAGGCCAGTAAGGAGCGCCAGTCCGCCCTCGACAGTGAAAAGGACAGGGACAGCCACGATGACGGCGACTACTACGAGCTGGACATCAATGGACCCGAGATCCTGCAGTGTAAATACACGGTGGCCGTATCCGAAGCTGGCGAGTTGAGGCAGGAGTTGAAGACCCTGAGGTCCCAGTACGAGGAGTGTCGAACCCAGTACGAGGGGGAGCGAGCGCGGCTGGATACCGACATCCAGGAGCTGCGGTCCAAGTTGTCTTCCCTGGAGAAGATTAGCCAAGCAGACAAAGCGGAGGTGGCTCGCCTGGAGAAGGAGCTCCGCCTGGTCAGCGAGTCGGCGGGAGAATCGCTCGGCAGCCTCAATGTGGCACAGGATGAGCTCATAGCTTTCAGTGAGGAGCTGGCCAATCTCTACAACCACGTGTGTATGTGCAACAATGAGACCCCCAACCGCGTCATGCTCGACTACTACAAGGAAGGAAAGGCCACAGCGAGAAAGGGACACGAAGGCAAGGAGCACCAGTCGTCCATCCTTCTCACTAATGGGCTGATCACTGAGACTGAATCTGGAAGTTCCTTCCTTGTGTCGGTCCAAGAGCAACGGCCAGAACCCATGAACGTCTATAACCTCGTAGCCATCATCAGGGACCAGATCCGCCACCTGCAGCAGGCGGTGGACCGCACCACGGAGCTGTCGCGTCAGAGACTTGCTAATCTGGAAATGGGCACGGTGTCGGACAAGGACAAAGAGGCTTGCGTCGGAGAGATCCTCAAATTGAAGTCCCTACTAAGCACCAAAAGGGAACAGATCGCCACTCTCCGAGCTGTGCTGAAGGCCAACAAACAGGTCAGAGGACCGATCTGTGTGTGTGTGTGTGTGTGTGTGTGTGTGTGTGTGTGTGTGTGTGTGTGTGTGTGTGTGTGTGTGTGTGTGTGTGTGTGTGTGTGTGTGTGTGTGTGTGTGTGTGTGTGTGTGTGTGTGTGTGTGTGGAAGGATGTTCATTGTTTCTCCAACTGAGTCGAACAGAAAACGAGTCTAGTCTTGAGCTAAAAATAACCGCTGGGCTTGGACTTGACAGAAGTGCACGAAATGACTGGATGAATAATGAATGAATGGTTATATAACATCTTATTCCTTTTAGACGGCTGAGGTTGCTCTGACCAACCTGAAAAGTAAGTATGACAGCGAGAAGGGGATGGTGACTGAGACCATAATGAAGCTCCGCAATGAACTCAAAGCTCTGAAAGAGGACGCTGCAACATTCTCCTCTCTTCGAGCCATGTTCGCCACAAGGTGAGATTACACAAAATCACTGGTTTACATTCCTGACAAACATGATATTAACTATCCTGCTGGCCAAGTCACGTGGGGCTCACATCGCACTGCATCACAACTATTGTGAAACCGGAAACCTTAAAAGAGCAATGATGCATCTTTATGTCCTGCTAAATCTGCCACTTCTCGTCAGATTTCCCTAAAGAAAATTAAAATTGGAACTATTTCACGGCAGTGTGTAGGTTTGTAAGAGACGCAAAGCATTGTGGGAATTTTCTGATGTAATGGACCTCTTCCTCCCATCTGGGAAATGCTGTCTGGGAAATGGAGAAAAACAGATGACCATAGCAGCAGATCCAGGCACATTGCTCCACCTGCTGGACATAAACAGTAACTTCCTTTTGCGCCTCTTTTACTCTTCTCTCCACATCTCCTCTCTCTCCCTCAGGTGCGATGAGTATGTGACCCAGCTGGACGACATGCAGAGGCAGCTGGTGGCCGCTGAGGACGAGAAGAAGACCTTGAATTCTCTATTGCGTATGGCCATCCAGCAGAAACTGGCCTTAACGCAGCGGCTGGAGGACTTGGAGTTTGAACACGAGCAGGAGCGCCGCAACAGTGCCAAGGGCAAGACAAAGGCCAAGGGAGCCTCTTCCAGCCACCATGTGAGTGCGAACTTGTTGTACAAACTAAGCTTCAGCAGAGGCACCGGGTTCACATTCCAAGCTCTATTTGGGCTTTTGAAACTTTTATATCTATATTTTAAGATATTTATTTCTCTCAGGCTTTGCTCTTATTTTCTAACACTGAGGGCTCCGTTTTAATTATGCTGCTAAAACATGATATGACAGACTGGAATTATTACTATTTAATCAGTTTGAACTGTTAACAATTCATGGGTTTGTTTACGATGTTCTCGATGTTCTGAACATGTGAAGTATTTTTTTCACGAGTGATATTTATATAATTATTTTGCGTATAGTTTAAGAATGTATAGTTATTTTTGGAAATTGTTTGAATTCTTGTTTGAGTTATGATGATGCTGTGTAAAGCGCTTTGTAATGTGAAAACTGTTGTTATTCTATTTGCGATCTACTTTCTTTCAAAACAAAACAATTGTATTTATTTATTTGGATGACAAAACAATCTGAATCAAAAAGATTGTCAGCATTGAAGTCTATTTGAGTGAGCATTGACATGACCTTGGTGCACGTTACCTGTGCGATCAGTGACTCGTTGAAGCCTGCATGCATTACACGCCGTATCTTCTCCTTCCTTCTTCCATCTCCGTTTCCTAATTGCCACCATGATGATCTTCATTTCTGTATTTAAGAGCAAATTGAAATTTCAACTATCAATCACCAATCAATCTAATGTGATTTTATCTTTCCATTTGCAGTAAATCTATCATGCCAAGTGTCCTTAAGGAGGTTCGTCAGAGTGTCTGACAGTGTCCATTCATCTGGTTCCTTCACACTCTAATCCTGGTCCAAAGCATGTTGATAACACAAGAACACATTCAACAGTTTGTTGTCTGGGGGCCTTGTTTTAGAGTGCCAAAACAAGTATGTAAAACCATGTCGGACGCGCAGAAAGAAAGACTCATCGCATCAGCTGCCAACTGCAGTCCTCCACAAATCCACCAACAATATGCACCACTACTATTTTTGAACCACCGCAAGAATCAAGACGTGTGTTTTACTAACTGCCGATTGCTTGTGTAACCCGACTGTGCACTTTTGGTTTCTCACTCACTCTTAGGTGATTCCTTGTTGTTTTTAAAAAACGTACTAATTGTTTCAAGTATAATATCATGTTTTTTACCGGATGTGCATGTTTTTTCACCAGTTTCTTTATGATATAATTTTCAATAGATTTATCCATATTTATTTTATATAGTATGCAGTTATTCTCGTGAAACCAGAAATCTGTCTTACTGGTTGAAACCCTGGAGAAAAAAAAAAGAGATTAATACACTTTTCCTTTTTGGCCTTAAACGTATGGGTGCCTTTCTATCAGCCCATAAAGACTTTCAAAGTTGTCGATATTATTGATAACCATTAAGAAAAATGATTCAATGTTTTATTTCCACTTTATGACCCTGCTAATATGGAGTTCAGTTTTTGGATGTTATGTATGATTGTCATGACTTAGGAAGAGTATAAATGCAAATGCTTATTTAAAGATTTTTAAGTTAAGGTCAGTTAATAGTATTCATAAACTTTATTTACCAAGCAGTGTTTTTAATGTCATTGGTTTAATACAATATTTTGTAAACCTTTTGAGTCCTTAAATCTGCAAACAAGGCAGCAGTACCATTTTGTGTTACAAGTGCAATTTGCAAACATGCTCGTAGAGGACAACTAAATGTTTATGCTATGTAAAGAATATTGTACATTTTGTTCACATTGTTGCTCATATACTTGGTCCTATTTGTTTGTTTTTACATTAACTGCAAATGTATTTATTTGACACGGTTCCGACTACAGGATATCCTCATCCTTTTCATTTTGTACGGGACATAAGATGTGGTGATAATGGAGACCAGACTGAACTTGTGGTAAAACACTAGCATATCCATGGCTCTGGGATACTGTCTATAACAGTGATGGTTGGAGAAAAAATAAATCTAACTTTTACAATATTGTGATTATTGTTCTTCATGAATCAAACATTAGGTAACTATCATTTCCACAACATAAATATATATATTTTTAAGTGCTATATACTTTCACTGACAAGAACTATTTACTATTGTCTGTACTTTGGGTATGTTCTCAGCAGTAGTAGCTAAATTAAGCATACATTAATGGGCAAGTAAATAATATAGATAGGAAATACAATCGATATAGGCCCTACAATTTAATGTTAAAAATTATTGTAAACGTACAAATTGACAGATCAAACACTGTTGTACACTTTCGTTAAACACATTTTGGGTATATCAAATGTAGCTTTTCACATTAAAACGCATTGCAATAAAAGAATATGAATGATTTGCTAAAAGTCACAGTACAGTTAGAAAAGAATGTCAAGCGTTTTTCTAAATCAATTCCAAAAAGCCGTGTCTATTGGTCCATAAGATCCTTCCTCAGCTCCTGCTGTGTTCATTAATGTTTCCGGGGAAGGCAGTTGTTTCCCCCCTTTCCGAAAGGCGTTGACGTAAGCCACGCCTTGCCCGCGAGGTGACGTCATGGGGCGTGTCCAACCAGAGGACAGAGGGGACTCCACAATGGGAGGTTTGTGTTTTTTTCTTTTCTTAATCGTAAACTAGCGCTTTATCTTACCATGTAAGTTAGCTCGCCCTGTATTTCGCTTTAGTATCGCCATTCCGCGGACGTTCCCACAGCGACTCTCGCTGCTGCCTCGCTTCGCCAATGACAGCGTAAAAGTCGCAGTCCTGGAAAAAAGTTCCTCACCACACTTTTCCGTTGGAAACCGCCTTACTCCTCGCCGTGAACCGACGCGTTAGCTGTCAGTGTTGTTGTTGTTGTTGTTACCTCGCGACATTCCAAATGGCCTTTGTCTCCTTTCACCCTCCTGCAACAATAACGTCATATTTCCTACTAATGTCCTTCGTGCGTAACACTTCAGTAAACCGACGCCCCCTCCTCTGGGGGGGCAACGGTCAGCCTGCTGTCGCTGAGTTCAGGGGGTCTTCCTCTTTTTAACGCCGGTTTTGAAACGTGTCTCGCCTGAAATGGACAGACAGTTTCCTCGAGCAGCTGACCGAGGACAGCGTCTTCCTGAAAGCGGAGCGGAGACTGGACACCGAGCTGGTGGACAAAGTCATCCTGCAGCTCAACCGAATCTACCCGCAGATCCTCTCAGACAAGGAGGCCACCAAAGTCAGTAGGACGAGACCGCAGGAATGTACAAGTACCTCACACATATTTAAGATGACTTTGGCTAATGTATTTTCTTGTAAAATTATGTATTCTCAAGTATGTGGTTAAAAAAAAAAAAAATCATGCCCCAGTTTTATAAATGTCATGACAACATAAAAACATGTTTTATTTGAGTAAGCTATAGCATTTAAAAATAATAATAATTCCTCTTCATTCTGGCGTGGGCGAGTTGTTCGGGCGAGCAGGTTCCAAACCATCATATCAACTAGTAGAAATGTACTTAATGGTTGTTATTTTTATCCAGTTCAGGAACTTGGACGTGCCCACAGGTGTCCGCCTCGGGGAGCTGCTGGCACACCTGCAGGGGAAAGGAGAGGAGGCGTGCAGGGAGTTCTACAGGGCTCTTCACTTGCACGTGGAGGAGGTTTACTACAGCTTGCCCACGCGGCTGCGCCTCAGAGGTTTGTCCCCAAATACCTTTTCTCTAAATCGGGGGTGACATTCATTCATCATTTAGATATTACAGAATGTTTTATACACGTTATCTTGTTTATTCTAGTATTGGGTACTTTTTTTTTAATCGGCACACTAAAACAATTTGATCCAGATTCCTTAGATCCTCTTGCACATCCACGTGTCTACCAACAGAAGTATGTTCTGAACGACAGAGGTAAGATGACCATTTTAAAATAATGTTGGTCAATATATGTGCACACTTGTACTGTTTGCCGATGATTTAGCGATGACCTTAAAGAAATCCCCAAATAAGGAATTGTCAGTGTGAAGAAAACCTTTTCCAGACAAGGACCAGTGATTGTTTAGCACTGCCACACATAATATTTACATTTTTTTTGTTAAGCTTTTATCTCTCTCCAGGTCCCCTCTTCTTTTTGGGCTGTTTCAGCGTTGCTATGGGGATGGCTTTACTCTATTACTACAGTGGTAAGCAGTTTTCCAGTTATTTAGCGTCACCTGACATTGCACGATTCTTTTGAAAATATTAACTCCACTTGCTCCAATGCTTTTAATTCAGTATTACAAAGATAATGTCTTTGTTTCACAGAGGCCAAAGTGACGGGAGGGAGCCGGGCCCTTGGGATGGCTGCTCTGGGTTTGAAAAGAAAAGCACAGGAGGTTCTCATTTGGTACTCTGAAGAAACACTCATGATGTAAGGTGGCGCTTCAGCAGTACCTGCTCTTATGAATCCCTTTTTTACCAAAGTACAGCAAGCACAGCATTTCATTTCTGGAGTTGAATACAAATTTTGTCCACAGTTGTACTGTGTTTTAGGCAGAGTGTTTTGCATGTGATCTTAGTTTTTGAATTTAAAGACATTTTGGTATAGGGTGAATTCAGATCTGCATTTGGCCCTTTGCTCTTATTTCCCCATGTTTTGGTATCCATTTAAGCGGATTGTGATGACTGAATGCAGTCAAGGGGTGAACACGCAGTAAACACAGTAAAGACACGCTAACAAAAGCCAAAATCTTGAAACAGGAAATACTGGTTACTACTCCTACTTTTGATGAACTTCCAAAAGCATTGCTTACATTTCATTAACATATTTTTCTTTTCGGTATATATTAAGTATCATTGAATCCAGAAAACAACAACATGCATTGCTGCTCTCTTGTGGCCAAACGTGAGTTATTTCACCAGCTACATAAATGTGCTGGTTTGTGGTTATATTCTGGATTTTTCAAAATGTGCTTCTCACGTGTAAACAAAAGATTAGTAATATAAAGAAAAGCTAGTAAAATGAATCAAGCTGTGTAATAGAATTACACCGTGGACGATATTTGCAGTCACGTGATCACTTCTACCAATGAAATCCCGCTCTACCAGCGAGGTGCATCATGGGTAGCCCTGTGAACCACTCGAAATATACAATTGTCAGTTAAGATTTGTAAAAGTATCAAAAAGAAAGTCACCGACCAACTTTTATTCAATGAAACATTAAACGTGTCTGTTTAATATCTGTAGTTTCTGCTACAATCCGAAAGTTACACCATAAATAAGAACATGACGGAAATCTCCGTGTATATATATCTGCCCGTCGCATTGATATGACGTGTTGTATGAAAGGAGAGAAGGTTAGCACTCCCCTTGACAAGGATGGAATTGGCCCTTGTGGCCATCAACACACATACGGTTAAGGCACTGCCACCTACTTCGTGGCATCTATAACCAATTTTTTTCCATCATAAATTCGTTACGTTTTCTTAAAAACGCCGTAGTGTAAGTTCGTATTTCCTGATGTAAGACCAGTCTCGCGCATAGACAGACGGCTGCCCTTCTTCTTGTTGCTGTTATTTTTTCCCTCTTGGCCAGTTGGAACACACAGATGTTTAACCAAACGCTGACCCTCCACCTGCAGCCGACCTCACTGAGCCACACTCCCAACTACATTTTAATCTTTATGAATCCACTCACCGTTTTTCTGAAGGGGCTTTTTTCAACCGTATTTCTTTGTGGTTTTCTATATGATTCAGGATATCAAAAGCCAATACAAGAAACACACTTCGTTATTTCTTTCCTTTCCTCAACAATTTTGAATTTTACAGGGAAATATTAATCATTGAACGATTACTCAATTAATCCAGTGCCTTGTAAAAAAGATATTTGTAAAACTGAACTAATGTTTTCTTTGTACAATACAAAAAGTGCATTATAAGAATAAACAAGACAATGAACACATCTTAATACTTTTGTAGTTTTATTTAAAAATGTAATAAGGTCATGTAGTTTGTAAAAGGTTAAAAAATGGGCTCCTGACACATGTTATTTACATACACAAATACTTCAGACACAAAAACGAATATGTATGTATATATATATTATTATGTTCCCTGGCAACGTAAACAAAACAAACGCGAGGGAAATCGGGAAACTAGCAGACAACAGCGGATAGGGCAAACCGGCTCGGCTGTGATCCATTAAGCCTTCTGCTGGACTGTCTGCAAAATACGGAAAGACTCAAGTACACACAGGCCACCAACAGGGAGGTAACAATATATTTATACAGGTAAATCCCTTTGAACATTACATACTAGACTTTGCATACCATTTACAGAAAAACAAAGCATGTAAAGCCCTTTTCCTTCATTGTTTTTCAGATTTTTAACATTGTAAACAATTAAAAAAATTGACAGTAATGGTGATTTATCATCCAATGCCATCTGATCAGCAGAAGATGGCTCCGGGAGCTCTTATTTTTAAGCATGTCATTTGCACTATGCTGTGTTTTTTTTGTGTTTTTTAATACATAAAGAAATAGGTAAAACGGCAATGAAACATCAGGATACTTCTGCTGATATGTTTGTTTTATGAGTAAAGGCAATACTGATTTGCATCAGTAACCTGATAAGAGGTAGCAAGGTAATTTACCACATTAAATAAGAAATGACCATATATTTGTCCATAACCACAGTTAGAGAAGAAATGAACTCTAAAACATAGAAGCACACATGTCACCTGGTCCTCGGGGTGTACCGGCTTGCCTCCCGCCTGGGAGGTTGAGTTACAACAAAACAAGTGCACCTGTATAGTTACTTTGTTGGAGAATAAGTATTATATTTATATTTTTGCATCGATAATGTTGAAGGCCGTCTTTACTAAGTAGATCAGCAGGAGAGTGAGGGTGAGGGTCCATCAAGCCTTTGCTGGTCGCTGGACTCCAAAAGCTGTGATGAAGACATTGACCACGACTATGATGAAGACGAATGCCGTAGCGACATTCTCCATGATGTTCAGCTTGAAGTGCGTGCTTTCATCGTTCAGGTTCCACTTAACTGACAGAAGAGGAATTAAACATGAAGACATTATTGAGGTTTGCTAAATCTGTAGCAGTGCCCACCTTTCCACCACAAGGGGGCAGCACATATTTCCCCTGTCAGATCAACGGTGAAGTAATCATTGCTTCGGCACAAAGTACAAATTAACGGTATCGGGTTGACCTTCTCGCTCAAGTCAGCATTACGTGGGTTAAAGCATTTTACTCGACAGAGCGAGATCTGGGGCTTTTGTTATTGGAAAATCCTGAGATAGATATAAATTACCCAAGGTTTTCGAAAGGACAGTGGACCCGGCACAATAGTGTTCTCTGTTAGGATAAGATAAGAGGTAGGCGGGGACAAACTGACGTGTTGGAATACAAACTTATGTTCACACCTGTGATCGTGTGACACGGAATGTGGAAGTTTATACGTTTCTCAAGTTTGTGCACCGGTGTTGTCGCTTTTGGCAGAAATCAAACATCACAATACACAACGGTGTATTGTTTCACTGTAAATCCTCTCATTTGTGAAGGCCGGGGTTTGCCGAAGAGGCTCCAGACTCACCGATGAAGATGAGCAGAACTCCCACTACGATCTGTAGGATGAGGGAGATGCTTATGAGCGTAATAAGGGGCACGTAGAAGGTGGAGTCCGGTCCTTGCTCCATGACGGCCTTCAGCTGCGAGGCGTTGGCCATCAGGAGAGCCACGTCCAGCATGCTCTCTGCCGCACTCTTCTTATTGGCGTAGTGGTTCATGTTCAGAGGCCCCTGGGGCCTCCTCTGGGAGCCTTGCAGCGGGAGCTGAACACAAACGCAAACCCCCCCGACATTAGTTGACACGGAAGTGATCGGGTAAGAAACGTGGTGCCCGAAACAGCTTCGTTGGGTACGTCGCTTATGTTTGTTTATTATATTGGTGGGGATTTTGCGATGCGGCGTCTCAGGCATCTTTTACTAAACAAAGTTTCGTGTGAACAACAGAGAGAGCAGATCTCCGCCAAGGCCACGCCAAAGTGAAACATATTTTCTTAATAAGATGGGATCCGGAGTGCGCTGTTCTCTGGCCAAATTTCTGTGATAAAAAATAAAACCCGTGGGCATTTTCCTTTTCACAACGGTGACCCTGAATCATCCCCTTGAACTTGTGTAAACATGGTATTCAACATGGTATTGTGTGGGTGAGTATTTCTCAACATCAAAAAAAACTCCACTTGTCATTTAAAATGACAGAAGTACAAACTGGGACTTTTTTTCATCAAACATCCTAACAGACACAATATACTTATGTACATTCCCAAATATCAGAAGTGAGTCACGGGAAAACTAAGATCCAGATTCGTGCAATCAGGAGTAGTTCTGTTTGCTACGAAAGTGAAAGTGTTCAGTGACATAATTCAAAGGGGAACTTTGGTTTTTTTTGAGTTGGTCTTCGTCCAAGGGTCAAAAGTAATTGGTCATGCCGAATACTTGGTGGCAAGCTGACCTTGTCCACATCTGCAACACAACAGCCTCCTCCACCCAAATGTGGTGTGAACACTCGAGTCTTTACGCTGTTTCAAATCCACCAAACATACAGCAAGCACGTCCAAAGCATTTACAACAATAATCCAGCTCACAGATAATAATATCATTAAATAGGCAACATTATTTCTTAAATACATATGTAATAAATATGTAATAAGTAGTCATTTTAGGGGTTGGGGTTGTAAACCGAGGGAAAACACTGCATGCTGTTAACATGTGGACAGAATAACATATTCAGGAAGGGGGGGTGGTGGTGTTGGGTGGTGGGGGGGGGATCTCTTTCCTTCCTTTTTGTGGAACCGCAAAGAAACCCGTTTAGTTTTTCGTGGACGAGAGATGAGTCCTCTGTCTCTCTTTATCTTGGGTGTTTAGTCTGGGGGAATGAGGTTTAGAGAAATGAAGACACCGGCCTGGTGCCCGAGTCGGCCACATCCCACGCTGAGGTTTGAGTTGAAGCCTTCCTTCTGAAACCCCACCGGCTCCCGTGGTCGACCAGGAGACCGGTGGGAAGTCAGTAGATGTCAGTCACTGAATCATCTGCTACAACTTCATTTCCTCTGTTTTTTGTAACTGCCTTCTACCCGCCCGTGGCTCCCCTGCCTTTCAAAGGAGTGTTAATCTGTCCGTTTTCATCGTCTTCATCAGTTTCCTCATGTCACAGATGAACAGGTGAAAAATGAACTTGGATTCTTGCCTTGCTGGCCAGAAGAAGGCACTGGTAATATTTAAGATATAACCCAATAATGCCACTATTGCCACATTTTATTATTAAAGTTTATGATCTGAAACAAGTATCTATATATATCAGCAATTATTTCGGGGATAATTATACTGGTTAGTCTTTTAAAAGAAAGAGAAAGGAAACAGCTCACAGAAGATTACCTTATTTTCAAATCACTTCCATCCAATAAAAAGTGGCACCGATGATTCCATTTAAGATTTTTAGTTAAAATAAATAATACAGATATAATAATTTCAATGAAAGCACATTAACAAAAAAACTACTTTATCAATTCAGTTGCGGATCTTTTTTTTCTCCCACAGACGTGAACTCGCAGTTGATCCCAGATCCCAGATAATAATATTAATAAATAGGCAACACTGTTTCTTAAATACATGATGTAAACACAATACATGCAGTAAGTAGTGATGTGGAGGACAAGGGAGCAGAAACGTGCCGGTGTGACAGAGATGTGAAGCCGGACATTTAGTCCCTATAACGTTTAACGTGGTAACGTTGCCTTCACTTACCTCCGCCCCGTTGTTTCGCTCAGCATCACCGTTCATTTCCATGTTTTCCGTCGCCATAACGGTAAATAAGTGCGAGAAATAACGTTAAAAATATAGACCGAACGCGGTTGGTGGGAAGTGGGTAAGAGTCAGCCGGCGGGCACGAATGCAGGCTGAGTAAAGAAACAATTAAAAAAAAAGGCTGTCCGTCAGCAGAGGAGAAGAAGAGCTTCAGGCGGCCGCCCCTCCAGCGCGGGATCCGGAAAGTCCTCAAAAAAGAAGTTAAACCCGGGTTAGCAACTCACGAGCGAGGCTCTCTTCCGGGTAATTAATAGCCCGAGTTAAACTGAAACCCCGGCGTGTGATGTGTGAGCTACGCGGTGCTTTTCACTGCGGTCGCCAGCAGAGCGTGAAGGCTGCGAGGGGAACGCGGCTCACTACCGCCGCCCTGCGTGTCTGTGCGGTACTGCACGCTGGAGGCTCCCCTGCGGATGAATTGAAATTTGCGCTTTGGTAGCGGATATTGCACATAAAATAAATGCATTTACAAAGACAACAAAGTAATTGGCGCATGAGCGGTTATTGGGGGGGCCTTGGGATCGCTCAGCAGTAACACAAGCATTAAATTGATTTACTAAATGATCGTAAATAAATAGATTATAATCAGGCACGTGCACAGACATTTTGGGGTTGCAGGTGCTCAAAATAAAACAAATGGGCACCCATCGCCAAAAGTATTCATGAAATTAAAAATAATAATTTAATAAAAACACAGTAGGATTTTTTCAACTTACATATTTATTTTTGTTAACTCAAATTGAATAAATAAATGAAATACAGCCAAAAACAGACAAAACAAGGCAATTACTTAAGCTTAAGCAGCCACACTAGGTTGTGTATCACATTTATTTCCGTAGTCTAAAAATGCTATACACTAAAAATAGTGCATAGCAACAGCCACACAGCATTGTAAACATCACGTTTGTTGGCCAAGCACCAGAAGTTTGTTGATGATCAGCTATGAGATCGACATTCATTTGTGCGTCGTCTGAAAACATCCCAGGTCTCCTGGCAAGATGTCGCACCATCTCATACATTCACATCACTCATGACGTCAAACTGAATTGCCCTCTTTAGCTAAAAGGTGTCCTAAAGCTGTTGCGTAAGCTCGCAGCACCACTAGGAGTCTATCTGTGCACGTGCCTGATTATAATATTAATGAGGTGGTTAAGATATTCACCGCTACAGGACAATTCAAAGTTCCAACTTGAAAAGTTGTTATCTATAGAGATTAAGCAATTATGTTTAATTTGATTTCTGTACCATATGAAGAATGGTAATGGTACTTTTGATGTTACAAGTGTATTTTACGGAAAGTTAACAATGTAAGAATACAGCATAATGATTAATGTCTTCACTGAAAATCCGTACCCTGTGAAACACATTCAGTCACAGGCACATGCACAGACAGATAGACTCCTAGTGGTGCTTAAGCACCTGCCTTTTTGCCCTGGGTGAGAAAAGTGCCTTTAACTTTCTATATATAGTAACAACACCCTCAAACTCTAACATTAAAGTACAGCCTCTCGTACCTAATTTCTTAAGTACAACATGGCCTTGTTTTGTCTGTTTTTTCCTGTTATTTATTTATTCAATTTTTTTTCAATTATTATTTTTAATTTCATGAATCTTTTTGGCGATGGGTGCCCTTTCGTTTTGGTTTGAGCACTTGGCCCCCAAAATGTCTGTGCACGTGCCTGTTCAGTCATGTGGGTCATGAGGAAAATAGCCTCAGGATGACCAGTCGGCAGTAGATTTTTCACATTGTAGCCCCACCCCAATGGCCTGACCACACCCACCAACTGGTTACTGTTGTTTCCTCTGTTTCCCTGGTGATGGCAAGCGTATCCCTCAAGGTTGACCTTGGGAAATGTAAATGTTTTAGCTTCCTCCGCGTGGGAAGCAAAATAAAACTTTTGAGGCCTTAAGTGACAATTCTGACATCTCTATTTGTGTCCTAACTATTTTTTCCATGCACATTTTTGATTTTCATGACATGCTGTAATAATCAATTTTCCCCAAACTGGTTTATGTTACCAACAAAAAGTCAGGATAATCTCTGCTTAATAGATAAGCATATGTTACGTCCCCTTTTCTCCTGTTTTGTGAATAGAGAGGGAGGTCAGTCTTGATTTTCCTTTTCCCACGGTAGGTTAGAACACATGTGTTTTGTAGCTAGGGGGGTGGTTTTGTTTATTGTTTGGGCCTTCCTTTAGTGGTCTTTTGTGATAAGTTGTTAAGAAATTGTGTTTACTTTTGTTGAAACTTTGTGCACGCCTTATTTATCTTTGCCGTTCCACCTTTGCCAAGCCTACCTCTTTTTCCAACATTTTTGTGTTACGCCTGTGCACCCCTGGGCACGATAGGCGGGCCGTAACAGCGTACTTTTAGTGTTTACCTGGTAATAATATTGTTATCCCCTTGTGATAACAATACGCATTAAACTAAGCTTCACAAATTGCTTCTACACGCTGTACTGTTATCTGCAGCTAAATTGTGAGAATAAACTAATTTCATTCAATTGCAATGTTTGAATGCAAATTCTTCACTGTTAATCTTGTTGTTTTTCAAACACGGCCTCCTCCATATTGGTGCAGTTTTAATGCAGTTTTTTATATGCCACTGATAATCTATTAAGTTATATATGATTCCAAGTCAAATAAGCTTAATTAATACAGTAGGGAGACTTTTAAAAGTCCCCTTTACTCGCATATACCTTTTCTAACTGAAGTGTACAGAGATTAAAGACGGAAGAATGAAGACAGGAAATAGCTAGATGTGTATTATATACGATATAATAATACAAATAATGCATTAAATACCTTTCTCAAGTAATATTTCTGAATAATTCTGGTACCTATCGGAGGTGCTGCGGTCCTCGGCCTCCCTGCACCGGCTCCCCACGACAGGACACGCTGCATAATTAATATGGGTCCGGTGCGCGTTATCCGGTTTCCCATCAGCGTGCCTTTTGGTTGGCGGATTTAACGCATCACGGGGGGTGTAAACTCGCGTCCTCAGAGCCCGTGTGTCACTGGATACTGAGAGTGGCGAGTTATTGGACACGTGTTGTTGCTAGGGGCGTGGGTTGGGCCGTGAAATATTCTACTTCTCCCGAATCCGAAAGGGATGAAATGCAGTGAGGATAACAGTCGCATCAGCTGGGAGCCGGATGTGCTGAGAGCTGTCCGATTCAACCCTGGAGGGGCGGGGGACGAGGGACGGGGGGGGAGACTGTGCCGCAGTGTGCATGATCTGATCAGTCTCCGTCCATCCTGCACTACATCCTGCTATCTCAAGGTAGCTAAACGCACAATGCAGTCCGGCCCGCGTTTGTGTCTCGGGACAGCAATGTATCTGCGGGACAACATCACGTGTCTGTAGTTTGCGCCGCCGCGGGGATCTTATGCAACGTGGACTGTTTTCGTGAACCGGCGATGACATCAGGCTCGACCCGAGCGAGGTGGACCGGGGCGTGAGGAGGGGAGCCGGCGAAGCGCGCGCCTTCCGAGCCAGACATTTTTCTGTTGTTGTTGCTTTTTTTGTGTGTCCTAAAGGAAATTCAAGGCATGTGACGTCCGCGCATCCTGTGAACTGCGTCACTGCATGCGAGTGTTGCAGGTAGGCAGCAAACTCACCTGCCACCAGTAGAGGAGCACGCCTCCCAGCTCCCATCCTCCCCCCCCCAGCATCCTCCCTCCCAGCACAATGTCGCGGGTAAGTGCTTGAAACATCTACTCGGGATGGATTCGGCGGATCATTCAAGCGCAGATCCGCCACTGGGATCCACGTATTCCTCAGCACCCAATTTAGATACGGATATTAACGCAAACGCCCGTGGGCATGTTTATCAGAACGGGACAGGCCACAATGTCAACATGGAGAATGAAGCGCTGCGGGGAGCAAGTGACCCCAGCGCGTACCCCTCCACCGACTACCGGGCGCTGGTCCGGCAGCGGTTCATCAGGCGGAGTTTGTGGGTGTCGGACGCCGAAGACAGCGGCCACTATCCAGCGGACGCGCCGGAATGCGTCAACGGCGTTGACCTGCGGACTGTCGTCGACCGGACTCGAACCCGGGTCCTGCACGCGGCAGCCCGCCTGGGCCTCCAGGAGCCGCCGGGCACGGAGGGCAAGGTGGAGCCGGAGGCCGGCGCCGGAGAGAGCGCGGGTGCCGAGGAGGAGAAGGGGGGCGGGAGCGAGGCCGAGCCGCAGGTAGAGGTGGCGAACTCGGAGGCCACAGGTAAAGCAGGAAGTGACGAGAACGAAGAGGAGCCCGGGATGAAGGCCGTGTCCACTTCACCGGGGGGCCGCTTCCTGAAGTTTGACATCGAGCTGGGGAGGGGGTCCTTCAAGACGGTCTACAAGGGCCTTGACACCGACAGCTGGGTCGAAGTGGCATGGTGTGAACTTCAGGTGGGTTCCTCCAGCATTCGAGGCCAACAATCAATCAATCAGCCAATAATTGATAAAACTAGCTTATTATCTGGGCTTAGTTCATTGTTACAATGTCATTTAAAAAAAAATTAAAAACCCACAGAGAAGTCAATCCTGTGTCAGTGCGCAAACAAACAGGTCACACTTATTTGGTCAAGGGAACACTGGATAGGACTTTACTTTCTGGATGTATTGACGCTATTGTATAAGATTGGGCATTTTAAGTTGAAACAGTCGGACATGTTCACGACTCTTCTCTTTGCTGTAACAGAAATATCAACACCAGAGCCGTGGCTCTCGGGTAGTGTATTGTTAATTAAACACTGCTTAAAAGACATTGTCTATTTACAGGGGGACTCCACATCTGAAAGTGAATTTCTCGCCGTTGTTCTTCCACTCTAGGAAGAGTAGCTTTGAGTCAACGTAATCCTGTTCTTTTACCTAAACAGTATACAGTGTCAGCAGGTGGACTTTTCATTGAGTCCGAATGTTAACATGGGGCAAATATAAATACATGGTCTCATAGCACCAACAGTTTATCCCTAATCTGTGCATGAGTTAATCTAATGATCAGTTTAAATGCTCTCCATGTGATGTACAGATTAGCCTGTAGACAGACCTGTGCACAACGGTTGCCCTTTCAGGGCTGAAATACAGTCTGTCCTCGACCAAACAGTTTCCTTTAAAACAGGTACATACTGTACTGTAGACACTTGTGTAGGCTTATATTTAAACAAAACCGGTGTGTATTTTCATTTTGGTGTTTCTAATATAAGAGGAAACGTTCTTTCCTGCTAACATATTACTGGTTAGTCAAAAAACAAATAAATAAAGCTATGAGTCAGCAACTCAATATCACCTCATGAAGCTTTATTTGACTTTGAATTATCTTACTTATAATCAAGCTTGTGACTTTGAGACGCAGCCCTGCGGCAGGATTTTATTTAGATTCAGTGCGGCTTCAGAACAAACAGGCGGTGCTTTTTTTGTCTTGCAGAATCCAGGTTCACCCCGTCAGGCCCGAGGGAATAAGAAATACAATACATTACAGCACAAGTCAATTGGGTTCAGACATTGAATTAAATCACCATTGCTTATCTCGCAGCTCTTGTTGGCAACAATCACACTAACACTGGATTCCAGCGAGGCAAGAGATGCAACTGAAATCCTCTTTTATTCATGTGCGTCCTATAACATTCGCATGTGAAATTTAAATCAATCATTTCATGAGTGAACAAAGTGAGCTCACAATTAGGTAAGGAATTGCCTCCTTCTTAAATCCTGCGCTTCAGATGTGGTTCTCCACTCTTGTAAATTGAGTTTAACAAGGGATCGAGTATTATGCACCAACTGTTGTTCATATAGGAGGACAACATTCACTTCAGTGTGCCTCAAAGATTTCTTTCCATATTTCTTGTCAGAGACAAAGACCAATATTTTTTTACCACTTCTACATATTTAATGGGAGTTTTGAGAGAAACATTATTTTTTAGAGTGTACTATGGAAGGCATTCATCATGCATGAAGATCTTTACAGTGAGTGTTTATGTACCGCGTGCGTGCTTGTTTTTTTGCGTCTGAGCAGGTTCTTAGGGGAGATATAGGGATGATTCAACCATTCTGTCCCCAGAGATGAGGCCTTATCTTGCTCACCAAAAGCCTGTGCGAAGTAAATGGTGTGCCTTTGCTGTTTGTGTGTTCGAGAGCAAGACAGAGAGTGAGGCAGCAGAAAACATAAATAAAAATATTTATGAATGGTTTGAAAATGCAAGGTGCCTGGTGTCAGGTCAACCCACTGTTCGGCATTAGTTGTCTTAAACGTGGCTTAATAATGAATATTAAACAGGGATTCATACTCCTTTGGTCTCTCAAACACAGATTTGTGTGTTGTGTGATAGTGCCACACCCTGCTTAGAGCTTCTCTTTACATAATAATCATTAGTAATCTGGTTGTTAAACACCTTGAGAATAGCAAAAGCGATGGGGTGACCTGTGATGTATCTGTTGTAAATCAGAACGAGCATTATGAAGGGAGCTAAAGCGTCAAGGTTTATCCCTCACAGTTCTGCTCGTAATCTAAGAACACTGCATTGCACTGTGTGCTGTAAATGAAATCTGATTCCCATTAATCAATTAATAATCAATACCAATACCCTAGGTTATTGTGCACGCCGGACATTTAAAACCAAAAAATGCACCCTCATCGCCACCATTAAGTCCGTATATTGAGAAAGAGGGAGAGAAAATCCAGAGGTCGTTCAGCATCTGTCGAGGCTGAGGGCATTGAGTTGTATCTGCCATGCTGAGTGGAGAGAAACCGAAATGTAGAGGATGTTTGCTGTCAGCTGTTTTACTATTTATACAACAGTTCAGGGAAGGCAGGGGGGGGTGGGGGGGGGGGGGTATTGATCCACTATACAAGGCTTGTCAGGCTTGTATGCCCAAAGATGAACTCTAAATAACTGTACACAGTAACTAAATGAGCCTATTCTTGATGTTCTGGGCTCTGAGGAGGAAAATATCTAGAAATGCAATCAGTATACCTACATCAGTATAATACAGTATACCATTCATAGTTGAGGGGGTTTAGTGCTGTGTGTCATACACACTAGTGATGAGGACAAATATGTAGGTTTACCAACTCAACATGCAGCACTTCTAACAGAGCTCCATTCCTGAACAGACGGCAGACTTTTAAAGGAGGTTGAGAAAGGATTGTATGCTCTGTTGCCCCTTGATTGAGCCACTATAAGGCTCCAGATTACTGACAAAAATGAGTGGATGAACTGGGAATTCATTATTTATCAGTAAAAGAAAATCTTTCTTTCCTTTTCACAGGAACGGAAACTATCCAAAGCCGAGAGACAGAGGTTTAAAGAGGAGGCTGAGATGTTGAAGGCTCTCCAACATCCCAACATTGTGCGATTTTATGACTTCTGGGAATCACCGGTTAAAGGAAAGAAGTGTATCGTTCTGGTAACAGAGCTGATGACCTCAGGGACACTTAAAACGTGAGAATCGATGCAAGATAGAACCTTTTCTGTGTGTTGGTATGCTTCTCAGCTCATAAGTCTCCTTTTCAACATTACATACCTTATTTACGTTGCTGATTGCTGAAGGTCAAATATTATCTGTTCTTATTCATTAGTTTGTTTTTCTTAAAGCCTCACATTAATGTTAGGCTTTTATAAGGCCTCGTGGAAGAGAAAAGAAAAAAAAGAACGTAACTATTGATTGTTCCTCCTACTCAAATAACTAATTCAAATGTTAAAGTCAAAGTCAAAATGAGAATAGAATAGTCATCAGATACATGTTGTTTGCAGCGAGTGCTTAATGGAAATCATAATAAACCACAACAACTTCATTCACGCAGTGACCAGTGGGGACAGATATGTAAATTCCTGATTCAATGTGTTTTCAATGGAGGACGTGGCTACCTGGTGACAACAGGAACATCTTTTCCATCTTTTCACAGGTATCTGAAGCGTTTTAAGTTGATGAAGCCCAAAGTTCTCAGAAGCTGGTGCAGGCAGATTCTCAAAGGCCTCCACTTCCTCCACACAAGAACTCCTCCAATCATCCACAGAGACCTCAAGTGTGACAACATTTTCATCACTGGTCCCACAGGCTCTGTGAAGATAGGAGACCTGGGCCTGGCAACACTGAAGAGGGCCTCCTTTGCTAAAAGTGTCATTGGTTAGTCATCAGCTATTTGGAGGGATTTCAATTTAGCCTTTATTTTTGTGTTTAATCGTATTGTAAAATCAAGTGTTTGCTTTTAGGCCCACTGTAGTTTGTATCTGTTGCTAATGCTAAGCAATGTAAAGGTTGGACCGAACATCTTTGTGCTCCTCACCTTCCGATCAATTCTCTGTTCTCTGCCATTTGAGTCATCATTAAGTGTTGGCTTTCAGTCCTGGAATTGCTCCTTCTGAAATAGAATGACACAATAACATGGTGTTAGAATTGAGCTCCGTCTCTTGCGTTCATTCTGTAGGCACTCCGGAGTTCATGGCCCCCGAGATGTATGAGGAGCACTACGATGAGGCTGTGGATGTCTACGCCTTTGGCATGTGCATGCTGGAGATGGCCACCTCAGAATATCCCTACTCTGAGTGTCAAAACGCTGCTCAGATCTACCGCAAAGTCACTAGTGTGAGTTCACGTTCAAACCTGTCAAATGGCTATTGCAAATATGTTGACAGGTATTCAGGGTCCGTTGTTCTTAACAAATGAATCATTTGTGTGATTTGAGGCATGGAGACATCTGCAGAGGTTGCAATTATATATATATATTTTTGTCCATTTTAACCATATTTTATAGACAGACTGACAATGTATTCTTTAAAATGCTACAAATTACAACATTGGCTCCACTGACATTTAACCAAAGTAAAAATGAATGAATCACCCAACTGTGTGATCTGTGAGAAAAGTTGTAGTTAACAAGCTTGCAATCAGTACATCATTTACTTTCTTTGTTATCCTGTTTTGTGTGTTGCAGTTGTTAAAACGATTCATGTTGCTGTTGATTTGTTTTGCAGGGGGTGAAACCTGCCAGCTACAGTAAAGTCAGTGACCCAGAAATTAAAGAGATAATCGGGGAATGTATCTGCCACAGACGGGAGGAAAGGTAAGTGGGGAAGCACTGATGACTTTTGTGTCTGACGTATCGAGATGCACATTGTGTGTAGAAAGCGGTGTTGGGAACGGCCTCACGCGGGGCACCATTATGTTGGGCGCGACATAGGGGTAATGTGTTGGTTAATAGCTAGTGTGAAATTAAATCATTGACAATAGAATTATTAATAATCGCTAAGACAATTCACAAAATAAATAAATAACGGGGCACGGGGTCCCACCTAAAAAGGGACTAATATCCAAACTACAAATCAAGTCTCGTAATTGATATTCACTCATTAAGGTTTGAGTTCGTACACTGGCGATGCTGCAGTACACGTATGTACAAAGAAATCACAGAAAACTGCTCCTTACGGTAAAACAGGGTTTACAGTGTGTGTGAGTGTGTGTGTGTGTGTGTGTGTGTGTGTGTGTGTGTGTGTGTGTGTGTGTCTGTGACTGTGAGATAAGGAGGGAGAGCTCAAGAAGGGAGCTAGCTGGACGCTAAGCTACCGAGCACACGGCTGAGGTGTTGCTAGCGGGCTGTGTTTGTACACCACGTGTGTTCCTCACAGGGTTAAACCTCTGTCTGTATGTAACTAGGTTACCTACCCAGTTACCTACAGACAGGTGTGTGTGTGTGTTAGAAACTCAAAGCAAAGCAGATCTTCCCAGACATTGCCTTACTGTGCGTTGATGGGTTTTTCTGTGTCCTTTGTTGTGGGGATCGATTGTGGATCATGAGGCCTGTTGGGTTTCTTGGTGGCCCAAAAGCTGTTGGCGCTCTTGTGTGTGGGGTTTATGTCCTGCAGCAGAAATGCATTCAAAACTCGGCCTTGGTTTACGCCATGGTGGAGCCCAACAGCGGGTAATCCTCATCTCAACACTGTTGGTTTGTTTCTGTTCCTGCAGTGTGACGTCAATGCTGGTATTGGGCTCTGACCCAGTTGATGTTTCTGTGTGGGTTAACTTACCATCATTGTGACCTTTGACTGAACCCGGTGCTCGTGTATTTCCTATAGGTACTCCATCAAGGACCTCCTGAATCACGCCTTCTTTGCAGAGGACACAGGCGTGAGGGTGGAGCTCAATGAAGAAGATGATGGGAAGAAATCATCTATTGCCCTGAAGCTGTGGGTTGAGGATACTAAAAAACTGAAGGGGAAGTATAAGGACACTGGGGCCATTGAGTTTTCCTTTGACCTTGAAAACGAAGTCGCAGAGGTTGTTGCCCAAGAAATGGTAAGCGATTTTTTAAAGTTACTGAAAGATAATTGTGTTTTATTTATTACTTGTGTAGCAATTAGAGATCCCAAACCAGGCTAAGCTGGTGCTCCAAGGAAAGGCTGGATCCTTTTTATGGACTGGTTTAGATGTCTCTGGTCTCTTTTCACTTCAGCTTTTATGGTCACTGTTTCCATCTACTGACACCTCATAAATAGCTCTAATTTTGTGCACAAGGCATTTTAAGCTGCAAGTAACCCATAGCAACAATACTGCTCTTGGCTACAATGACCTGTTAACTCTCATTTGTAAAATGAGAGCTAATCAACTCCCATCGATTAAACTAGCAAAAACCAACTAGATTGTGCTTTGAACACAATTTCATTTTCTGTCATTAATAAGCGGCTGGTAATACAGTATTACAGCAGTCTTTACACAATCTTGGGCCCTTTTAATTAGATGTAAACAAATGCGAAGGCGTTAACAGGCATTTCTGGCATTCCGGCGTTGTGACTCATTCTCTTCAGGGATTTGAATAGAAAGAATATTTGCCGACCGATTACATACGGTGCTGAATTACAAACGAACATTACAAGTGTCTAATATATTTCATGCAGGTGGAATCTGGGTTTTTCCTCGACTGTGATGTGAAGATTGTCGGAAAGTCCATCCGTGACCGCGTGGCTCTCATCAAATGGAGGAGGGAGCGTACCGTCTCGTCAGGAAATGGCGAAGTAGCTGTGAAGAAGCCTCAGCCGAACACACTGCAGGTGCCCGGTACCGCAGTACCACAGGCACCCACGCTGGCTACGACGGATCATGAGAACCAAGAGGTGGAGCATCAGACCCTGATCTGTGCAGTGCCAGCCACCACATGTGAGAACCTGCGATTAAAAGCACACGTGAACATATCGTATATAATACAACCTCAGTGTGGAGATGGGCAGCAGCATTAACATACTGAAGACAATAATATTTAAAAGAGACAGCATCAAGATGTAATTGTTTCGTTGTGCTTGTTATTTAGAAAAGACCAACTAATGTATACACTCGATTTCCTAATTGACGGCCTTGAACACTGACCGCAATTAAATAACGCGTGAGCAAGTGTGAGGGGCAATTAGTCTGAGGCATCCATGAGTATGGTCTTCCTGTCTGAACTTCCATTAGGTCTACATTCGTCATCAGTGAGGCATCCTCACACAGCATTTGACTTCCCTTCCCTTGTTCTTCCTGCAGAGTGACGGTTGTGAATCATAATGTTTGTTTTTACAGCTGACAGCGGATTGAGCTCTACTATACATTTAGATGACCTCAGCAGTCAGCAAGATGGCCCCTACCAGTCACCTCCGGAGCCCATCTCCACAACACAGCAGATCTACAGTCCTCCTGCACAGGTTGAGCCTCAGTTGCACCAAGGAACGTACCAGCAGACCCCAGCACAGGCCTCTCAAGAAAACTACACGCAAACATCCACTCAATTACCCGAGGGGGCCCCCCAGCAGCTGCATCCTGGAACCTATCATCAGCCTGCAGCACAACTGCAGCAGGAGTCTTATCAGCCTCAAACAGTGAGTGACGCCATTTCTTAATTCTGTTGCAACTTTCTTAAATCCTTCATTTGTTTTCTGAGTTGTTTTCTGAAATAACGACACTTTTATCCTTTTTTTCTGGAATGATGCCTGATCAGCGTCACAGCAGTGATCCCTTTGTTTGTCACAACAACCGGTTTGACACTGAGAGCCGAGGGTGTTTTAGGCGCGGAAGCGCCTGCCTGGTTGAGATATGGTGTAAGAAACACTCCCTCGCCAAGACGATGAATAAAAACGCCTGCCTTTGTCTGTCCCAGGATCCGGCTTTAACAAAAAGCACTGAGAACTTATCTTCCCCATTGCCCCAACGTGAACACTCTCATCATGACTCAGCAAGTCATTTCCATTCACCTGTCCTTCACCTAAATATACAACCTCCCTCAGAGCTCCCGTCTGTTTGCGCCAGGCAACCCGCAGCCCCACCGCCACTGCAGGGCTTGCATGTCTCGCCTTTTGAGGGCTAAGAAAAAGGAAGTTGCCCCTTTCGGAACACACACACACAAACCGTCTCCCCACATCCGCCCGTTTTTACTTCAGTCCTTAAGCCAGACTGGTCCACATCTTCCCCTTGGCCTCACCCTGTCCCCTATCAAACAGTGGCCCGAACCGGATGACTTTACCGTCGCGTTCATCCCCCCTCTCGCAAGTTTTGCTCCCGAGGAGTTTGTTTGAAGGTGGCGATCTCACTCTTCTCGACCGCGTTCTCCATCACATCGTCAATCGCAGAACCAGTTCCCCCGCCCTGTCTGCTCATCATCCAATGCACTGCCATGGGGAGGTCAGGGGGTGGTACCTCCTCAGTGGTTGAGCATGGAGACAAGAGGCGAAGTCTGGATGTCCCGCTCTTCTCTAGCCTAAATCTGGATAGGGATCGGCTGGTGTCAGTACATGACAGAGACAGCAGACCAGATTCACTGGTAGGTTAGAGAAGGAGGCTGCATGTAGGTCCTGTGGTAGCAGCAGTCGGCCTTTTTTTTTCATGACACCTATTTCCCCCCCCCCCCCCCCTCGCCTTTCCAGGGCAGTAGCAAAGCCAGCCCCCCTGCAGCCAGTCTCTGCTCCCTAATCCAGAATAAAGTCTCTGTTTTACTGCGGCAACAGAGGTGAGAATGGGATAATAAAATAAAAATATCAACATCCCTTCTCCATATTAGCCGGCTTTATTGAACCTTTCCAAAATACACCCCTCTCTACTTTCCTGCGTATGGCTCGCCTTTAACCTTGAGCTTGATTTGTAGATAAACAAACGAATGTGTCATATTGTTCCTAAAAAAACAGGTGGATTAAATGTGATCTCTCTTATGCGTTTCTGACAGACAGCGTCGGCTCCGGCTACACCAGCTCCTATTGTGCACCAGAGTAGAGAGACAGAGACAACGCAGAGTTTCCCACCTGCAGCTCCTACTCAACAACCACATCCTTCTGCCCAACCCGGCCAGGAGCAGGTACTGCATGCATGCATCCATCTCTGGCAACAGTGAGACACAAAAGGCAGAATTAGGAAGCAAAAGATTAGAAGTATCACTGGTTTTCAGTGTCAACTCTTGCAAACCATTTAATAAAATTTAGATTCAGGTGCAATGGCAACTATCTGAAAGCTCACTATTTGTAAGGTATCTTTGTGTGAGGTGGGTCCAAAGTGTATCTGATGTCCCCTTTTAAATACTTCATCACATACTGTCAATCTACATGTGTTTGTCTTTGTGTGAATGGCTTGTCATGTTGTTTGGGTTTGCATTTGTGTTTCCTCAATGTAGTGCCATCTCCAACCAGCTGCTGTGCTGCACGAGGTACAGCCATCGATTCTTATAACTTAACTGCAGGTGGCAGCAGTACACACACTGCAAACTACACAGAATCATTTCCAATGAGTCCACTTTCCCGGCGGCTAATTTTGACTTCAGGCGAGCTGTCAGACAGGAACATGTTCTGAGATTCGTTTATTCGTTTATTTCCTTCCTTGGCTGTTATCTGATGGCCACACTAGAGTCCTCCTGACAGTTTCCCACAGTCAGTGTCCAGTACTCGTACTCACTCCCGCCGCTTCAGATCAGCACACTGGTGCGCTGTGGTAGCGTTAGAAACTCAAGATCAAGGTTAGCAGTTAGCAGGGAATTTACAAGAAATATCCTACTAATGTATAAGTTACAGGATTCATACATAAAGGGCTTGTGTGAATGTAATTCATATCACTGGTTGTCCTTGTTCATTTTATATAATTTTCCCCTCACCATATCCGTATGTTCAGATAGGCCTCCGGGTCGGTTCCATGTGCCCACAGCAGCAGTGACCCTCTTATGTCCCACTACTGCTCCCACTACTCACCATCACCCCTCCCACCCTCCCTCTGACCCCTCACACATTTGTACCCACTCTTGGAAGCCCTCAGACCCCTTTGTCCACACCTCCGCACCTGTCCAATGTTGCACAATCGCAGGTACAACGTACCACCCCCCCCCCTCACCAGAGCAGGAAATGGCTGAGCTGCCTGTACAGGGTAAAATTGGTTCCCACTGTAATGATTGGTTCCCTCAATTTGCTACTTTCTGCAGGTACAGATGACGGCACCGCAGGGTCATTTGGGAGATTTTCACCTTCTGCCTGCGGTTCAGACTCCTCTCTGGGGAAGCGGAGCAGATGTTGTAACACCTGCTGCAGACCAAGACTTAACTGTTCCACCAGTTTCAGCTCCAGGCTCAATCTCAGCTGCAGCCCAAGTTGAAACTCAAGTCCCAGCACAAAATTCCGCTCTGGTTCCAGCACAAAACCAACCACCTCTCCATGTATCCACGAAAGCGGCAGTCATGCCTCCGACTCCAGCTTTGACCGTTGCGAGTGCCCCAACTTCAGTCCCAATACAAGTTCCAGTAGCAGGTCAAAACACGGCCTCTGCTCCGGTTCAAGCACCGGCCTCTGAATCAGGTCTCGTCTTTGAATCACCAAAAGACTTTTCTACGAGCTCAGACGAGTCTTATGTACTCGGCAGACCCAAATTATCAGTCCTGAGTTTAGGTTCTGCCCCAATTTCTGTCACGCTGCCAGACCCTGCTCAATATCTGCAGCCTGCTGGCAACCAGACAGCGGTCGCAGTGTCTGAGTGTGCCAGCCAGGCTGCAACTCAGCAACATGTCGATTCCACATCTTCCCCCGGCACCCTTCAACAAGATCCCTATGCAGAGGTAGGGATGGAGCCAGGGTTTGTACATTTTCTTATGCAGATGCATACTGTGCTGTTTGATGTGTAAATACTACTCATAAAGCCGGTTTAAACCTGTTTAGACTAAAATGACTCTTTCAGGACTTAGGTTAATACCACATCATGACATTAATAGTAATTTTAAAATAAGACTTTAATGAGTGTTTTGATCTCACCCATATTTCTGTCTTCAGGATGTGTTTCAGGACAAACCTGGATCTTTACCAAGTTATTCTTATGACAGGTGGGTGTCCACCTTTTTTCTGTTTTCCTAAAATTCTTTCATAACTTCCTTTAATGAAAATGTGTCACCCACGTTTCCTTTTGTAGCCTCAATTCTGATGTCGCTTCTGGTAAGGAAACAAGTGACGGCTATGACAGCTTGGCTAGTGGAGGGAAAGGAGACTTAAAACCCAGGAAACATCATCGCAAATCTGCTCGCACGCGTTCCCGTCAAGAAAGAACCAGCAAGGCCAAACTGAGCATGCTCAATGTGAGTTGTGATGTGAACATTTGAAGAGAAGCTACTCTTATTTCTTTAAAAGTGTTCATGTGTCTTGATTGTTAAGTGGAAGCCCTGCACACACAGGTTTGCAACACTGGTGATAAAATGGTCGAATGCCAGCTGGAGACTCACAACCACAAAATGGTGACGTTTAAATTTGATCTGGATGGAGATGCCCCGGAGGAAATTGCCACTTACATGGTTGGTTGAACTTTTTACAGTTTGAGGATCTCGTCATTTAGTGATTTTATTCATGACGTTGTTTAACCTCTTTGAAAATGAATGCTCACAGGCAGAGAATGGGTTCATCCTACCGTTAGAGAAGGAGATCTTCATTGACCAGCTGAAGGACATTGTGGACAAAGCTGAAGACATGCTGAGTGAAGACATAGAGGGTGAACGGGCCTCCGCCTTGAGTTGTAGTCCTGAACAAGGCCAGATTTCTGAGGCGCTGGTGGGGGAGGTAAGAGACGACTAACAACCAAAATACTATACAGCACATTTATTTAACTCACCGCTGTATCTTGCTCTGCAGAGTCAGCAGCCTGGAGCACCTCAGCCCGTCTATCAGCAGAATGGTAAAACCATTAGCTCTTTCAAAAACGGATTCATGGGCATGCCTCATTTCACTTGTAAGAAAATGGGTGGTTGAACTCTTGCAGTGCTTCACACGGGAAAGAGATGGTTCATCATCTGCCCGGTTGAGGAGACGCCCACATCCAGCCAGGAGACCCCGACGGACGGCACAGCAACGCAGTCTCTCGGGAGTTCAGCCATCGCCCAGCCTGCCGACAATGGCACCGCCAGGCCTTTTGCGCCCAGAGGTGACTTTGTTTCTAGATTCAGATTTTACAAAATCAAAATAGTAACAAATAGTTAGTTATAACGTTCTCTCACCTTTGTTTTGTTCCTCCTGCAGGAGATGGGTCATCCTCCACCATGTCCAGTGAAAGTGGTGGCTTCACCTATGATTTGTATGGATTCTGTAGCCCTCCGATAATGTCCAATACAGACCCTCTGCTCTTGGCTACCCTGTCCCCCCCTGTGTCTGCTCCCCCGATCCTCCCGTCGGTGACCTCGGTGGAGCCTCTGGTGCAGCCCAGTGTCCATCAGGCCCAGCCACCCAGTGCTCAAACTCTGCCCCCGTCGTTACCGCTGGACGAATCGCGAGGATCCCCTTTGGGCTCCGCCTCTCCGATCCACGCAGCTCAGCCGATGCCCGACATGACGCGTCCCGTCTCTATGGCTGACGAGGTGCCGTGCTGCCCCCTGGTCATGCCCCTCTCTCTGGATGTGAGCGGTTCGCAGGGCGGGTCTCGTCTCCCTCCCCTTTCACTCCAGGAGCCAGTGTCGGCCAAAGAGACGCTATCCGTCTCCTATGCCTCTGCAGCTCGCAGCGAGCGGCCGCAGCAGCCTGTGGTGCTGCACCAGCCTTTTTCCAGCGTGGGGGGGAACAAAGTGTCTTCAGTACCCCAGAGCCCGGCGGCATCCCTGCACGGCACGGGGCCCGGCGAGTCCGAAGGCGAAGGACGTCTGGGCCGCGGGGGCTTTGTGGACAGCACCATAAAAACTCTGGATGAGAAACTAAGGAACCTGCTCTACCAGGAATACGCTCCCATGTATCCATCGGGCAGCGCTGCAGAGACACCGGGATCCGGCACCGAGTACATTCAGTCTCCTCCTGGTCCAGAGAGCGCCACTGGAGGGTCAGGAAACAGCACGCCAGGCCCGATGGGGGAGGGACGCTACAGGGTGGGAGAGCAGCTGGTAAAAACATTTATTTATTTGGAAATCAAAAAGTTGCAGGCTTGAATGTTCCAATTTAGTTTAAAAACGACGGTAGATAATCTTTTTCCTGGTCAATTTAGTATGTAGTATTAATCTGCTGGGGGACATTGTGTGATCTGACCGAGAGCTACAGAACAGCAACTGGGCCTGATGAACGCTGGGCCTTGTAGTGATTGTTTTGTGTAAATTTATAAAATAAGAGTAGACACTGGAAGCCAATGATTAGATTTTGTGGATTATTATATATTATATTATTATTATTATTATTATTTATTAAAGCTTTATTTCTTAATTTTTTGTTGTCTATGTGTTAACAGACCTGTCAATTATTTTGAGTGGTAGAATAAACATATTTTTGCATTTTAAGGTATTGAAAACGATAATGTAGTACATAAATCGATAATGAATTATTTGCATTTAGAAAATTTTAGAAAATATAATCAATATGATCAGTTTTCCCATTTTTGAAATATAGTCTACCAGTTAATGTAGGTTAAAAGAAACGGTGTGATATATTGCCAGATGGATCAATGGAAATACTGTTTAGGTGCCTAAAACCTTTCAATAAAATCTTTACTGCCAGTTTTACACAAACTTCAGAAAGATAAAATATGGAAAATATTTAGTTAGACATAATCTATCTATCCTCTCTATATTAACACGTATATAACAGAATAGTGATAAATGGTTTGTGCTGTAGTATTTCTAATGGCTCTGTTTTGTTAATCTCTCATCATGTCACCTCTGTTAGCCTCAAATTCCAGAGAGAATGGACAGTTTAAGCACACTGAGTGACTCAGCTGTGTGCGGTATGTACAGCACACACTAATCGATGTAACAAGACTGGTATCATTAACTGCTGTTTGACTTGTTTTAGTGATTGTTTGTTACATCAAAGCCACTGTGTTTATTATTGTGGACATTTTTGCAGCTTCTCTGTCAAGAAGACACGTTCCTCACTCCGCTTCCTGCTCTGGAACAAGAGGCCGATTCAAGGTAGAGATTTTCCTCAAATTTAAGAAAAAGAAACTGCGTTTCCTGTTACAGAAGCTTCGAATGATGCCCTGTGAATTTCCTTTGCTTCGGTAGATAATCTCTGTTCCACCTGAAGTTGCCAACCGGAGGGACGTGAAGCAGAGGAGCTGGAGCAGTGCTGCCTCACCTGCACACCCTGCAGCATACAGTGAGCACCGGGTCCTGGCGGACGCCGTGTCCGCGTCCTCCACAATCGGCCGTTTCTCTGTGGTCAGCACCGAAGATGACAATGCACAGAGGACACGGTGCAGCCGCTACTCCGCCCCGCCCGATTTCTACCTGGACACACCGCCGTCCATGGCCAAGCGGGGCTCGCTGCCTCGCGCCCTGACCTCCACCTCTGTCGCCGCGGATGTCACGGTCCACGCTCGCTTCCTCTCCTCCGACTCGGGGGCTGAGAGCAGCCCCGCGAAGCTGGCTCCTGCCACCCCGTCTCACCACACCCGCTCTGAGCGCAGAGGGAGTGACCTCATGAAGAGGGCAGTGGCCTTCCTCCGTCGCCCAGGGCGCAGCAGCAGCGTGCAGAGCTCTGACTCACCAAGTAGGCATGGGGGCGTGCACGGCTCGGCCTACGGCAGCAGCGATAATGACTCAGAGGTGGAAGACTCGGACATGAAAAGAGAACTACAGAGACTCAGGGAGAAGTATGTGTAGCCAGGCGTTTTGTTTCCGTTGTGTTAAGATCTCGTGAAAATGTATGATGACCAGTATATTCGTGCCTCCATCCCCTCAGACATCTGAGGGAGATCTCTGAGCTGCAGGCCCATCAGCGGGGGGAAGTGGAGCTGCTGTATCACCGACTCGGCAAAGCCCCTCCGACTGGCCTTGGTCTCTCACACGTTGCGCCACTGGCCGGCCGGAGGAAGAGGTCCAGCAAGCACAGACTGAAGCCTGGCAAACTTCTCAGTCCTCTGGTTCAGCAATTTAGAAATGTCACAACCAAATCCAGTGACTCCAGTAGATCCAGTGAGTAACTGTTTTTGTCGGTTGAACATGTTCAGCATAAGCAATGAGTGTACTACTCTAGTGTTTGTGTGTGTATTCAGGTGCTGCTACGGGGACAGGTGAGCCCGCAGTGAGCTTAAATGGCTCTCCAGGCAAAGGGTCAATCCCCGCTCACGGCAGGGCGCGCTCATGCACCAGCCACCTTCCAAGCTCAACCTCAGAGCCCGTTCAGACGCAGCAGCCCTGTTCCCTCAAGGGATCGTTGTCTTCGGATAATATTTACGGTGGACTACACGGAGACGCCACCGGCACACAAGCTCCTCCTGGACAAGGTAACCGCCGGTACATCAGTACATCTGAGTCTTTAAACAGTCTTTCCTCTTAGACTGGACGGTAAACAAGTAGAGTCATCGGAGAATTATTAATAAAGACATTGATGTTTTATTTAATGCGGTTGGGTATCTCATTGTGTGCTCTTCTCCCCTCTTTGATTATGCTCCTCCACAGGCTGGTCTAATTGCCCTCAAACATCTGAGCGAGTGACCTATAAATCGAGTAGCAAGCCAAGAGCTAGATTTCTCAGTGGGCCTGTGTCTTTGTCTATCTGTTTGTATCTCTTCTTTTCCCCGCATAGCTTCATTTTTTTATTTTTCCATTATTGTTATCAATTTCTCGACTTTGAGCTCACTGATATCTTTTTTTTGTCTTTGCCAAATAGTCTACAACACGGCTGGGTTTTCTTAAGCTTTTTCTCGTCCTCATCAATTGCTTTTGTATTGTGGTTGGCACAGAATGATTGCTTATTCAAACCCCTAAAGTGAGACTTTTAGGTAAAAGTAGAGTTAAGATATGGATTGATTAAATCATTTTTATACCAAGAAATCATGTATACTTTTTCTTCATGTTTATTGGACAGTTACCTTTTTCAAAAGCTTGAGGTTTGGATAATCAAGGTTATAGACATTAGGCCTGTCTTATGTGTCTCTTAATGACGCTTGTAATATTTATCCGCCTGGTACACACATACCTTTGTTTCTTATCCACCATGCATTCATTACCAGGCAATGGACGTCTGCATGTCACATGCACCCCGAAAAACTAAAACATAATCTCTCTCTTTTTAACCTCTCTATTTCTATCACTGCAACACTGTGCTTTGGCTCTGACCTCATCAACTTGCATGGTTTTGCAAAAATGTTGATGATTGATTGCTTTGTTTGGTTTTAGTTCGGCCCTTTGTTTTGCGACAGTATTCAACAGCTTTATTTTGCGCTGCATCCTGTTATTTGCAAATATTCATGGGAATGAACATTCGTTTCAAAGTCTTTTTTTGTGTTCTAGGGTCAACGCTGAAGCGCCTTTGTCTTGGTAAAGAACGTGGCAGTATGTAGACATGCAATGTCTCACTAAAAGCCTTGTGTTAGTTTACATGAGTCCAATCAGCTTAATAAACATGATCCCATGGTATCTGTGCCCCGCCCCAGGGTCTGCAGCCGGGCAAGGGGCCCAGCAGCCGCCTACAGGTGCAACACCTCCTTCTCATCAGCCCGTGATGGGACTGGCCCACGCTCAGACCAATAACAGCAACAACAAGACAGGCACGTACAGGGGCTCCTCGGTCAGTGCCAGTGAAAACAACCTCCCAGAAGACTTGCAGCGGCTGATAGAGGACTGGGCCCAGGAGGTTCTTATCGTCACCCACAGGTCACGCACTAATTCTCTGAGCATCATCGGGCAGCAGCTTTGGAATCAGGCTGTGCCTGGAACACGTGGACAGCTATCTAGTGCTTCAGATGTGAGTTTCATGCTAGTGATGTACCACTTTGTGTTCCACCAGCGCCGTTACTCAAATCTATAAACCACTCTTTATAAGGATTTGGTTTATTAAAGAGGTGAGGTGGAAGACGTGCGCACAAACACTGTATTTAGATAATGACGCTGAAGTGCAGAACAATAGGCATTAACAAATATTTTTTTCCTAAATGCAATTAAGACTTTACACAAGACTAAAATGAATCAATCAATGAAACAAAATAAATCACTCCGGTAATTCCAGCCGCCTTCCCAATATATCTCCCCTCCACCACTCTGCCCCCAGATCCTTACAAACTTACTAATACAAAGAGTTTTTGTTTCCAGCTGGGAAATGGCTTTGTGCCAAGCTGCTAATGCAATGCATTGAATGTGTGCTATGCATTTATTTATCTATTTAGTTTCTTAGTTAGCTGAGGTCACAGTGTGGCGGTCGAAGCACGTAGGGGTCTGGCCCCAAAAAACATGAAAGAAATGTTGACCCCTTCTGAGCAAGTGCTTTAGATCCTCAGTTGGGGCCCTTTTTGCTGTTCCTAAGTCAAAGCTGAAAACTAAACATGACTCATCACGGCCCCTCTGCTTTGAAAACAACATGCCCAAATTTGTTGTACACATTGTGGTGAAGCAATCTCCCCACATACCGTAATTGGTGGCATTGTGTAACAGCAGTTAATCATTACTGTTTTGTTCAATATTTGCCCATGATGTAATCCTGTTAGGTATCATGGACAGCTCCAGGTCCAGAGGCCTGCAGTCTTCCCCCGTCGTGGCCTGACGACCCGCGGACAACAATGGCGACCGACCTGCCCGCAGCGCCGCGTCCCGGCTATCAGCCGGCTGCGTTCAGGGCCTCGTCCTTGCCCCTCTCCGTCAGCGAGTGGCCCGGGTGGCTCTTGCCGCTTCCTTCCGGAGTCTCGGCCTTCCCTGCTCTTCCCTCGGCGCAGTACGACGCCAGGCCCATTCCAACTTCGTCATATCAGCCACCCGACCCCAAGGCCAGGACTCTCTAACCCGAGTAGCATTGTGTCTTCCAACTCCGTTACCAAAAAGAAATGTCATCAAAGGTCCAGTCATTTGTATGTGAATAGATGGTATATATTTAACAGGCATGTATCTAATCATATATGTACATACTCGTCTCCATTATCTTCTATGTGTTTTTTTATTTGGATCAACATACTTCGTGTCCATATTACAGTGCATAATCCTTAAGTGCAGAGCAATCGTAAAGTACATTGGAGGGGGGATAATTTGCCTAATCAGACTTAAAAGAGCAGATTTTTGTTATTGCCTAGAAATGTACCATCCACTCATTGAATGTTCATTCTGTAGCATTTGTGTATATTTATTTATTCCTGTTTGTCAGTACATAGCTCTAGTGTTTATACAGTCGACATTAGGAAATCCATTGGTTGGTGCTGCAGATACGTGTCTTAATGCGACACCTCATTAGCGATAATCATCCGTCACTGTGAAGACTGTACATCCTGGTCACGAGGACCAGTCGCTTTACTCTGCTCACTCAGTCCAAGGATGGATTTCCTCCTTCATTAATGAAATGCTTCCAAGCACAAGCGCTTGAAATATCCTTAAGAGATTTGAATGAACTTGAAATTTATCTTCAGGTGAAAAAAACACCTGTGAGAGTGCCTTCAATTGCAGTTTCAGTTTTATGAAGACAAAGCATTTAGATTCAAAGCAGACTCTAGATATTCTTTATGTGCTTTACAACTCCAAAGGTAAATTATGTGAATTAAATAATGAATGTTGATTGACACATATTTACTTTAGCAACAAAGCCTAACTAAACACTATAATCTGGTCATTTTGCAGTTCAAATCCTGTCCTTTGGACTGCTTGCATGAATACATTGATATTCTGTGTATGCGCGGGTTCAAATGATTAGTTTCAGGAAGATGTTGTTAAGGGAAATTGGCACCGAGACAAGGAGAAGCTGAAGGACCTAACCCATGAATCATGATCATACCATACCTCTACCACTGCAGTCCGTAGCTTTACATATGGTTGCCTTTGTAGTTTTTACCAGATAACTGCTGTTAAATGTTGATGAAATGGAGACAAGAGAGGCAAATGACGAATGTGAGCTATTGACAAGCCCGTTTGAGAAAGATGGTCGACATGTTATTTGTATAATAATGTATAGGTTTTCTAAATGACGTTTATTTAACGCTGGCCTCACAAGATCATCTGGCTCATACAGCTAATTGTATGTACTACGGCGGACTTAATTCAAAGATCTCCAAAATATATTACGCTTTCACGTTATTTCAATAGTACTGCCTTAAAAAACTACACTTTCAACACTTACTTCTCTTATATAACTTTTCTCGAGAATAGTTTGTTGAATGCACCAATATGATAACCGGGTGAAACAAAGCAGTGGAAAAAATCTGGTCAGTCAAGAAGTAGTTGTGGTGTAATGATCCAGACCAAATATGGGTCAAGCTCCAGAAATGCTGTAAGCTAATGTAACATAATGCAATTCAATGTCATCTTTGACGTTGCCTTTTATTTTTGCAAATGTTCAGAATCACATTATACGACAGTGGAAGTAATATGAAGTAAACTGGACTATATGTGTAAAATTGGAGGGGATGCCACTTTGAAAACCTTCTATGTTAGCACAGTGTGACAATATTTTTATTTAAACTGAATATTTTTGTTCAAATGCAGAATTTTTTACATGTGGAAATGTAGATTTAATTTTCTTTTTCATAAGACCATTTCCTATGCAGTTGTGTTAGTTGTGCTTTACACAGTAAATCCTGTATTTGATCTCCTTACTGCTTGCAACGAAAGCCAGACGTGTGGTTCCTTTTGCAGCCCTATCACCTGTTTTGCACACCAATTCCCGACCTCGTCGGATTGGTACATTTCACAAAAGCTGTACATACTTGAAGATAGAAATAATAAATTCATTTTTGCTTGACACCATACAGTGACATCAATATCAGTCACAAACTTGTTTCATTAACTAACCCGGCACATGCAGGGGGATAAAAGTGGGTAGTAATAGTGTATGTATTTGTGGGTGTGCAAGGGACTAAGTTGCACACCCACACACAAACAGCTGCTGGAGAAAGGAATTTGACCTTTTAAAAACAAGATTATGTACACAGTGATGTTTTCCTAGTCCCTTTGAGCTCAAAAGAGAGTTTCATCTGCCTGTGTACACACACAAGCCACGATGGGGAGAGCCGTGGTGCAAATGGCCCTGCTTGGGCTGCTGCTGGCCTCGGCCACCACACTGGCAGACAAGGTAAGGCCACAAAAACAGACGAGGGAACAGAAGTTAGGAAATATAGTTATTTAGGTTAGATTAGGGAAAAACGATAGAGAAAGATTTTAAGTTAGTTAAGAGTCCTTATTTGTCGTTACAGTCTATGGTTAAGGCTTGGTAAAGGTTAAGGGAGTTCTCTGAACTAAAGTTTATATATATTATCAGCACAATGAACATTATTCTTAATATTCTGAAGTAAATCATCTGTCGGTGTTTCACTATTATGATTATTATTGTTTTTGTTTTATTTTTTTTGCTGCATGAATATTTCTACTTTAGATATTCATGGATGTGCAAATGTTAACTTAGATACCAGTTTAGGCTACAACTTCAAACTACATCCTTTAGTTTTTATTACATAGATGATAATTCCAAATATTGAGAAATATGATTTTCACTGGACAGGAAGGGTTTGAAAACTTTTAGTCAAATACTAAAAATGTACAGCAACAATTATAATATTAGCCTCTGAAATATAGTGGAGTAGAAAGAAGTATGATGCAACAGAAAATGAGAATACTCAAGTAAAGCCCCAAATAAACCAATTTTTACTCAATGCAGAATTTGATTAAATAATATAACTTTTTTGAAAAGGCAAAATACAAAAAAACATAAAATGGGGTGTGTTTCTGCAGTTACACCAATGAAATGTCACTATTGCCAGTCACTAACACTGCCATCATCTTCTGATCTGTGGTCAGCTAGTCGTCAGCCTGAAAAACAAACAAATGAATATTTTTTAAATTGTGAAACGTGACTCCTCCTGTATTTGCTCAGGCCGACTGGGACATCTACAGCTTTCACATCAACTCAACAGTGTCCAGTCGTTATGCAACCACGGTCATCACAAGCCGCGTGGCCAATCGCATGAACGACTCAAAGGAAATAGAATTTCACGTCCGGATTCCCAAGAACGCCTTCATCAGTAAATTCAGAATGTGTGTGAGCGAAAAAATCATTGTAAATAACAATTGTTATCATTTCTCTATACACGAAAAACATGTTTACATGAACACGGATTTCCACTCGGTCTCTCTTCAGGCTCATAGACGGACAATTCTACGACGGCGTTGTGAAAGGCAAAGAGAAAGCGCAGCAGCAGTACACTGAAGCTGTGTCCCGTGGCCAAAGTGCCGGGCTCGTCAGGTACACAGGTCTATTGATTATCGTACTGCCAGGTCTTACACAGGTTGTTTGGAAATTGTACTTTGTAAAACTGTCTTCTGCGTCCTTTGGGAAAGAGGGAAAAAAAGAGACAAAAAACTATCTGTTATGTTTATTTCTGTCTGGCATATCCTGTCAAGACAGTGGCTATATTAACATATCAAGCCTCACTGGCAGCCCGTACTGAGGTCATGACCTCTGATTTTAAGAAGTGGGAACCACTGATTTAGAAAGAAATGGCTGTCGTGTGTGCCGCAGTTCTGTTGGAAGGACAATGGAGAAATTCAAGACCTCTGTGACATTGGCTGCTCACAAAAAGGTCACCTTTGAACTCACATACGAGGAGCTGCTTAAACGGAGGCTCGGCAAGTACGAGCTGCAGATCCACGCTCGACCCATGCAGCCTGTCAAAGACTTCAAGGTGTGTCTCCAGCGGGTATCTATTCAGCAAAACATCCGGGGTGGACACATCTCCCATTGTCTCGGCTTGTAACTCTTTTATTTCATCCTTAATTCTAGGTTGATGTGTACATTAATGAGAAAGCAGGCATTAATTTCATGGAGGTCAAGGGAGGACTGAACACCAAAGCGCTGGCTAATGCCATCACCAGAACACATTTAGACAAACAGGTACAGTACGCAGCGATTCAAACATTCCGTAACTAAATTTATATCTTATTCTGACCCATATTAAACTGTTTAACTACATCATAAAGATGCCATAATGCTACCGGACAGACAACATTCTGTCTTGTGGCTCATCCTTTGCATCATTCAATCGTTATATATATATATATATATATATATATATATATATATATGGGTTAACAGAAAAAGTTGAGAGAAAAATCTGACTTGTAGAAATAACGGGAAACTCAAGAGAGTCATAACATTATGTTCTTTACAAGTGTATGTAAACCTTTGACCAACTAAATTTTTGGTTTGATGACACGCTGTATCACTTGTACTGAAGGCTGTGCAGCGACAATAAAGTTTATATGCCAGAGGTAGTCAGACATCTATCAAGACCGTCTGTAAAACCTGATTCACCCTGTTTACAGGCATGGGTGTATTTCTACCCGACAGAGGACCAACAGAAAACATGTGACAGCTGTGGAGAGCAGGGCATGAATGGAGATCTGGTTATTGTTTATGATGTCAACAGGAACCCATCGCTTGGCGACATCAAGGTACAGAAAGAGTGCATCTCCTGGAAAACTGTGAATTGTCTATTAGCGATGTTAAAATTGACCATAGTTAAGGTACTTTATCTTTATGTCTTTAACACACTTTTGTCCCAAGAAATCAGGTCGCTACTTTGTTCATCACTTTGCGCCATCGAATCTTGCCAGCATACCAAAAAATGTTGTCTTCGTTATCGACCAAAGTGGCTCAATGCACGGCAGGAAAATGCTCCAGGTATAGTAATATGTGTGCGTGCGTTTGAGAAAGAATTCCAACGTGGCACTGAATAAATAATTTTAGTTCATTTGGTCTATAATATTTGGTAAAACATGAATAAACCCAAATTAAACAAAATTGATTGCATTGTTTCTTAATTGAATGAAAGTTCTGAGTTTTCAACGATGTTTTTTTTCCCAGACACGGATAGCGTTGATCCACATCTTGAGTGACCTGGCGGAGGAGGACCACTTCGGTCTCATCACTTTTGACAGCCAAGTTTTTCACTGGAAACGAGAACTTGTGCAGGCGACCAAGGGAAATCTGGAGAGTGCCAAGACATTCGCACGTCAAATTGTCGAAAGAGGATGTGAGATTTCAAGTATTTTATGAAGGGAGGGACGACGTTGGACAGTCGAATGGTGACAATGACAAGTTTTCTTTTCATTTCAGCCACCGACATTAGCAGAGCCGTGTTGGAGGGAACACGTATGCTGAATGCACATCCCAGAGAAGGTTCAGCGTCTCTCCTCATACTTCTCACGGATGGAGACCCTACCTCAGGTGACCATAAACCACACACACACACACACACACACACACACACACACACACACACACACACACACACACACACACACACACAAAACGTTGTGAGAAAAGTCTTTCTGTCAAACACACAAAGGCCTAAATGTAAAAACGTATCCAAATAGGGGAATGACAGAAAATAAACCAATGGTGGAAGTGAACTTGCCTTTTTATGTCACGTGCTTTGTGTCGTTGCAGGAGAGACAAATCCTGAGGTCATCCAGTCAAATGTCAGACGTGCCATCGCGGGCAAATTTCCTCTCTACTGCCTCGGTTTTGGTTTTGATGTTAATTTCGAGTTCCTGGAGAAGATGTCGCTGCAGAACAATGGTGTAGCACGGCGGATCTATGAAGACTCTGACGCTGATTTGCAGCTGACGGTTAGTGGAAACCCCTTGCTTCCATCATGAACACCGTCTACCATGTGATCTGCTGCATTTTTCGTTGAAAGAATTGATCATGTTTGCCTTTGGAGACATTTGTAAAGTGTCCATACTGTATATCACAGGGTTTCTATAACGAGGTGGCCACTCCTCTGCTGACGGATGTGACAATGATCTACAATGGTGGGGCCAATCTTACAGAGACTAACTTCAGCCGATACTATAACGGCTCTGAGATTGTTGTGGCCGGTCAGATAACCGACAACGACATCGAGACCTTCACTCCACAAGTTGTCGCCATTTCAGTAAGGATTGCTCCTCCCAACACACCAGCTGTAATATTTAGTAAAAGCCTTGTGTGTTCATAAATATAACACAATTCATGACATGGAAATGGCATTTGAACTGTGACAGAGCAACAGAAGGGTGACGTTTTCTGACATAAATGCTACGGTGGAGTCGGTGGAAGATGCGTCTGACAGCTCCATCCAAAGGGTTTGGGCCTATCTCACAGTCAAACAGCTTCTGGAGAAAGAGTGAGTTCCATCGCTTCTCTTTGTTACCAAACGCAACAGTGTGTATTGCTATTACCTTATGAGTCTGTGTATGCCATCATGGGAAAGAAATGTGTCCTACGCACAGCGGGAACTACCGGAGAGATTATTTGTTGCTTTTAAATATCTTGTATCGACTGACAGTACAAAAACTAATTTAATTTAAATTCACAACACAACAGCTGTTAAATAACTTCACAACTGTCGTGTTTAAAACATTAACCCATTCGTGACACAGGCTGGTGTTATCTGGACCTGAGAAGGAGAACGCGAAGAAAGAGGCCTTGGACCTGTCGCTGAAGTACAGCTTTGTAACCCCACTCACGTCAATGGTGGTCACAAAGCCGCAGGGAGAGATCACAGATGTGCTCCATAAACCCAGGGAAGGGAAAAATAAAGAGGGGAAAAGTCTTCACAGCATGTCGCCTAGAAAGAGAATGCAAAGTACCGTTTTTTCTACTTGTAAGTAACACAAACATAATTAAAACAAACACAAGTGCGTGATTTTATTAGATTGTTTATATGGTGTTATAACAATGAATGAGGTTATGGTTACATTTATAAAATGACTATAGATTCCTTGACTACAGCTTGTGGAAGGTAATTTAAATACACAAATTGCATTTTGAGTTTTTGCTAAAAATACAACAGATTAATTCCCAATAACGAAACACTGGGTAATTTATTAACAGCATTATTATTTTAAAGTAAATAAATGAATGTTAACTTTTGCCATTATGTCTTTCTTTTTAACAGCACTAATTGGTATGCATGGTAAGACATGAAATATATATTATTGATTCATTAATAACATAATGTACTGTAATGCAATTTCAAGTACCTTTTTTCCTTTTTTACAGGATATCGCGGTCCACCAAGTAAGACACAATACAAACACTAACATAAAGCGACAGATAAACGCTTGATTCATTATTATACTGGATTTCATAGATTTTTTTCATGAACTTTTTTTTATAAACTATTCATTTGCTAAATGTTTAATACAACCAATTGATACATTGCCATATATACATTTATATCTGAGACATTTTAAGATTATTGAGAATTCATAATTTTAAATTATAAAAAAAATGGGTTTCACAAATGTTGCATTAATTATGTTATAATTATGTCGTAGACATTTTGCATTGGTTCTGAGCCATGTTTTAACTACTTCTATCTGTTTTATGGGAAAAAATAAATGTGTGCTGTCCTGCCATCTCGGTCCCAGTGAAAGTATCCAGCAGGACCTTCATATGTTGCTAAAGGTTGCCAGATTCTGTCAATAGCGCTTTTGCGTGTTGGTAACCCAATCGCTGATCTTGACCACTTGATCACTTGAAACTGATTGCTCTTGGTATATTTTCTCCCCAGAATTATTATTTACTTTCTAAAAGGAATATTTAAAATAATACAATTCTTTCAGCTGTCTAACTCTCCCATATTTCATTCAAGACTCCAAACACAACCTGACGTTCATGGTTTTGATGTGACGGATAATAATATAATCTATTGTGTAAACTTTTGCGAGAATTACACCCAAAGATTGACATGATAAAGCTGCATCCTCCCAATGTTTTATTAAATGTAATAGATAAAATATATAGAGTATATTTACTTCTAAATTTTCAAAAGCCATTCATGTTAAAGCAACCTGGAGCAACATAACATACTTCATATACTCTATATAGCCTGAAGCATGCAAAAATAAGTAAATCTTTGTATCCTTCTCAGTACGATGCTTCGCTTTAATTAAGCAACAAAAACAACAAACAGGACATGATAACTGAAGGTGGAGGAGGGTGCAAGCAAATTTACAAATAAAGTTCTTTAAAATTCATCTCATCTTTTTTACAACAGGAATTCCACAAGGTAAGACTACATTACTACTTCATAAGACTACACTTATCTACATTGTTCTTACATGACAGATAATAATACAATCTATTTTATACACTGACATATTGACTTCGTAAAACCTTTTTCAATTGCAAAAGCAATTCATGTTTGAAAGACCTTCATGGTTAAGCAAGATAAAGCCGCCGGTGGAATCCACCCGTAAGACGCAATTGATTTTTTTTTCTTAATACCGCAGCATTTACATCGACAGAGGCAAATAAAAAAACGAGTAGAAAATATAGAATGTATGAAATGCACAATATGTACGGATATTATTTCAAAGTAAATGAACAATTTCATGTTATCCTCTTGTTTTTTCAACAGTAGGACATTTCTCCATGTCTTCAGGTAAGACTTGGGTCCACACATGCAGCGTATTGAGACATATACTAATAATGAATTACTAATAAACATGTATTTAATTAGGCAAAAACAGAACAGAAAAACACAATTTACAAATCATTGCTACTAAGATGTCATGTTCATTGTTTTCCTTTTAACAGGTAGTTTCGGTGGAGGATCAGGTTCACTAAATAGGCTTAGAGGATCAGGTACACGTAATTGGCTCACAGGATCAGGTACACATGTGCATTGTTCTAATATTACTACACTAGTTTATATATTTTACTGTATGTAGATCTTTGTTAACATTTACAAAGGGACACCACTTTAGTTTTCTCATGACTGCTTATAATATAAACACTTTTAATAATGCTTCCTGCAATAAATGCAGAGCTCATATATGATGCTATAAAATTATCTATGATATCTAAAGTTTATAGAAAGCTAATTTCTCTTTGCCTCTCCTGATATTGCAGTCAGTATTTCTACTGAAAATCTACATACAAGATACTAACAGGTGTTTCATTTTTAAATCCATTTTTCAGCACAGGGATTAAAGAAATCCCAATTAGCCGACGATGATCATCATGCTTTATTGGTGTCTAAAGGTAAACTTTTTTTTTGTGCTACTTTTGATACATCCTTCTAATTCTGTTGATGCCAACCACCCATTTTCCACTATAAAAATCCTCAAAAGCTGCATAACCTCTAAATCCATCCTATTTTGTTGTATGTGTGTATTAAGTGGTTTGTTTTGAAGCTGAGGTTATGTGTCAATTAATGCAATTTACAAAATCATCACTACTAAAATGTTGTGTAATCATTGTTTTCATTTTAACAGATATTCCTAGTACCCATGTGCATTGTTCTAATATTACTACACTGGTGTATATATTTTACTGTATATAGAGAGTTGTTAACACCTGATTTTGTTGAAGCTCAGGCAAAGTTAACATTAACTTACTTTTAGTTTTCTCATAGCTGCTTAAAATATAAACATTTTTAATGTTGCTTCTTGCAATAAATGCAGAGCTCTTTTATGATGCTATAAAATACCATATCTATGATATCTTAAATTTATAGAAAGCTAATTTCTCTGTCCCATTCCTAATATTGCAGTCAGTATTTTGACTGGAAATCTATCCCATTTTGTTGTATGTGTGTATTTAGAGGTTTATTTTGAAGCTGAGGTAATGTGTCTTAATGCAAACCCATTTGAAGCTCTATAATATTAATGTTCAAAACTTGCTTTATGTAAATGTAACTACTGATGAACCTTTCAATTTTCCAGCAGATGTACCTGATTATGGCAGCATCGACATACAACCCACTATCGTGTCACCGAGGGCTACTGACGGTAGAGTATATCACTGATTTATGTAACTCGTGCTGTGAAAGATGGTGTACTTTACCTAAAGTGTGTTCTTGTTTGCAAGCGTAAATAGTAAAGTAAAATAATCTGACAGTGTTTACTACTGCTGTGTGACTCTGTATTTCTTTCTAGCTCCACTTTCTCACAGATTTTTGCAAAAAACTGAAAATCTGTCTCTTCCTCTGTGCTTTGATGTCACTGGAAATGTTCAGCTTAAACTACTTCACCATCCCAGCGGGGGTCAGTAATAGCCCTCTTTGTGCAATTAACATTTTCCCAAGGACTTTAAGTTCCAACTGTGTATTTCTCTCTTTTTTACATTGTTGTACACATACTTTTACTTTCATGAAGGATGCTTGTTTTATTGTGTCTTGGGTGAATGTGGTGCTGAGATGCATTTTTTCTCTTTTTGTATTAGAGCTGTTTGTGAATGGTCAGCTTGATTCAGTAGCGAATGGAGGCTTTAGAAGGATTACCATTCTCTTGAAGACTGACCTGCGGGTTGAGATTGACACTGAAAAAGTCCTTCTGATAGAAGGACAGAGAATTTCCGGCCTTGATCGATACATTTCCATCACAGTTGGAAGGTAACTTTGCATGGTCCTAATAAGAATAATAGTTGGCCACATCAACAAGTTGTTGTTTTACAGATTAAACAAAAGAGTTGCAAATTAGTGTTTGAGATGCTAGTATGTGTATCTCAATGGCTTGCTGTTAAATGCAGCTTAATGTTCATTGTACACACATAGGGGTCTATCAATATTTTGGTTTACCATTCTGCAAAAAAAGTGCGTTAGTGACTTTAAAACCAATACTAATCTGAATCTACAGTTGAAGCTTACGTAAAAGGCAATCCACACAAGGGATTTTAAGCATTCTGGATAATGAGGGCAGTGTTCTCTGCTGGATTGCAATCGGCCCAAAAAAGTGAAATGACCCGTGCAGGGTCATTAAAAAGACTACAAGAAAATGAAGACTAATTGTGTTTTTTTTCTTTTTTCAGTTTGACATTGTTTAGCCGGGAGAAGGAAATAGACGTTGCTGTTGGAGACACACGCATGGTCATCTTAATTCATAAGGAGAATGGCAAAGACTTCCTCTGGCCGATTTTGAGACAGCGGCCGTTGGATGACAACGTTTCAGGAATTTTAGGTGGGTTTAAAATGGCTGGATTTTTATGATTTGATATCAGATGGTGATGATATTGAATGAGTATCTCCTATGGTAGTTGTGATGGAAATCCTGAATAATAAGAGGTTAACACTTTGTGCAGTGTCTCTTTAAGTGCTTTCTTTAGAGCCACAGCTTTATTGTTTGCCCTCTGTGTGTTCAGCTCTAAAACCAGCAGTTTATGAGGAGGTGCAACAAAGTCCTTCAACAAGACTTAAGATCAAAGGCCAGGACTATGATGCTTCCAGGTACATTTCAATTGCTATAAATGACAACGGTTGTGGGTGATTTTATTGTATTTGGTCTGAAACACAAAGATAAACCTATGGGGCGCCATTTGTAAAATGTCGCACGTTCTAAAGTCTGGCACAGTTTTGCTATATTTAGCATTATCATATGAACAAAAAAAGCACGAAAAAATTTATGTCACTTTTTCAAACATTTGGAGAGAAATTCATGTAAATTCATGAAATAAATTTTTCAAGGATACTGTAATGTTTGGCATTAACATAAAGTTGTTAAATAATCTAAATGTTAAATGTAAATTTAAAATGCTATATCTAAATTTAAATGTTTTTACTTTACATTTAACATTTCGATTTACATTTAACATTTACATTTAACATTTACATTTAACATTTAAAATTTGGATCTACATTTAGCATTTACATTTAACATTTAGATATAACATTTCATATTTAGATTTACATCTAACATTTACATTTAGATTAAACATTTACATTTAACATTTATATTATCTAACAACTTTGTGTTACTGCAGAACATTATCCTTGGAAAAGTTATTGCATGAATTTACATGAATTTCTCTCTAAATGTTTGAAAAAGTGACATATGAATATTGTTGTGCTTTTTTGTTCATATGATAATGCTAAATGTAGCAAAGCTCGGCAGGATTTTAGAACGTGCAACATTTTACATACGGCGCCCCATATAAACCGAGATAGCAGATAACGTTGTCTTTCTTTTAAAGGGCCAGTGCTGTTGACTACAGTATCAACCCTTCACCCATAAATGACTGCTGGCTCATATCTGCTGAGTCTGCCCTGCAGAGAAGCCTGGTGGATTTCATTGTTGCATAAATTTAACTGGGAACAATGTTGAATCACATTTAAAGATTTCATTTGAAATAAAAATTTAAAATAAAAATGAGTCAAACACATCACCACAAAGCCTCCAAACTAGATTCCATTCTCACCATGTGACCTTTCCCACGCCCATTTATTTACTGTGAGAACAGAAAATGAAAGAAGTGGAATGTCACTCAACTGCTTACAAAATGTAACGTTTGTTCAGTAGTAACAAGAGGCTTCGAATGATCTGTTTTAATTGATTCGTTATTGATCGTTATTTGAGCTACCTGGTTAACATTTGTACTTTCTACATATTTAAGTATATTCAAATGTAACCAACGCACAGTGAGTCCAGTAAACAGAGGCAAATTAATCGAAATAAAGGGAAATTAACAATGACACACATCAAATGCACACTTTGGAGATGGTAGGCAAATCCACTCTTGTACTGACAGCAATATAATAAATATAATGACGATAAAGATGATGATACACAGTAAGAGAACTACTCATGGTGGAAGGGAGGCGAGGTGACGGTAGACCAGTGTTTGATGTGTTGTTGAGTTAGTGTGGGTAAATGTGTAACTTTTTTCCTAAAAATTTACTTAGTGGTTTTGACGCCCAACAGGTAATTCCGTGCGATCACGTTCACAGTTGGCAGTACAGATGGTTCAGAAAGATAACGTTCGATGTGCTTCACTTATTGTTAATTTACAGGTAGCACAAACAAAAGGAAATGGTTGCTTGGTGTAAAGACAGAACTTAAGTAAATATTTTACCTTGTAAAAATAAACTTCTCTACATTGGTTTACAAAGTATGCGATGGGTGCATTGTCGATTTTGAGTTGCTCTGTTTTAACACATTTATGGGAAATAAGAGCCGAAGGGTTTTGCTTTAGTGTTACTTGATGTGGTCAAATCAGTCAACGCACCGTGTACGGTGCTAGTGTTGCATAAGATTGTCTTAATTCAAAGATCTCCAACAAATACTATGCTTTCACGTTATTTCAAAAGTACTGGCTTAAAAAACTACACTTTCAACACTTACTTCTCTTATATAACTTTTCTCGGGAATAGTTTGTTGAATGCACTAATATGATGGCATAACCGGGTGAAACAAAGCAGTGGCAAAAATCTGGTCAGTCAAGAAGTAGTTGTGGTGTAATGATCCAGACCGAATATGGGTCAAGCTCCAGGAAGGCTGTAACCTTCCCAACCTGCCCAACGCATCACCGGTTCCTCACTCCCCACCATTGAGGCTGTGCAGAGCAAGAGATATCTGCGGAGGGCACGCAGCATCGAAAAGGACAGCTCTCACCCCAGCCACAGACTGTTTGCCCTCGTCCCCTCTGGGAGGCGCTACAGGGTGCTCCGTTCCCAGACCAGTAGGTTCAGGAACAGCTTCATCCCTGCGGCTGTCACTCTATTGAAGTCTGCACCCCCTGAAAATACAGCTTATCAGAAACGTCGAGGGAGGACCGCCATTGCCATCCCCCTCTAATCCTCCTTCCATTACGTGTGAGGATCCATCTCCCCCCCCCCCCCCCCCCCATCCAGGTCCACGTCTCCCTCTTTCTCCCCCCTCCTCCCCCTTGGAGTTCCAAGAGTTACCCCCACTTACCCCCCGCCCTACTCCTATTTTCACTCCCTTAGATCGACCTCAGCTCCCTCCCCCCCAGCGTCCACCTGCACCAGCTCATCTCAGCGGTGACGCCATCTTACGTCGATCTGCCCCCCCACCTCTATGAAGACGTGCTCCACCTCCACAAAACCATCCCAGCTGTGACGCTGCTCACTCACCCCCCTTAGGCCCACCCCCTCCTCCCCCTGACAGCAGCCCTGAATATTACTGAGATAGAAAAGGGTTCAGCAGTAGACCGCATTATCAGCTGGACCCAAGGTCGCCATGTCAAAACATGGCACCTTCTGCATTCCTGTTGTGACCACCAAGAGAGTGAACATTGTGAAACTTAGACACACTGCTGATCTAACAAATCTCATTCCTATTCTCTCCCGCTCAAAGTCAACCCCAAAGCCTGTGAATAACACCATCAGGATGGTTCTGCTTAATGTTAGGTCTCTTAATAACAAATCGTTTTTAGTCAATGATTTTTTTACCACTTCTAAACTTGATTTTATGTTTTTAACTGAAACATGGCTAGAACAAAATAACAGTGCAAGCATTCTGATTGAGGCAGCAACTATAACTTTATTGATGTATGTAGATCTGGAAAAAGAGGTGGAGGGGTTGCTGCTAGATTTAAAAATATATTTCAGGGGAAACAGATGTCACTTAGTGATTTTCCATCATTCGAATATCTTTGTGTTGTATTGAAAGGTTCTCTCAGAGTTCTCCTGTTAATTATTTACAGGCCACCTAAATATTCTGCACATTTTTTCGATGATTTTACTGAATTATTGTCTAGCATCTCTACCGACTTTGACTGTCTAGTTATAACTGGTGACGTTAATTTTCATACTGACGACTTGAATGACAAGGGTGCAAAAGAACTTTTGACTATTTTAGACAAATTTGAACTGTCTCAACATGTGAAAGAGGCTACTCATTGTAAGGGACACACCCTGGACCTGATTATCACAAAAGGTCTCATTGTTTCGGATGTTTTTGTGACTGATCCCTCATTGTCTGACTACTTCTGTGTTTTCTTTAATATTTCTTTCATTCCTGACACTCAATCAAAATCAAATACTGTCAAAAAACGGTACATCAATGAAATACTAATGTACTCTGTGTCACGGTGTGGTTCACTTCCTGTTATATTTTGTAATTTTCTGCCACTTGTGTCCCCGGGTAACTTCACTTCCTGCCTTGTCATATCATCCCCTGTGATCGTCTTAATAGTTTCCACCTGTGTCCAATCACCTGCACCTCCCTAGTGTATTTTAGCCATGTGTGTTTGTTGTCACTGGTCGCGTCATTGTCTTTCGCCACGCATGTTCTTGTCTCTTGTTGTGGATGTCTGTATGTTCATGCCTGTGTGTTTTTGCCCCTTGGCCTTTTGGATTTTGGATCTAGTAACTATTAAAGTCTTTTGTTTCGGAGAAGTCTGCAATTGAGTCCTGCCTTGACACTCTGTACTAATGATAATCTTGTAAGCAACTTTAATTCCAAAATTTTGAATGTTATAGATGACATTGCACCTGTTACGGTTAAAACCAGTTCTAGTAAGCAAAAGGCACCCTGGAGAAAAGCTGCTGTTGTAACAGCCCAGAGAAGAGAGTGCAGGAAGGCTGAACAAATCTGGCGGAATACAAAACTTCATATTCACCATGACATCTACAATGAGCGCCTCCGGGCCTACAATTTAGACTTAAAAAGTGCTAGGGAAACATTCTTCTCCAACATCATTAATAACAACACTAAGGCAAAAATCCTATTTCAAACTGTTGACAGACTGACCAACCCCCCAACACAAATACCACCTGAATACCACACAGAAATGCAATGAGTTTGCGTTCTTTTATACTGATAAAATTGAAGGCATCAGACGCGCCATTAATATCTCAAACAAAAATGTTGGATCACCACCCTATTTAGGCAAAAGTAACACAGCAATGATGACAAGCTTTAATGCCATAGATTCTCAAACTCTAGTGGAAACGGTGACAAATTTAAAACCATCCACCTGCTGTCTTGATGCTCTACCTACCAACTTCTTTAAGAATGTTTTTGACTGCCTAGCAACAGACGTATTGCAAATAGTTAATAACTCTATTCAGACGGGCCATTTCCCAAAAGCTTTCAAAACTGAAGTTATTGAACCTCTCCTAAAAAAGCGGAGCCTAGATGCCTCTATTATCAACACCTACAGACCAATTTTAAATCTACCTTTCATAAGTAAAATAATTGAGACACCTACAACACCTTAATCACTTCCTGGCTTCAACTGGCTGCCACGACAACTTCCAGTCAGGATTTCGACCTCTTCATAGCACCGAGACGGCCCTTATTAAAGTTGTAAATGACATCCGTCTTAACACAGACTCTGGCAAAACTACTGTCGACCACTCAATACTTTTGGACAGGTTGCAAAACTGGGTGGGGCTCTCAGGCACAGTCTTAAGCTGGTTCAGGTCATATCTACAAGACAGGAACTATTTTGTTTCCATTGGTGACTTCGTATCAGAAACAACCGACGTAACGTGTGGAGTCCCCCAAGGTTCGATCTTAGGGCCCACTTTATTCAACATCTACATGCTCCCACTAGGACAAATCATGCAAAAAAATAAAATTTTCCACCATTGCTACGCTGATGACACCCAAATCTATGTAGCGCTATCACCAAACGACTATCGCCCCATAGATCTTCTATGCCAGTGCATTGAGAAAATCAAAGACTGGATGTGTCAAAATTTCCTACAACTAAATGAAGACAAAACTGAGATCATTGTATTTGGTGCTAAAAAAGAAAGGTTTAAAGTAACCCAACACCTTCACTCTCTGTCCCTGAAAACATCAAATAAAGCCAGAAATCTGGGGGTTATTATGGATTCAGATTTACACTTGGAGAGTCACATCAAATCAGTGACAATATCGGCCTACTACCACCTAGAGTTCTAACAAAGACCAAAAAATGTGAGCACATTACATCAATTCTTAAATCCTTACATTGGCTCCCAGTATGTCAGGGAATTAATTTGAAAATCCTACTGCTCACATATAAATCACTACATGGTTTAGGGCCAAAGTATATCACTGATATGCTTCCACTACATAAGCCTTCAAGATCACTAAGATCTTCTGACACCAATCTGTTAGAGATTCCCAGAGTAAATACAAATCATAGGAAAGCATCATTTACATCATTTACGCAACAAACAGCTGGAATGAACTTCCTGAAGATTTAAGACTTGCCCCAACTCTGACCACGTTTAAAACAAGACTGAAAACTTTTATGTTCAGCTTCGCCTTCTGCTAAATTTGACCTACATTGCACTTTTAACCTCTGCTTTTAATTAAACAATTTAAATAAGATTTTAATTTATAATTGCATTTGCTGTTTTTAATTGTCTTTTAATTCCTGCATTTTATTTCACTTTATTGTATGAAATGTTATGATGTGAAGCACTTTGAGTCTGTCTTGTGTATGAAAAGCGCTATACAAATAAACTTGCCTTGCCTTGCCTTGAACTCTGAACTCTGCCCCCCACCCCACACACACACATCTCCCTCAGTGACTGTACTTCCCCCTCCACCCTGGCTTGACTGCCACACCTGCCATTCCTTACTGTTCATATAGCACAACTATTTCTTACTGTACATATCTATTTATTCACTTATTACACTTTACATATGCACATACTCTGCACTTTTTGCTATTTTGCACTTCTGGTTGGATGTTAAACTGCATTTCGTTGCCTCAGTACTTATACCCTGTGCAATGACAATAAAGTTGAATCTAATCTAATCTAAACCTAACGTAACATAATGCAATTCAATGTCATCTTTTATTTTTCCAAATGTTCAGAATCACATTGAACGACAGTGGAAGTGATATGAAGTAAACTGGACTATATGTGTAAAATTGGAGGGGATCCCACTTTGAAAACCTTCCATGGTAGCACAGTGTGACAATATTTTTATTCAAACTGAATATTTTTGTTTAAATGCAGAATATCTTACATGGGGAATGTAGATTTCATTTTCTTTTTCATAAGACCATATCCTATGCAGCTGTGTTAGTTGTGCTTTACACAGTAAATCCTGTATTTGATCTCCTTCCTGCTTGCAATGAAAGCCAGACGTGTGGTTCCTTTTGCAGCCCTATCACGTGTTTTGCACACTAATTCCCGACCTCGTCGGATTGGTACATTTCACAAAAGCTGTAGTCACAAACTTCAGTCACAAACTTGTTTCATTAACTAACCCGGCACATGCAGGGGGATAAAAGTGGGTGGTAATAGTGTATGTATTTGTGGGTGTGCAAGGGACTAAGTTGCGCACACACACACAAACAGCTGCTGGAGAAAGGAATTTGCCCTTTTAAGAAGATTATGTACACAGTGATGTTTTCCTAGACCCTTTGAGCTTAAAAGAGAGATTCATCTGCCTGCGTACACACACAAGCCACGATGGAGAGAGTCGTGGTGCTAATGGCCCTGCTTGGGCTGCTGCTGGCCTCGGCCACCACACTGGCAGACAAGGTAAGGCCACAAAAACAGACAGGGAAACAGAAGTTAGGAAATATAGTTATTTAGGTTAGATTAGGGAGAAACGATTGAGAAAGATTTTAAGTTAGTTAAGAGTTCTTATTTGTCGTTACAGTCTATGGTTAAGGCTTGGTAAAGGTTAAGGAGTATTGGGTGAGGCAAGTCATTGCCATTTGAAATCAAAGCAGCAGTGGTGAAGGGAGTTCTCTGAACTAAGGTTTATATACATTATCAGCACAATGAATTTTTATTATTAAATGTAAAGGTACTTATTCTCAAAAAATTCTCAATTCTATCTGTTGTTTTGGATTATTATTTTTGCTGCATGAATGTTTCTGTTTCTATTGTAGATATTCATGGATGTGCAAATATTAACTACTTTAGATACCAGTTTAGGCTACAACAATGCATCATATTCTTTTTCATAGAATATCTTCTTATGCAGCCTTGTGAAGATAAGGAGTAACATAAGGAGTAGGACAATTTTTCACACTACATTCTGTTGTTTATTACAGAGATGAAACTCACAAATATTGAGAAATATGATTTTCACTGGACAGGAAGGGTTTTAAAACGTTTAGTCAAATACTAAAAATGTACAGCAACAATTATAATATTAGCCTCTGAAATGTAGTGGAGTAGAAGTATAATGCAACAGGAAATGTGCAGAATTTGAGTAAATGTACTTTTTTGAATACCTGCCGAGGCAAAATACAAAAAAACATAAAATGGGGTGTGTTTCTGCAGTTACACCAATGAAATGTCACTATTGCTAGTCACTAACACTGCCACCATCTTCTGATCTGTGGTCAGCTAGTCGTCAGCCTGCAAAACAAACAAAAGCATTTTTTTTATTATTGTGAAACGTGACTCCTGCATTTGCTCAGGACGACTGGGACATCTACAGCTTTCACATCAACTCAACAGTGTCCAGTCGTTATGCAACCACGGTCATCACAAGCCGCGTGGCCAATCGCATGAACGACTCAAAGGAAATAGAATTTCATGTCCGGATTCCCAAGAACGCCTTCATCAGTAAATTCAGAATGTGTGTGAAGCAAAAAAATCGTATTTACAGGAATTGTTATCATTTCTCTATACACCAAAAACATGTTTACATGAACACGGATTTCCACTCGGTCTCTCTTCAGGCTCATAGACGGACAATTTTACGACGGCGTTGTGAAAGGCAAAGAGAAAGCGCAGCAGCAGTACACTGAAGCTGTGTCCCGTGGCCAAAGTGCCGGGCTCGTCAGGTACACGGGTCTATTGATTATCGTACTGCCAGGTCTTACACAGGTTGTTTGGAAATTGTGCTTTGTAAAACTGTCTTCTGCGTCCTTTGGGAAAGAGGGAAAAAAAGAGACAAAAAACTATCTGTTATGTTTATTTCTGTCTGGCATATCCTGTCAAGACAGTGGCTATGTTAACATATCAAGCCGCACTGGCAGCCCGTACTGAGGTCATGACCTCTGATTATAAGAAGTGGGAACCACTGATTTAGAAAGAAATTACTGTCGTGTGTGCCGCAGTTCTGTTGGAAGGACAATGGAGGAATTCAAGACCTCTGTGACATTGGCTGCTCACAAAAAGGTCACCTTTGAACTCACATACGAGGAGCTGCTTAAACGGAGGCTCGGCAAGTACGAGCTGCAGATCCACGCTCGACCCATGCAGCCTGTCAAAGACTTCAAGGTGTGTCTCTTGCGGGTATCTATTCAGCAAAACATCCGGGGTGGAAACATCTCCCATGGTCTTGGCTTGTAACTGACTTTTATTTCATCCTTAATTCCAGGTTGATGTGTACATTAATGAGAAAGCAGGCATTAATTTCATGGAGGTCAAGGGAGGACTAAACACCAAAGCGCTGGCTAATGCCATCACCAGAACACATGTGGACAAACAGGTACAGTACGCAGCGATTCAAACATTCCCTAACTCAATTTATATCTGACCCATATTAAACTGTTTAACTACATCATAAAGACGCCATAATGCTACCGGACAGACAACATTCGGTCTTGTGGCTCATCCTTTGCATCATACAATCTATATATATATATATATATATATATATATATATATATATATATGTATATATATGTATATATATAATATATATATAAATTTAACAGTTGTAGAAATATGAATATGAAATTATGTTCTTTACAAGTGTATGTAAACGTTTGACCACAACTGTATAAATATATATCTACATGCATTTTCCAAACAGTTTTTTCCTTTTGGTTTGATGACACACTGTATCACTCGTACTTGTACTCAATGCTGTGCAGAGACAATAAAGTAGAATTTAACCAAATTGAAGGCAGAGGTAGTCAGACGTCTATCAAGACTGTTTGTCAAACCGGATGCACCCTGTTTCCAGGCGTGGGTGTATTTCTACCCGACAGAGGACCAACAGAAAACATGTGACATCTGTGGAGAGCAGGGCCTGAATGGAGATCTGGTTATTGCTTATGATGTCAACAGGAACCCGTCGCTGGGCGACATCAAGGTACAGAAGGAGCGCATCCTCCTGGAAAACTGTGAATTGTCTATTAGCGATGTAAAAATTGACCATAGTTAAGGTACTTTATCTTTATGTCTTTAACACACTTTTGTCCCAAGAAATCAGGTCGCTACTTTGTTCATCACTTTGCGCCATCGAATCTTGCCAGCATACCAAAAAATGTTGTCTTCGTTATCGACCAAAGTGGCTCAATGCACGGCAAGAAAATGCACCAGGTATAGTAATGTGTGTGCGTGGGTTTTAGAAAGAATGTGGCACTGAAGAAGTTTAAATTCATTTTAGTTCATTTGGTCTATAATTTTTGGTAAAACATGAATAAACCCACACTAAACAAAATTGATTGCATTGTTTCTTAATTGAATGAAAGTTCTGATTTTTCAACGATGTTTTTTTTCCCAGACACGGATAGCTTTGATCCACATCTTGAGTGACCTGGCGGAGGAGGACCACTTCGGTCTCATCACTTTTGACAGCCAAGTTTTTCACTGGAAACGAGAACTTGTGCAGGCGACCAAGGGAAATCTGGAGAGTGCCAAGACATTCGCACGTCAAATTGTCGAAAGAGGATGTGAGATTTCAAGTATTTTATGAAGGGAGGGACGACGTTGGACAGTCGAATGGTGACAATGACAAGTTTTCTTTTCATTTCAGCCACCGACATTAGCAGAGCCGTGTTGGAGGGAACACGTATGCTGAATGCACATCCCAGAGAAGGTTCAGCGTCTCTCCTCATACTTCTCACGGATGGAGACCCTACCTCAGGTGACCATAAACCACACACACACACCCACACAAAACAATGTAAGAAAGGTCTTTCTGTCAAACACACAAAGGCCTAAATGTAAAAACGTATCCAAATAGGGGAATGACAGAAAATAAACCAATGGTGGAAGTGAACTTGCCTTTTTAAGCCACGTGCTTTCTGTCGTTGCAGGAGAGACAAATCCTGAGGTCATCCAGTCAAATGTCAGACGTGCCATCGCGGGCAAATTTCCTCTCTACTGCCTCGGTTTTGGTTTTGATGTTAATTTCGAGTTCCTGGAGAAGATGTCGCTGCAGAACAACGGTGTAGCACGGCGGATCTATGAAGACTCTGACGCTGATTTGCAGCTGACGGTTAGTGGAAACCCCTTGCTTCCATCATGAACACCGTCTACCATGTGATCTGCTGCATTTTTCGTTGAAAGAATTGATCATGTTTGCCTTTGGAGACATTTGTAAAGTGTCCATACTGTATATCACAGGGTTTCTATAACGAGGTGGCCACTCCTCTGCTGACGGATGTGACAATGATCTACAATGGTGGGGCCAATCTTACAGAGACTAACTTCAGCCGATATTATAACGGCTCTGAGATTGTTGTGGCCGGTCAGATCACCAACAACGACATCGAGACCTTCACTCCACAAGTTATTGCCATTTCAGTAAGGATTGCTCCTCCCAACACACCAGCTGTAATATTTAGTAAAAGCCTTGTGTGTTTATAAATATAACACGATTCATGACATGGAAATGGCATTTGAACTGTAACAGTGCAACAAAAGGGTGACGTTTTCTGACATAAATGCTACGGTGGAGTCGATGGAAGAAGCGTCTGACAGCTCCATCCAAAGGGTTTGGGCCTATCTCACAGTCAAACAGCTTCTGGAGAAAGAGTGAGTTCCATCGCTTCTCTTTGTTACCAAATTCAACAGCGTGTATTGCTATTACCTTGACTCTGTATGTCATCATGGGAAAGAAATCTGTCCTACGCACAGTGGGAACTGCCGCAGAGGTCATTGCTTTTAAATATCTTATTTCGACTAACAATAAAAAAAATAATTTAATTTAAATTCACAACACTGTAAAACATTTGAGAAGGGTTTGCCAGAGAATATTGAACCATTTTTTCATGAAGGATGTAATCAATTGTTGAGGTTAAAACAATAACAGCAGACAATCATAAGATGCGGTTGGCTGTTAAATAACTTCACAACTGTCGTGTTTAAAACATTAACCCATTCGTGACACAGGCTGGTGTTATCTGGACCTGAGAAGGAGAACGCGAAGAAAGAGGCCTTGGACCTGTCGCTGAAGTACAGCTTTGTAACCCCACTTACGTCAATGGTGGTCACAAAGCCGCAGGGGGAAAACACAGATGTGCTCCATAAACCCAGGGAAGGGAAAAATAAAGAGGGTAAAAGACAGAGAACTCAAAGTACCGTTTTTTCTACTTGTAAGCAACACAAACGTAATTAAAACAAACACAAGTGCGTGATTTTATTAGATTGTTTAGATGGTGTTATATCAATGAATGAATGAGGTTTGGTTGCATTTATAAAGTAACTATAGATTCCTTGACTACAGCTTGTGGAAGGTACTTAAAACACATCAATTGCATTTTGAATTTTGGAACTAAAAATACAACAGATTAATTCCCTATAACGAAACACTAGCTAATTTATTAACAGCATTATTATTTTAAAGTAAATAAATGAATGTTAACTTTTTCCATTATGTCTTTCTTTTTAACAGCACTAATTGTTATGCATGGTAAGATATGAAATATATATTATTGATTCATTAATAACATAATGTACTGTAATGCAATTTCAAGTTATCACCTTTTTTCCTTTTTTACAGGATATCCCGGTCCACCAAGTAAGACACAATATAAACACTAACATAAAGCGACAGACAAACCTTTGATTCATTATTATGCTGGATTTGTTTTTAATAAACTCTTAATTATAATCAGAAAAAAGCACCAACAAAAACTTGAGAAACAGATGTTGCATCTTTGCTAAATGTTTAATACAACCAATTGCTACATTGCCAAATGTGTATATTTATATCTAAGATTAATACTTTACGAAATTAATAATTGAAAATAAAAAAAATATTTTGGTTTTACAAATGTTGCGTTAATTATGTTATAAATATGTCGTAGATTCTGAGCCTTGTTTTAACTACTTTTATCTGTTTTATGGGAAAAAATAAATGTGTGCTGTCCTGCCATCTCGGTCCCAGTGAAAGTATCCAGCAGTACCTCCATATGTTGCTAAAGATTGCCGGATTCTGTCAATTGCACATTTGCGTGTTGGCAATGCAATCACTGATCTTGACCACTTGAATTTGATCGCTTGAAACTGATTGCTCTTGGTATATTTTCTCCCAAGAATTATTATTTACTTTATAAAAGGAATATTTAAAATAATAGAATTGTTTCAGCTGTCTAACTCTCCCATATTTCATTAAATCATGTTCGTTGCAAGATCCAAACACAACCTGATATTCATTTTTTTGACGTGACGGATTATAATATAATCTATTGCGTAAACTTTTGCGAGAATTACACCCAAAGATTGACATGATATATCTGCATCCTTCCAATGTTTAATTAAATGTAATAGATGCCGAGCTAAAATATATAGAGTATATTTACTTCTGATCTAAATTTGCAAAAGCCATTCATGTTAAAGCAACCTGGAGCAACATAACGTACTTCATATACTTTATATAGCCTAAAGAATGGAGAAATAAGTAAAGCTTTGTTTAATTCTCAGAACGATGCTATGCTTCAATTTAGCAAAAACAACAAACATACAAACATTCACAGTATAATGTTGTTTCCTGAAATTCATGCAGAGCTCTTTTATGATGCTATAAAATACCGTATCTCTGATATCTAAAGTTTATAGGAAGCTAATTTCTCTGCCTCTCCTATTATTGCAGTCAGTATTTCTACTGAAAATCTACATGCAAGATACTAACAGGTGTTTCATTTTTAACTCCTTTTTTCAGTACAGACAATGATGAATTCCCAACAAGACGACGTTGACTACGATGATTTTGAACATCATGCTTTATTGGTCTCTGCAGGTAAACTTATTTTCTGTACTACTTTTGATACATCCTTCTAATTCTGTTGATACCAACCACCCATTTTCCACTAAAAAAAGCATCAAAAGCTGCACAACCTCTAAATCTATCCCATTTTGTTGTATCTGTTTATTTAGTGGTTTGTTTTGAAGCTGAGGTTATGTGTCAATTAATGCAAACCCATTTCAAGATTTGTAATTATAATGTTCAAAACTTGCTTTGTGTAAATGTAACTACTGATGAACCTTTCAATTTTCCAGCAGATTTGCCTTATTATGACAGCATCAACATACAACCCACTATCGTATCACCGAGGGCTACTGACGGTAGAGTATATCACTGAAAGATGGTGTACTTTACATTACATTACATTACATGTCATTTAGCTGACGCTTTTATCCAAAGCGACGTACAATAAGTGCATTCAACCATAGGGTACAAACACTTTACCTAAAGTGTGTTCTTGTTTGCAAGCGTAAATAGTAAAGTAAAATAATCTGACAGTGTTTACTACTGCTGTGTGACTCTGTATTTCTTTCTAGCTCCACTTTCTCACAGATTTTTGCAAAAAACTGAAAATCTGTCTCTTCCTCTGTGCTTTGATGTCACTGGAAATGTTCAGCTTAAACTACTTCACCATCCCAGCGGGGGTCAGTAATAGCCCTCTTTGTGCAATTAACATTTTCCCAAGGACTTTAAGTTCCAACTGTGTATTTCTCTCTTTTTTACATTGTTGTACACATACTTTTACTTTCATGAAGGATGCTTGTTTTATTGTGTCTTGGGTGAATGTGGTGCTGAGATGCATTTTTTCTCTTTTTGTATTAGAGCTGTTTGTGAATGGTCAGCTTGATTCAGTAGCGAATGGAGGCTTTAGAAGGATTAACATTCTCTTGAAGACTGACCTGCGGGTTGAGATTGACACTGAAAAAGTCCTTCTGATAGAAGGACAGAGAATTTCCGGCCTTGATCGATACATTTCCATCACAGTTGGAAGGTAACTTTGCATGGTCCTAATAAGAAGAATAGTTGGGCACATCAACAAGTTGTTGTTTTACATATTAAACAAAAGAGTTGCAAATTAGTGTTTGAGATGCTAGTATGTGTATCTCATTGGCTTGCTGTTAAATGCAGCTTAATGTTCATTGTACACACATAGGGGTCTATCAATATTTTTGGTTTACCATTCTGCAAAAAAAGTGCGTTAGTGACTTTAAAACCAATACTAATCTGAATCTACAGTTGAAGCTTACGTAAAAGGCAATCCACACAAGGGATTTTAAGCATTCTGGATAATGAGGGCAGTGTTCTCTGCTGGATTGCAATTGGCCCAAAAAAGTGAAATGACCCGTGCAGGGTCATTAAAAAGACTACAAGAAAATGAAGACTAATTGTGTTGGGGTTTTTTTTCAGTTTGACATTGTTTAGCCGGGAGAAGGAAATAGACGTTGCTGTTGGAGACACACGCATGGTCATCTTAATTCATAAGGAGAATGGCAAAGACTTCCTCTGGCCGATTTTGAGACAGCGGCCGTTGGATGACAACGTTTCAGGAATTTTAGGTGGGTTTAAAATGGCTGGATTTTTATGATTTGATATCAGATGGTGATGATATTGAATGAGTATCTCCTATGGTAGTTGTGATGGAAATCCTGAATAATAAGAGGTTAACACTTTGTGCAGTGTCTCTTTAAGTGCGTTCTTTTCGAGCCACAGCTTTATTGTTTGCCCTCTGTGTGTTCAGCTCTAAAACCAGCAGTTTACGAGGACGTGCAACAAAGTCCCTCAACAAGACTTAAGATCAAAGGCCAGGACTATGATGCTACCAGGTACACTTTAATTGCTATAAATGACAACGGTTGTGGGTTTTTTCATCGTATTTGGTCTGATACACAAAGATAAACCGAGATAGCAGATAACATTGTCTTTCTTTTAAAGGGCCAGTGCTGTTGACTACAGTATCAACCCTTCACCCACAGAAGACTGCTGGCTCATGTCTGCTGAGTCTGCCCTGCAGAGAAGCCTGGAGGATTTCATTGTCACATAAATTTAATTGGGAACAATGTTGAATCACATTTAAAGATTTCATTTGAAATAAAAATGAGTCAATCACAAATTCAATTATCACCAGTTACTCACATGAACCAACACAATTGATTGTCTGTTGTCACTTGTCGCGTCATTGTCTTTTGCCACGCATATCCTTGTCTCTCTTCGTTCGCAGTTCCTGTCTCCCGTTTTGCCCCTTGGCCTTTTGCTTTAACCCTTTTGACAATTAAAGTCGCTTTTGTTGTTTTAACTCTGAGTCCTACCTCCCACGACCCCCTGACACTTTGGTTATCTTATGTAATCTAAATTAATTTACATACAACATTTTATCATATTATCATGTTTAATTAGTAGTGATGGCAAAGTGAAGCTTTCCGAACCAGTGAAGCTTTCCAGCCAATTGTATCGGAAAAAGGTATATTCATTCAATGCATCGCAAACTCTATGATGACCTCTGCTGTTGAAAACTTGTAGTGCAAGAGAACCACTGAGTGCCACTGAGTGCCATTGCGTGCCAGTGGCACAAGGAGGATCTCGGCCCTGCTGATATTTTGGCCCAGTCTCTGTGGGTTGAACATGATTATGAAAAGTTGAACCAATAAATCATCTAATAAATACATGGATTGCTATATGAATAAAACTAGTTTTTCAGGTTTGACTTGTGTTCTTGTTTTCAATTCTCTGTACATTGGAAAGAAGTGGAACAAACACTTATCTATGTCTTTCTGCACCTTTGTGCATGTATGTTTGTGATCATACTAGCAGAATAATTAATGGAATATATATATATATATATATATGTCTTATATGTAAGCAACTTATGTGAATTGTTTGAATCTGGAATGTGGGAAGTGATTGTGCTTTTGGACAGGTTTGTTATGACATGATATTGAGGTGCTTGTGGACACATGAGATGGGGCATGAAATTATTATTGATTTTTATTGAGGAACACAATTTTCTCCACAGTATTGGGGTTGAGTCGTTTTCTTTTTGTAGAAACTATTTCCCCAGCTTTAGAAAAAACGTGCTCACACGGCACGGATGAGGCAGGAATGCACAAAAGATTACGTGACAACACAAATAGATGTGGGTACACATGTTTGTGTTTGACCCAATATTTTAGCGGGTCTTCACTTCGTGGAATGTTTGGCTCTGCCAAATATCTGGTGGTCTCCACAGTGGCATCGGCTGACACACTTCTCACCGTCCTCTTCTCAAATACTTGTGTATCTAAAAGATCCCACAGTCCTGAAATGGTATAGGAATGCATTAAGATGTATATTATACATATAAACAATATATTGACAGTAGGTTGTTACCTGAGGAATCAGACACTGAAGGTGCATCCTCTGAAGTTGATGGTGTTTCATCATGTGAGGGTGCAGGAGATTGTTGTCTTATCACAGTGGCTGTTTCAGCAATAAGTTTTTTTATGGCATTTTGCTGGTTTGTGGGGTTGCAAAACCCCATCGTTTTGAAACGAGGATCCAGGAGCGTGGCAAGAGCATGCTGTCCTGCCAATTCATAATTCCCAAGTTTCTCGTGCATTAGGCCTAGTAAATGCTTTCCCAAAATTCTGGCCGTGTCATCCGTCAGCTGCCTTTGTTTTGCTGCAATTGTGTGCCGCAACATCTTGACCATGGGTATTATTTTTGAACCAGACACATGCTTCTCTGCAGAAAGCTCGACTGTTGCTTCTTTGAGCGGGGCCAAAAGTGCAATGCACTGACCAATACTGGCGTACTGGTTTGAGGTAAGTGGTGAAATATCTGTTTGCAGATAGGCCAAGGCTGCACCCACTGGCTCTCTCTGCTTATACAGCCTTTGCAACATGTCCAGGGTGCTGTTCCATCTCGTTTCCACCTCTTGAATGAGTTTTGCACATGGAGCACCCATTTGCTTCTGAAGACAGAGAAGGCGCTCTCTAGCCACAATGCTGGTTCTGAAGTGTGTGGCAATACCCCTCGCCTTAGTGCGGACCTCCTCCAGACCAGGTGTTAATTTCATTGATTTCTTTACAACTAAATTCAATGCCTGTGCAATGCAGTGGCTTTGCCTGATCTCCATCATGGTACTACACAAGGTCATGTTAGAGGCCCCATCTGTTGTTAGGCACATCACTTTATGGACCTTTTTACAGAGGCAATATTTGAAGCCGTGTGCCTCTCCCCAAACTTGGCAACTGCCAGCAAAACAGTAGCCAACTTGTCCCCTTCATCCACAAAATGGCAAGTGAAGGCCAGGTACGAGTCCATGTGGATGTATGTCCATATATCAGAGGTCAAAGCCACAGCAGTAGCCTTCTGGACCTTTTCTTTGGCCTTCTGCTTCCCCTCGTGATACTTGGCCTCCACCATAGATTTCAAGGTCTGCCTTGAAGGAAGGACATAGGTGGGGTCCAAAAGAGACACCAAGGCCCTAAAGCCTTGATCTTCCACAACCTAAACAGCAAAAGAAATGTTACTATGTGTTTTACACAAATACCTCAATATATGTGGCAAATAAATATCATACCTTGAAGGGCTGCGAATCCTTGACAATCATGTTCACCAGTGCCTCGTCAATCCTGACCTTCCTATCACCTACAATACAACAGGCCATGGATAGTTTTAATGAGTAAATGCTGGAATAAAATGAATGTATAAACATATATTATATATTTATAACATTAAGATTACATGTAGAAGGGACCTACTGAATTAGAGGAATTGTACCCACCATGGATGCTTGCTGCAGCTTGACCAGCCTCATGCTTGGCACGAAAGTGCCTCAGCATGGATGAGGTGTTATTGTTATAAGCCAATTGCTGATGGCAAACCAAACATTGGACCTGACAACAGAATTTACAAAAGCATGTTTTTCACGAATAAAATAAAGGCACATGTATAGTTCAACTACAAAACCTAAATAAAAATAAACATCCATAATTACACAATACAAATGACAGACTTTGCCTGCCTATTACAAACCTTGTTAGAGGAAATCAAATCGAAGTGCTCCCACATCTCGGAGCGACCTCTCTTTGCCACAGGTTCCATTGTAAATTTGCGCTTTGCTACTACTACTACTACTACAACAACACTGATTTTGACTGTATCAAACAGACAAGCCCCGACCCTGTTTCGCGCGCATTTGAATCAATTCGAAGCGGTCACGTGACTGTGCGCCGGAACGAAGCTTCGGACGTCACTGATCACGTGATCAGCAGCGAACGAACCGAGCACCGATACAATTGCTTCGCCCTGCACTGGTTCATATTTCGACACAAGCTTCGAAGCAGGAGGGTGGGAGGTAACAACACTATTAATTAGTTTGGAATGCTTCTTCAAATTGCGTTAGTTCAATTATAAAAAGAGGAAAGGAGTAGGTTATTGGGGCACAGTCCTGTAGCCCTTCAGTCATGATCCAAAGTGCACAGAGCCTCCAAACTAAATTCCATTCTCACCATGTGACCTTTCCCACGCCCATTTATTCACTGTGAGAACAGAAAATGAAAGAAGTGGAATGTCACTCTACTGCTTACAAAATGTAATGTTTGTTCAGTAGTAACAAGAGGCTTCCAATTATGTGTTTTAATTGATTTGATATGTGGCAGGCGTCGTTATTTTAGCTACCTGGTTAACGTTTGTACTTTCTACATATTTAAGTATATTCAAATGTAACCCACGCACAGTGAGTCCAGTAAACAGAGGCAAATTAATTGAAATAAAGTTAAATTAACAATGACACACATCAAATGCACACTTTGGGGATGGTAGGCAAATCCACTCTTGTACTGACAGCAATATAATGAATATAATGACGATAAAGATGATGATACACAGTAAGAAAACTACTCATGGTGGAGGGGAGGCGAGGTGACGGTAGACCAGTGTTTGATTCCCAAAGTGTTGTTGAGTTATTGTGAAGGTAAATGTGTAACCTTTTTCCTAAATATTAACTTTTAAGGTTTTGACGCCCAACAGGTAATTCCATGCGATCACGTTCACAGTTGGCAGCACAGATAGTTCAGAAAGATAACGTTCGATGTGCTTCACTTATTGTTAATTTACAGGTAGCACAAACAAAAGGAAATGGTTGCTTGGTGTAAAGACAGAACTTAAGTAAATATACACTCTACCTTCACCTTGTAAAAATAAACTTCCCTACATTGGTTTACAAAGTATGCGATGGGTGCGTTGTCGATTTTGAGTTGCTCTGTTTGAACACATTTATGGGAAATAATAAAGAGCCAAAAGGTTTTTCTTTAGTGTAACTTGTTTTGGTCAAATCAGTCAACGCGCCGTGTTCGGTGCTATAGTGTTGCATAACATTGTCGTCTTCCAATGAACTCAGGGCCAAAACTGACAAACCTGTTCATCGAGGTGCATCTTACCTGAACAGTAAAGAAAGGATCTTTGCCAAATCCACAAACCGAGCATTGTTCTTCTCCTTTGACTGTAAAGGGCCGCTCTGTCCAAAAAAACACGTTAGAGAGAGAGAGCAAAAGGGAGGGAGAGAGTTGTGGGAGAGGGAGGGGCGTGGCATGACTAGGGATAGTGACACACTGTATGTGCTCAAATGACTCAAACACTTCACGGCAACTGGCAAAGTGTAGAAGGTCCGAGAGGAATTTACCTGGAGTGGATCACTGATCGCAGTAAGTAGCCTCAACGAGGTTTCCATGAGATTACTCGTGTCATTTCATTATGTTGGGTTGAATAACTCCAGTGTGATCTTACGTCCGAGCAGTCTCTGCTTGTTTAATGCTCAAGGCTGTTTTAAGAGGGAACTACCCAGTTCCCACTGATTATGTCTCAGGGTTTGTGAAGCGATTAATCCAATGATTTGTCCACCAAAAAACTTTTGGAGTCAGTTTGAACAAGAAGGAAAAATATGTTCACAATTGTGGTGTCGTGCTTTCACTGTTTTCACTCCCTGTCTGCGCCTGCATTAATTTATCTCTCTTCCTCCCCAAAAGGTTGATCCCATCAATCATCGTCTCATTGTAAAAATAAATCTTCAACCAAAAGTTGCGATGAGGAAGAAGACACTGTACTTGTTGGAAGAAGTTGTCATGGCACTCCTGGAGAAAGACTTTTGTGGGGAAATCCTGTAGGACTCAACTGATTTGGAGGCAGAATGTTTCTTCCCGGATGGTCCTTTTGGTGTGTTTTATTCACTCTGTCACACTGGGCTTTGGCAACTTCTGGATATGCCAGCCATGAAGTCATGTGCTTGCAGGTACTGGAGGGTGCGGCAGTATATAAATATTTTGTTGACATTTGGCACTTTTTAATTTCCTTTTAGCTTTATTGCTAATCATTCTGTACACATGACCTTCATTGTAGTCTGTCCGTCCCGAGAGAGGGATCATCCTCTGACGCTCTCCCTGAGGTTTCTTCCCCTTTTTCCCCATGGAAGGGTTTTTCATTTCTTGGGGAGTTTTTCCTGTGTCAATGTGAGGGTTTCAGGACAGACTGTAAAGCCCTCCGAGGCGAATATGTAATTTGCGATTTTAAATTGAATTGAGTGCGGCCTGGGTGGACATTTTAATGTTCCTTTTATCTGATAAAGTGTCTTATCTTCAAAGATTAAATTAAACAGACAAATGCATACAAACATCTGCCAGCACAAACACATGCGTTACGTATGTAAACGAAACACAATACAGTCCTCTTAGCAGTCAATATTTAACTTCCAGGCAAAATTCAGTTCCAATGTGCCAACATCTGTCCACATTTCCTTCATCCTCCTTTTAGGGACTTTCTGATTGTACCATTGAGGATACGATGCTTCTCGCACCAGAGAAAAACGACGTGGCCGTCCGAAACCTGAATCCATATTTCAAGCTGTGCTGCAGGGACGGTGCACAATGTGCGCTGTGTCTGGTGATGGACGCAGGGATTGACTTCAAACCAGATAACGACGCAGGGGGAGAAGACCACTCTGGGTACGATGAAGAGGATTATAGCGAGGAGATAGTGAGAAATCCAAGAGGTAACAATTAAGGCCACGTGGCGCCGTATTTTAATGAATTAACCAATCCATAATTAGTCTTTGTGCCACTACCAAGATACCCCCAGAGTATAATATTATTGTAATATTTAACATGATTGATTGGTATCTAGTAAATGAGTAACAGTAGAACCTTACGCTTTGTTTTGAAAAACACAATTGTCATTAAGACATGACCATATGGAAAATATATTTAACCAGTTTAACCAGTTCACAGATGATAGATTAAAAGTGTGGGTTTGGAAGTGTAAAAGGTGCTGCTCCTGAAGTTTGGTCTCCCATTACTGTCTCACATATTTCTGAGCCCCACCTTTTTGTGTGTTGCAACAGCGTCTGTGACACTGTGTTACAGTCCAGTATCTGTCATGCCCTCGTGCAAGAAGGTGGAGTTTACGGTTAATCATGAGGCTCTTACTCAGAGAGACTGGGCAAAGGTAGACTCCCCGTGTTGTAATATGAAGTCTGTGATGTCAATGTGGATTCTCCTTCTCGTTTCTCATAAACTCTGCATGTGTGTGTGTGTGACAGTTTACAGTGGTGATCAAAAAGCCAGCCGGCGTTTCCTTCAGCACTCATGTCACTGTTTATTCTTCTAAACCGACACATCTAAGCAGAGAAATTGACGCTCCTTCTCTAAATGAAGGTAAAGTGCATCACAAAAGCACACGTTGAGCTGATAACTGGCCTCTAGCTCCAGTGACACCGACTGCATTGTCTCTCTGCAGTGTGCTCCCAGGAGCTGCAGGAACGTGTGGAACAGTGTCGGGGTAAGACGTCCCCACTTCGTACCTTGTTTCTTCGGGCCTCGTGTCTCCGAAATGAACCGTTTTCTTTTCATTCCTCCCTTTTAGTGCCCAGACTCATCAGTGTAATTAACCAAAAGATGAGTTGGGTGGAGCTGAAGTTGGCAGACACTAATGAAAGCCTGCCCTCCGTGTGCGTCCAGTACGAGAAGAATGGAACATGTCTGGTCAGTGTTGTATGCCAGTGGCTGATTTTAGTGGTAGTTACATTCATTCCTTTTGAGTTTTCTACCTTTGTTGTTATTTGTTTGTTTGTTTGCAGGGGTAAATCAATTATTGCTTGCTATGATCCCATGTTGCCAAAATGCTAAAAAATTGTACAATATATGCAGTTTGAAACCTAAATACGTATATTGAATGTCTTGCTTTGTTGCTTAAAAAGATTATTTCATTATAACAGATATTTTCTGTCTAAAATCCAGTAGTATTTTGAAGTACAAGTTCCTACATTAGCACAGTAAATCTTCACAGTCCCTGCTCAGCACTGGTTAGTCGCTCTCATTACAACAACGATGTGTTAAATGTTTCTTTGTAGGAATGGAACAGAAGGCCCATCCCTCTGTACTCTGTGACCCCCTGCATGTGTTTCCAGGTACCATCCCTTGAACATTGGGATTAAATGAGGCCACTACATTAGCAGTGTACATCAGTATGACAGATGTGTGCATGTGTGTGTTTTTCAGGTATTGAATACCAAGGACGAGCTGAGGCGCCCTCAAAGCTGCCCCTTCGTTAACACAGGTGTGACATTTCCTTCTTTTTTTAGTTCACTTTATTTGCTCCTGAATCAACAGAGTGAAGGCTGGTCAGTTCACCTTTGGTATACTTGTGTGTCCTTCGTCTCCACTCCAGATTCCCTCCGAGGGAACGTGTGGCAGAACGTGTCGGTGTCCATGAGACTGGGTCAAGTCAACAACGCCCACTCAATGCTGCGGTGGAACCTGTCTGCCCCCTGCAGGCTGGAAGGGGAAGTGTGGCTCTGCCACAACGAACTCCCCTGCAGGGAAGTGGAGGGTTTCAGACAACAGCTGGCAACCAGCACTTGGAGACAAAACAGCCAGGGACAGTGGGTAAGAAATATAATACTGAACCATGCACCCCCATTGTTAGCCTAAGCTTTATGTGTGAGAAACTCATCTCATTAAAACCTGCCTCATAGGGTCCAGTATATTCTGTATATTCTTAACCTTGTTTCAACTCCAAATAGAAGCTATGCAATGGTTAGACTGCCTATTATTGTTTTCCTTATGGCTGCTTCTTTATGTGTAACTATTTTGCATAACACAGATGTTTCAAAATGTGAAAAACACTCTCCGCTAGAATCTAAAGTAAAGTTCTGCTGCTTTGAATGACGCATTGCTACACAGCACAGGTTTTTAATGACTGAGATGTTATCGTTATGTCATCTTCAGGTGAAAAAAGGAGTGTTCGACAAAATCAAAATTCATCTCTCACCATGTGTGATGGTAAGTTATTGGCCACCGTCCCTCTATGCCTCCTATATTTACCTACTCAATGATACTGAATAATGAATGAACGTTAATCCCTTTTGTGCAGGTGAAGCTTGAGGGGAAAGTGCTGGGTCCTTTCTGTTTGGAAAACAGTGAGTCTGACACAGTTTACAATAAACAAACATTTTTTAGCTAAAATGCAGCACCTGTTTCTTGAGATTTTTAGAAAACAGGAGTTTGTTTTGTCGTTACTTGCAGCCGGCAGGTGGCGCTGGAGCCTCCTGGTTGTTGGACTCATGCTGCTGGTTTTCTTGACTGTTCTTGCATTTTATTTCCTTCATGACGTTGTGAAAGGTGAGTTTTATTCATTTGTTTTCTTTTCGTAAGAACAGAATGTGTGACTCTCCGCTGTGACATTTTAAACCGATCCATGAGGATTGGTGGTCCAACTGAAACCAAATTTCCCAGAGCTTTCCCCAAAAAGGCTACTTTTAATTCCACCCAACACCACACCTTATCGACTAGATGTGGGAATTGTTAACACAGTAGCGTATATTGAGAAACTAAAATGATAAATATCCCTGTAGTGTGTTTCTGATAATATCTGCTCGTTCCTTTTTGTTGTTTTCATAGAGTGGGTGTGGAGCTGTCGTCATGGCGGATTTGTGAAAAGTAAGTATCATCTCGTAATCCCACTACTGGTTTTGAGAAAAACTGTATATTTAGCATTGGTTTTAAAGTCACAAATGCACTTTTTATTCACACAAGCATTTATGGGGGAGAAAGCAAGGGGGGGTTGTTAGGTCACGACAGAACAATCATCTGACATCCGTCCCCTCTGTTTATCCTCTGAAAAGTTTCCAACAAGGGTCACGTGGTGCTGCTGAGCCCCCCAGATGTGGACGATAGTGTTTCGGAATCAGTATGTCAGCTCGGTGCACAGCTGCGTAACCGAGGCTTCAACGTGCTCGTGGACCAGTGCAGCAGGAAGGAGCAGTGCAATCTAGGGCCTCTTCCGTGGCTGCACGGCCAGCTGATGGAGATGAACCGCCGGGGGGGCACATTTGTGCTGGTCTTGACCCACGCGGCCTTGAACAGAGCAGAGGAACGGGCCCAACGGAGCAAAGAGGTTGTCAAGACAACGGGGGATCACACGGGCCTCCCTGAGATCATCTCCCCTTACTCCGATGTCTTCGTCGCCTCCCTGTCCCTCATCCAAGCGGACAAGCAGCTGGGCAGAGCCGGAGAACATTTTCTTCTGGTGACACTGGGCTCCCATCCAAAAGGTGACAGGAGACTACCAGAGCTTCTTCGAGGGCTGCCCTTGTTCCAGCTTCCCTCTCAGACCAAGGCTCTCTTGCATGAGCTCACTGTGGGAAGCAGTGCGAGAGGATCGGGGAGGAGGACATGGACAGGGTGGGAATGGATTACCTCAGGCGGGAGGACAAAGATATCTCAGAAGGCATCCTACGGTAAAGGTGCTGAAGATGAGGACATTTTGTGACAAAGCACTTTGAAAAGGATTGCTGCTCTGTGCGTGAAGGACAAGTTGATCCAAAGTGTGAGTGAGATAATCATGAGGCAATTTTTTCTGTTTTTTGTTATTGTCAAGAAATGCTGTGAAATTAACTACAACACGTTTATCTTATATCTAATAGATTTATTCCTACCTTCACTTACCTTTGTGACTTTTTCAGTCGCGTTATGAAAAAAAGAAGTTAAATTAAATTGTGACTAACTGCAGTAGTTTGTCTCTATGTTACCTCAAGAAGAGAAAGCAGTGTATTTGTTAGGGATTATTTTCAGCCGTGTAAGCAAGTAGAACAGAGTCTGTGAGTCAAATGTTTTTGATGGCGTTCATACAGACTAAGTATTGTCTTTATGTTTATCATATACAGTGTAACTTTTACCTTCTATGTAAATGCTTCCCTTAATAGTCATTCTATTCATTCATTGTATAAGAACATGTCGTTCATTAGCACACTGTTATTTTCCTTTTAGCTGAAGATCGGATATCCAGATGAGCTGTACACAGGGTGCGGACTAGCTGCTGGACCGGTGATGCCTTTTCTTGAGGGTTTACGTGAGGAGGGGGATTGCACAACTAGTGCATTTGGATCTTTCCTTGACTTGGAAACCTCATTCCAGCAGATTGAACTTGAATATCGATTGAATATTAAAGAAGGCCTTTACTTTAATTTATTAACTGTACATTTGATAGGTCAAACCTGAATGTCATGCAAGAGTTTGTGTTTGCCCAAAGATTACTATTATTTCTTTTGGTTAATTATTTATTGAAAGTAGAGGGTTAGGGTTTATAGACATTCCCTTATATTTTAACACGCTTTTATGTATTAAAGAGGATTTTTTTACCCCGTTGTCTGGTTATTATCCTTTGTCTCAATCAGCGGAAAGCTGGGGAATCAGGACAGCAACAACACAATATCAGCAAGTATGCAGCAAGTACCATCTCAGAGAAAAGCAATACAATTGTTAATTTTTATGATAGCAAATGTCACAGTGTGTGACTGTTAAGGTGTGTTTAAGGTTTTTTTTGGATGATATGTCATGTGAATACATTATATAGGATCAAATCATATTTGTTTGGGTCTTTACATGGGAGACAAATATTGGATATGGGCAGACTTGTCCTTTAGGCTTCCATATGTTGAGCCTAAATTCTTACATGCTAATTATATCCATGTGGCCCAGTAAACGTCTGCCAACGCCGCTCTATAAATACATGTGCTTATTCATCAGCACGGCCGAGCTCGGGTTGTGATTGGCCGTCACCAAGTGAAGGACGGTGGATGTCATTGGTTCAATCAGCACAAGGAGAAGTGCTCGTTTAAATATATCGTGACATTCTGCAGGGCCGGTGCTATGGGAGTGGTGACTGCTCCGCCCGCCTGGGATGTTAGGTGTGAATTTTGTCATCAAGTAGTTTTGAAGTTTTGAGAAGCGCATGTCGGCTGCATTCACAGCTTTTAAACGAAACCACTTCAGACTCAGTTGCTGCACATAGAAGAGGTAAAGAAAGCTCTGAACTTACGGCTCTTGTATGTTTTGAGGTATAAAAAAGCGAAGTGTGTTCTATTCTTAAAGACGCAGAGGTATAATTAGAACAAAGTCGTTCAGATGGGAAAGACCGATCGCAAATTAATACATTAAATATGTAAGCGGCATCAATGTTGTATGTTGATGGTTGAGCTGAAGACAATTTGAACTATATTCTGATCTGCAATGCATCATCTATGTAAAGAGTTGTAGGCTATTTAATATATAATCTGTAGTCGTGGGCAGGTACACAGTACAACAAGTAGAATATCACGTCTCTTGTACAAATCAAATAAGAAATATAATGTAGCCTATCTAGAAACAGGCATTTACTTTAGTATTTTCAAAGCTAATAAAACTGTTTTTTAGGCTTTGATTTCCAAAATAATCAGCAACTTAATATTTAAAGATGATATGATATAACTGAACTGGATTTGGGGATTTGTTTTTATTCGTACCACTCACGTACTTTATTCTGCAAGGGATCTGTTGCCAATTAATATATTCCCATCTTGCGAGCGTCATTTAACAAACCTTTAGGGTGCTATTTTGGATGAGGTAAAGAACTTCATCTTGTGGACTTAATGGGACAGATGGGAGAGAGGATCCTTCACAAGAAGCTGCTGCAGGCTGCTTGGCTGTGCTGTTTGTTGGCTGTTCAGGTGCACAGCTGCCCAGATGCCTGTAGCAAGTGTTCAGGCCCAGAAAACGACCAGTGTGAGGAATGCAGAGCGGGATGGACACTCCATACTAACACCTGCGTAGGTACTGTATATGAAGCCTGTCATCCCATGTGTGTATGTGACAAGAAGACAAGCGGATGGTCTAAATGTCTACGTGTTTGGATCTGTTTTAGATGTTGATGAGTGTGGCTCCGAGCTGGGAATCTGTCCTACCAACACCTACTGTTTCAATACAGATGGATCCTTTGCGTGCCGAGGTCAGTGGTTAACAATTGGTGTGAAAGACCCAATAGCATTTTTCTGGAAGTGAAGAAGTAGAATAGATACAGTGTTGAAAAATACAATCAACTTTTTTTTGCCAATGAAGTGCTTAAAATATAGATATTCAATTTAGGAGTGATTATAAGAGAGATAAGCAGAAAATCCTCACCTTTGGAACCAAAACTAGCAAATTTTGACTGATAAAACTATTACTGTGATAAGTTTTTGAAATTTATTTTATATAGATCAAGTGCCTGATTGTTGTTTCTGCACTAAACCAGGCTAGTGGAGCCCTTAAGGTGATAAAAAAAATTGTAGAGTAAGTAAAATGGTATATAAATATATGATACTGTTATCTATTATTATACCAATATTAATGGAAACAAAGGTACCACACCTGAGATTTTATAAAATAAATCAAAACTAACATTTTATTTCCTTTCTCAACCCGTGACATTTCCTTCATCATCACTGATCAATGCCCAATTTTTCCAGAACGACGTTTCACCTCTATCCAATCCATGAACAGTGTGTGTGTGTGTGTGTGTGTGTGAGGCTTCCGATCCGAGACTGACACCCTAATATAATCGCCCATATTGGGAATTGTTTGCATCTGAAGCGTCACTGCATAGCTCTTATAACAGCAGATGAAGCCTTTTAGCGTTCATATAGAGCTCACAAAGTTAGTTTGTTTTTGGTTTAGTTTGTTTGATATTATGAGAAAAGGAGATATCAACTGACAAACATCTCCAAAATGTTGAGCATGACACAATAAAGTGCTAATTGTGGACTCTAATGATCACTATAGAACTGGCCCAGTAATCTTAACTTATTCACGCCTAGGTTGCCTAATCGGAGAGCTTAAAAAATGAAATAATACTTCCAGTTTCTTCTAATCTGATTGTCTTTTGCGGCTTATCTCACTCATGTACACTGTTTGGTAAATGATTTAACAAAATGGTCCCTCCTTCCTCAGACTGTTCCCCGGCATGTGGGGGCTGTATGGGCAGCGGAGCAGCGCGCTGCAGGAGATGTGCCTCTGGCTACACGTTGACCGGCTCCAAGTGTGTGGGTAAATGCTTAGAGGAGCATTTATTTAGTATTATTTCTCAGTATGGATTCTTTATGGCCCCTTGGGATCTGCAGTACGTCTCTGATGAGACGGTTGTTTACGTGTCTTTCTTTGATTTTGTCAGATGTAGATGAATGTAGTGACCGGATACTTGCCTGTCGCGGTCTGGACGAGATTTGCACCAACACGGAAGGTTCTTTCCGCTGTGACTGTGCCGAGGGATTCGTCCGTAGGGACGCTGTCTGTGTGAAGAAGCAGCATCCTGGTGGGTCTCGTTATTTACGTTTCTCATTTAGCCAGCGCTTTTATCGCAAAAGTACTTCCAATAAGTGCCTTTAAGCCAGAACAACAAGAACCAAGAAAGTACAATTTCTTCAAGAAAGCCAAACTACAAAAGGCTATAAGTAAGTGCTGATAAAGCGCTAACTAGTCAGGGAATAATCGGTAGAGATGTGCTTCTCGTTTGCGTCGGAAGCTGTCATGACGGCCCTGATGTCGTCAACGTGTGACCTGACCCGACCTCAACGCCACCTCTCACGTTTGTCTCCTGCGCAGGCGTTCAGGAGAAAGGTCTTTTTGAGGACATCCAGGACGACGAGGTGGAGGTGCTGCAGCAGATGCTCTTCGGGGTGGTGCTTTGCGCTCTGGCCACGCTGGCTGCTAAGGGAGATTTGGTCTACACGTCTGTATTCATGGGAGCGGTGGCAGCCATGGCAGGGTACTGGCTTTCTGACAGGGGAGACCGTTTACTAGGCAGCCTCTTAAAGGGACGTTAAAGCTACAAAGTGTTTTGCAGAGGACTTAAAACTTTTCATGTGCGATTAGGTGAGGCCATTTTTCTGTACTGAGTTGAAAACGAGCCTGAAACGGGCCATGCGTTGTTTTCAATTTTGTTTTGGTATTTATAGACGCTAATGAACAATGTTGTCACAGCTTGTGAAATACAGCTTGTTTGTATTTGTGTGCACAAACAACGTATTTGATTTTCTTCATTTATTGCATCACTGTCACTGTATTTGCGTTTTTTTTTTTTTATTACAAAATTGAAACTTTTATAACATCAATGCAATATTTGACGCACTGGTGTGCTCCATTCCACAGTGACACATTATACACTGTTTAATGTAATTTAGTTTAATACCATGATTGTATTTTGTATTTAAAAATATTAGAATTGACATATACGGTTTGACTGATTATAAGAGTCAAATCACAAACAAAGACAGAAAGAAAGTCACCTTTATTTGATGGATATAAACAAGCTGGCCAACACTCAATAGTAATATTCTGATACAGCACATACAATAGCAAACTGGGTCTTCGAGGACAGCCTCCTAGATTTAAAAAACATAAAACATCACAGAGTATCCATGCTTCATTCAAAACTTTGACTCAATCTCACTTCTTTGTTTTTTGATCTAGGTACTTCCTCTGTTAGTTCTTTTAAATCGATTTTTCTCTTACGCATCCATAACACACACACATATGCGCGCGCACACACACACACACACACCCACACCCACAAATTGGCACATCCATAAACGCAGCTATGCACACCTCTCTCTTTTCTGAATACATTTACACAAGCAACCCCAAAAACATGCCGCACACTCACAAAAACTGCACAGGCTGTCTACTAAGGGGACACAGTGAGCGAGACACGCGTCACACTCAAACACAACATCACGCCGTCACAAAGCACGATGCAGATGCAAGTAATGAATGATGCTTCATGGGAGATTAGCTCACGTTCACACGGGTAATCATTCAGCATGCTGGACACTCACATTTAACTTGTTCCTAGGTCTTTACTGTACAGCTCAAAACATTTACATATACAAATAGTACAGACTCAAACTGGCCTATTCGGTGAATTGAAACAATACAAAAAATAATACAAAAGTAAACAATATTTGTTCTTTCAAAGCAAAAATGTTTCTGGCATTGGTCACAGTGATTTGTTTGATCCAGGTTCGGCAAGGTTCAGCAACATAAGAAAAGAAACAACAATAAAGTGGAAATTTGTGTTAGGCTTTCCATGCTTTTTTATTCTCAAAGGCCTTTGACAATTAGTGGTGAACCTACAGGCCTTTTTAACTCAAGTCTTTCTAGACGGCTGCTTCCAGGCACAGATGGACACTTGACTTCAGTCATTCAAAACCAGGATGAGTGATTCGTCTAAGCCCCGAAAACCAGCCCCAGTCTCTAAGCCCCCGTGTCTCCTAAAGCTTTGTGTGACACAGTTCTCAACCGTTGAGAAATCGCTCTGCATAGAGAACAGGAGATTACACTTACATCATCGCTTTCAGTTGGCACATTATGTAAAATTCAGCATGCATGGGCACAAATGAAATGTTTTTAATGTTTTCTACCATGTCAGTTATAAATCTTATTTCATGGTAGGAGAACCCCCTACTTCAAGTATTCAGTAGATAAGGACCTGAAAATGCAGGATTCGTACTCCGACCCCCTGATGGTGAAGTTAGAGGATTTTTGCTCCTCTGTCTGCTTGCATTGTCTTTCCTTTTAAAAACAAAATCCAAATCAGGACTTTTCTCTTTTAACATTTGTAAACACAAACACAAAAGCTCCACATGAGCTGTTGATTCTTGGTCAGTGACAGGAGCTTTAAAGGTTCGTACGGTACGTGAAGCGGACACAACAGGCGATGCGCGGGAACCCTCGGTTTGTGGAGGTTGTGTAGATGGAAAGACATTTATATACAACAGTCAACACTTGGCCATACACGTGAAACACACAGGCATCATGAGGGGAGGGAGAGGAAGAAGGGGATTGTCTTTAAACAGTCTAATTTTTTTTTTACTTTTCCACTACACTGCAACAATGTGCGTTGGTTTTTCTACTTCATCAGCTGTCACAGTCACGTATGTCACCACTTCGGATTACAAGACGCCAACGACGACGAACACGCAAAAAAAAACAAAAGCATCCCGACAGAGTCACTCAAACCTCCCCTTGGATGTTAAACGTGATAGTCCTCGCCCACAAGTGTGAGTTTCTGACCGCTGCGCGCAGCAGACATAATCTCATTGCTACTCATGTGAGCTGCATAATTCAGTTTTTTTGTTTTTCTTTCATTGTTTCAAAGTTGCCACCACAAGCGGTGTTCAACTGAGTGTTTTCACTTTGAAGAAAGGAATGTAATGATGTCATCTTTACTAGATAGATAGATTTGGATATACTTTTCTATTTTCACATAAACCGCTCTAAAGCTCTTATTTCTTCTTTTGGGCTGTCCTATGTGTTTTCAGGCAGGGAATGTTACTTGCTGCTGAGGGGTTTACTCACGTACAAATCGGAGGAAAATCACACCACTCAACGCTCGTAATAAGACATCTCTCTGACCTCCAGCCAGTTACAAAAATAACCACGAAGAAACAAAACATATATTGTCTTGTCAGTTTGAAACGATTTTCTGACCACGTATAGACAGATTTCTCTCTATATGTATAATATATTCATATCTATACTATGTGTGTACAGTTTTTTTAACGAGGCACAGGCCTCCTTGTTGAGAAGGAGAAAACAAGTCACTATGTTTGAGGAGGTCACACAGACTACTGCTGAAAGGAGAATTCCGTAGATCAGATACTGGGCTGTTGATGGTATAAATAGACTTGCAGGGAAAACATATATTGAAGACCCTCCCCTTCATGGTCTATAATGTTTTCACACCGACAGTCTTATATAGAGATCTCCTCCCTGTGGGTCTTACAAATCCCCCAAAGGCCAAATCGTATATATACAAAGCAGTCTTTTTACAGATATTCGTGAAGCCCATTCTGAGATCAAGTCCCTCCACTGTAAAAGGAACACAATATGCCCTTGACCAGTTCTTCTCGCACAATTTAGTTTGAGCACCAGCAGAAGCACCATTAGTAGAAATTCCTGCAACCCGGAGGAGGTGCATAGGTGTAGTCTCAGAAGCTCAAAAACAATCTGACTGATGAGTAGTTTCTGACCGCTCTCTTGGCCACTGTGATCAAATTTGAGTATTTATCCACTCTACACTGACATCTGCATAGATTCATTTTTTTTTTCTGCCTACTTTTGATTAAAATGAGGTAATACGACGAGAAAAATGGATGGCATCCAGAGCCTTGAGGCTGGAAACAGTCCAAGAGCTTGTACAGCGGAGTAAACTGCCGAGGCTGCAGGCGAGGCTAAAGAACAACTATTATGAGCTCACGAGGAAGAAAAAAATATAACTTGGTGTGGGACTCTATCCCCTTTTTTTGATGTAAAGGTAAAAAAAGAAGTCGCTGTGTGCCACAAGGACTGAAATAGCTCATTATCACAGATTCAGATTCAGATTCAAATTACTGAAGAGACGGTCATGGTGGCCAGGTAGAAGGGTCAGATGTCACCTGGTGAGTCAACGGGGCAGTGAGGATACAGAAACCATGAAAGAGTCGGGCGGGAGGAGCCGACCAGAGCCAGAGGAGTCAGTCAGGCAGGTGAAACAGACAGCGAGGCAACCAGGATCTTAACCAACCACAGGAAGATTGATTAGTGAGTAATACTGGGCTGGCATTCACCAGCTCTCGGGTGGGAGCATCCAGAGGAGCCTTGAAGAGATGTGACACTCAGCACATCTTTCTCTCGTGTGGCATCAACCTTCTGTCTGTTTCCTTCCAATTCAGTTCCGTGTTGAAGATCCTGTGTTGAGGAATCAGATGACATCTAATCACACAAAAAGACGCTCCGCGTCACCTACAGCAGAAAATTTGGGAATGCATTTTCAATAAACTATACAATTATTCGAGGTTCTATAATATCTTTGGATACCAAATGATTAAAATTACCTGCTAAGCTGTCAGTTCCCCTGCATGACCTGCACACCCGAGTGGCCCCTCCTCTTACCCGGAAAATAAAGAAAGGTCCCAGTGCGGAGCGTTTATTGAGTGGACGTAATGAATGTTTGGTTGGGTAGTGTTTCAACATCGTGGCATGGCTGTGCTCCTCCAGTAGTGACTGAATGATCTGAATGCGAGAGAAAAGTCAAGACGTCACGCAGACGTTTATAAGCACAGACAGAAGACACATTAGGTAGGAATATCTTAAACGTGTCTCACCCCTCAAAAACAATAAAAGAGCTTTGGTTTTTCACAGCACGGATTATGCCCAAATGCCCTCGTCGTCGTCCTGGTAAAGTCACAGGCCAACATCATCGATATGCATGAAGAGAAGAAAGCAAACAGAAACGGGAGTAAGCGCTGATCAGAAGACAGCAGGCGATGTGAGAGAAAAAACAAGTAATCATCAGATAATAATAATCGGTTAATGTGTGTAGTAAAGTATTTACTGTTCTACTGAAGATGAACATTGATGCCAATTTTTTAAAATGATTACCCTAATTACATCTAACCTGGTCCGGGGCAGGGCGGTGACCAGCATGCGGGGGTCCTCGGGCCGGCCCTCCCCGATGATGGGGCGACGGGTGACGTGGATGCTGGGCGTGGTGAGGGTGCTGAGGGTGTTGTGGGTGTTGGGGATGTGGGTGCTGAGGGTGGGGTCCTTGTTGAGGAGGGCCATGTGGATGCTGAGGGTGCTGCGGGTGTTGTGGGTGCTGGGGATGTGGATGCTGGGGGTGGGGTCCTTGTTGAGGAGGGCCATGTGGGTGCTGTTGTTGAGGGTGTTGGGGCTGCGGGTTGCGTGGGTGCTGTTGGTGCTGGGGAGGTGGTTGTGGGTGCTGAGGGTGCTGCTGAGGGTGCTGTGTGTGAGGGGGGTGAGTGTACTGGGGCTGTGGCTGCTGCTGTTGTAGGTGCTGTTGCGGGTGCTGTTGCGGGTGCTGTTGTGGGTGCTGTTGTGGGTGCTGTTGTGAGTGCTGTTGTGGGGCCTGTGGGTGCTGTGGGTGCTGTGGGTGCATCGTGTGGGGATATGGAGTCTGCTGGGCATGAGGAGCGTGGGGAGGAGCATGAGGGGCGTTGGGGTCACATTCGGTCCTTGGGATCATGAAGAGCAAGTTGAGCATCGCAGCATTGGGAGGACCTTGGCATCGAGGGGGTACTGCAGTTGGGGATGAGACTGAACGTGGGGGGGCTGAGTCGGGGGTTGATGAGGGCCGTGTGCATGATACTGCTCATCTTCGTAGTTGTCGGCGATCAGCTTCATTCTGCTTTGTGTCTATAAGAGATAAGATGAGAGGAAACTGATTAGTGTATGATGACCGGCACCTCTTCAAAATAACACACGGCTGCCTCCCAATGCACATCAAATGGCTGGACAAAGCACATATTTTCAGTATATGTGGACGGACATAAAAACAATCCAGTGCAATAACCATGGAACCGACACTGAGGCTTAAATCTTCCTTGTCTTTCTCCACCTTCAGCTGATGCATCACTATAGATATTTTCAAGGTCTTTGTGATGTAGTTCAGAAAATACACTTATTTCAGGACAATTGGCTGAATATCATTCTTGCTGATGTGAAGATTAATACTTCTTCTACTTATAGACTAAATAAGAAGCTACACGCTGCAACCGATTTGCTTAGTTTACGATGACGATTGAAGACGATGAGAAACATCCAGTCCTGTCCTGTCCAAAGCAAACAAAGTCCAGCTCCCTGCTGCTCAGAAGCTCACTAACTTAAATGTTTTAATGTATGTAAGTGTTAGAAAATGAAAAGCTGTAGTTTAAAGGGCGTTCATAACGGTATAGTATTTACCACGGAGACAATTCTCAGTCTCTCTTATGAGTAAATTGAATCTCATTCCAGTCTAATGTTAGTTTGTTAAAGAGGCTGTTTAACCTACATTTCGCCTTGCTAATGCATTTTACTGTATGTATACATTTTTATGATTTATTTGTCCAAGTATCTCTCTGCATCTTTACTAAAAGTTAATTTCATATTAAGAATTAATTATTTACAAAAGCAGCCCCCTAGTCACTTTAAGTAGAATAAAAATTAGCAGCATGCAGATCAACAACCAACTTTTATCAATTTATGAAGGAAACAATTACATAGATGTTTCCTACATAGATGTTAGCTAAGAGGATCAGTGGCAATGTGTGTGCACCGCTCGCTGTATTTTTTATTTGTATTAATGTTGCCTTGGCAACCGGCTACTGTACCGACATAGTTTTCCTTGACAATGTGCTGCAGTACTAACGTGTTGTTTGAGCTGGTGCATCAGTTTGTCCCGCTCCCTCTTGAGGGACAGCACCTCATCCTGGGTCTTCTTTTTATTGGACGCGGACAGTTCCAGCAAGGCAATGTTAGCATCTTTCTCACTGATGGCTGCCAGCAGAGCTTGTTGCCTTTAGAATGAAAACATTATGCATCAGAACTTACATAAACGAAATAGAAAGCCCATTAAGGAAATGGTATATTAGTTAGACATCCCGTTACACTTTTTAAACCCCCAAACTGTCTCAATTCAATGTAATGGCAAGCGTGTCCATGTTCATCCAGTTTGAGGAGTCAGGCGATGATCAATGAATGACAAGTCCAGTCACAAAGAAATCGGATTGCTTTGTACTCCTGGTAATGACGCAGTGAAATTAGCCTCCCTGACACATTTGTCACTTCTCTATATGAGATAGAGTGGTAAGACATTTATACACTTACTCTGCTCAGATAACTGTAATACTGCGCGAATGTCTGTCTCTTTATTGCAAAAAATAAATACAATAAGAAGTTACAGCCAGCAGCCGGGAAGCTTAGCTCAAGCTTCGCTTCTTTGCCAGAAACACACCTAGAGAGGTGAAATAACGGTCTGTCTTTGTGAGGGAGACATGAAATGATGACACTAACTTCATCTCCAGTATCTCCTCCAGCTGTTTCCTGCGCTCCTGTCTCATGTTGGTGAGGTGACCGTCCCTCTCCTGCAGCGACTGCTGTGTGGAGGAGAGACGCTGCTTGGTGGAATCCAGCTCCTGCCTCGTCCTCTCCAATGTGTTCATCAGCTCCTCCAACTGCAGTAGATGGGAATGCATGACAAATGCACCATCGAGACACATAGAAATGAGTTTAAACTAATGCAGTCTAACACAGTCTTAAAATAAATCCTACCTTTATAAAAGCTACAACTGAGTGTATTTATTCAAAAGTAAATCTGCACCTTTAAGTGGTGGCCACTCTCCATGGAACTGTCTTTACGCGGGTCTTGTCCTAATCCTTTCTTGTCCCCTTGTGGTCCCAGTTTGATGTTTGGACCCTTCTTTGTCAAGTCTTTGCCTCCTTGTCTGTAAAAAACACAAAAATATAGCATTTTCATGCCAATCATTTTTCTGAATTGCATTCTGTAGTTGCTGTAGCCTTTATCAACTAAGAAAAGCAAAACAGGCCGTCTAATGTTAAGTAGTATATACATTTCTGTGTAGGGTAAAAAAAGTAGATCCCAATAAATAAAAATAATATTCAAAATATAACAAACAAATGAAACAAGAACAGAGTAATGGAAAATCATGTCTGATGCATTTTGAAGGAATTTTGTTTCAAAATGGTACCAATCATGAGATCACCAGGACAGCAAAAAGACATTGAGCAGCACAGATGAATTTATAGCTTGATGTTATATGACATGTCTGAGATTAATCCCAGGTTTAAACACCAAAGTGTCCAACCAGAGGATGATATGGGTAGAGGTGGAAGCACGATGGGGAGGGAGGGGCATTACTTACCTGGGAGCTAAACTGCAGGAGAGAGGAAGAGATAGAAGAGAGGGGGTGACGGGACAAGTGGAGGAGACATTCGAAGCAGCAAACGAGAGCACACAAAGGAAAAAGTAAAAAAAAGAGACATTAGAACCAGAACGTAAAAAATCAAACAAAAAAAAAAAAATTTAAAATGAATACAGAGGACCCCGAGGAGACCACAGCGTGTTTATTGTCAAACAACATGGGCGATCACAGAGGCACCTGTATCAGCCGCTGCTGTGGAGCCTGACACGGCAAACGCAGGATGCACCTTCCCTGAAAACATAGAACAATGTGCATCCGCTGCCGAGCCTGGGAGAGGCAGACATGCGTGCCGAGCGAAAGGAGGGGAAGCCAAGGAGGGGAAGCCAACTGTAGTTGGGCCAAGAAAAGGAGCTGATCATTTCTTTTAGTATCCGGTTGAGCAAGCTGCACACGGGGCAGGTTAGGAGGGAGAGCAGGATGCTGAAAGACCACTGGAAGAAACAGGGGCTGTCAGGGGATGTTACTGATAGGATAAGAGGGGGGTTGGGGTTGCAAAAGGGGGAGGGTAACAAAGGGAGAGGCGGGCAGATGGTTGGATGGAATGAGCAGGGGAAGTGTGCTCATGGCAGGAGGACGACTCTGCAACAGACAGGCATCACCGCAAAAATTGTATGTGTATGTCTGTAAGTGCTTTAGTTTACGTATGTGTGTTATATATATATTAACAAAGGCCACTGAGGGAGAGTTATCATATTAACCTTCATTTGTACAATTTTGATGTGGTGCTTTAATTTGGTGTAATGTGATTTGTCGTAATTCCCCTTTCTATCATCAGGGCAGACAAAGATGGCTTGTAAACGCTGGTTGCCACATGCGCCTTGAAAAAATAAACATGCAGCATGAACTCTCTCACAGAGTCTGATCTATAACCTCTCAAATCCCATTTCCCTGAGCAAACACATGCTACAGAAACACAAGCAAACAGTTGAATCATGTGTGCGAGTAAAGCAATACAGACAAAAAACAAACAAACATGGCGTGTCACTCGGAAACAGAGATATGACAATACTTCAGACAGCAGGCAGACCGAGGCACGCGGGTGAAACCAGATGCAGCAGTCGGAGACTGAGGTGCCAGGGCAGAGCACTCACTTTCCCAGGAAATCCCACACCATGCCCCCTATCTGCTGGGGGGCAGCGGAAACAGAAGGGAGCGGGTCAGGGGGAGCTCTGCCACCGGGACGAGGGATGGGACGAGGGGCAGAGGGAGGGGGGCTGGTTTCAGGGGGGCATAATGGGAAAGAGGCGGAGTTGCATAGGTGATGGAGAAGAGACGGCAACAACAACAAAAAAAGAATCAGATTTGAAAAAGTTGACAAATGATCAATGGCGGACGGGGAAGAGAGAGACGGGTGGGCATGAAACGGAAGGTGGACAGAGGTAAGGGACAGAAAAACGTGGGAAAGATGGCAAAAAAGGGACAAGAACACCCAATTAATCAAACACCACGAATAAATCAGCATGACAAATAAATGAAATGGCCCCTACCACTTGCTGGGGAGGAACACCATAACTGGTTTTGTGACAGGGACCAGGGGCTGTGATTGGCAGGCAAGTGTTGTCTGCATGCATTTTACCCGTCTTTGTCTCATTAGTCCAGGATAACGATGGTGCTCTCCCCCATCAACCAAACCAAAACCAAAAGCTGCATTCAGCAAAGAGACTCCGGACGCGACGGAGGGGCGGGCTGAGCTAGGCGCCGATTATTTGTGTGGTCACAGAGGGACTCCCAATATCACATCTAACGAAGCACCACGACTTAAACAAGGAGCCTCCTCGTGTATCTCAACATGCATCCAAGGAAAGGTGTATTTGTGTATTTCTGAGGGTATTACAAAAGCCAGGGACTGAATCCAGTGCAAGGCGCTGTGATCAAACAAACTCACAAACTCACACTTGTACATACCAGCAAGGAAATGACGTGGAGTCTTTTTGCTCTGGTAAAAAACACATTCTCCTTCCGAGTGCATCACCTGACACCGACACACACCTCCTCCCTAAATCCTTTCCCCATTACACGTGCGCCATCCTACTGCCCACTGCCCCCCATTGTCATCAACAACAACAACAACAGATAAACTAATGAGACTCATGAGCTCCAACAGAGACTTGTCTCTGTGTGTTGGATTCTCCGTTGGCCATAGAAGTAAGAGTTCAAGAATAACACATTAAGAGTAACGATATGGAAATCGTCATCTTGCAGGTGAAGATTTAAAGACGTCTATAATTACTTCACTAAGTCAAGTTCAGACCGTCAGATTTATTTACCTTTCCAACTCTGCAATCTTCTTATCCTTGTCATTCTTCTCAGTCTCAACCTCTCGCAGGATGTCCAGGAGTCTCTCCACCTCCGTCTGAGCCTTGTTGGATTCGTCCTTGTAGTAGCTCACATCCTTCTCCAGCAGCTTCACGCGGTCCACGTACTCTGGGTTCCCTCTAGGACCCGAGTGCTGCTCCACCTCGTGGGCCTTCTGCATCCACGTGCCAGGGAAAAACCCAAAGATACACTCAGTTAACGTTATAACATCCGCAAAAACATGCGGTACAGCACAGAATGTTTTACTGCAGAGAAGTACACATAGTACACTGCAGTCCATCACTGTCTTATATTAACAACTCCCTTTGCTCTCTCTCTGTCTGAATAAGTCAAATGTTGTGAACAAAGGGCGTTAATACTGCTGCTGGCTCATTAGCCTTAACAGAGCTATTATTTACCTCCATTTAACAGCCCTCTGAGACTCTCAGTCACTTTGCACACTTGGTCAGTGGGCAGACTGTGGGACTGTGTATCTGTGTGTTTGAGAATTCAGCCTGTTAACGATCCAAAAATAGTAAAAAAATCAGTTGCTGTGAAATGTTAAATCATGAGCCTGTCTTTTTGGTTGTCTGTCAAATGATGGGAGCTTTACCGCCTGATCAATATGGACTGTTTTCACCGTTGTTGCAGTTTGTAACTCTCCATGGAGAACAATACAGTGGTAGACATCACCCTTGAGACGATATGCAGCCACACATGTCAACACAGGTTGCAAAAGAGTTGTACAGAGCCAGAGAGCATCCAGCAAAACACTGCAGAGATCTCCAACCACGACGGATACCTCAGCTAACCGCACCACAGACACGAGAGAAAAGCGCGGCGACACCGACAGAGACAACATGCAACAAGATCGACTACGTCGTCATGCAAACCCAACGAAGCTGCACAGTCTTAGAGATTTTCAGTCAAAAGGATGGAGAAACAGAAGCAACAGGGACCAAATTAATCTGTCGGCTAACAGTAAGTCTCATATTTTAAGCATGAGGAGCAATGTTAGGATTTAGTTTGTGGGAGATTTTTCTCAATTATTCAAATAAAAAAGTACATTAAAATCATCAATTATAATAATAACATCAAGTTATTTCAGACCCACTTATTAATGTGGAAGTATGTTAAAATGGACCTATAAATTAGACTGTGGACATTGATGAATGAATGATGTTAAAGATGACATTTTAATGATTGTTTCAGATTTGTACTCCTCTTTTATTATTTTATTTTTCTAATTTGTTTCTATATTCATTCATCCTGTTTCTATAATATATTGTAATCTTATGTATAAAATTAAGGATAGTTGAGGCATAACCTGTTTTACTAGAAAAATACCAAATGTAAACATCAGATTAAAACTACATCCCTTGTAACTAAACTTCAATTTGACCTGAAAGGGAATTCTAAATAAACCTTTTGAAAAAGGCAAAATACGTACTCTGCAGAATGAGTATGTTGCACAGGACTCTGAGCTCAATATAGAAGTACAGTGAGATGGTCAACGTGCATCTTGGTGGCTCGGTGGGTGAAAGCAGAACCTATTCTTGAAGCTAACATGATCACCATACAGCATGTTTAAAATACGTCATCGTTGGTCCTCATGCTTTCAATATGTGCCTCAGAGAGCGCAAGAGAGGGACTTACAGGATTGTTCATGTGACTGAATAGCTGCTCAGCTTGCTACATTGCAAACGGAGGAGTTGAGGAAAGGAGGGTTAGGGCGGGAGAGTAAGTGTTAGGATTTAGTCTGAGCCAGAGGAGACAACAGCAGGATCAGACATGTTACAACACATGTATGACAGAGCAGTGACGTAGTCTCAGAACAGCACATGTTGTTACAGGTTAAGGGCAACACGTCACGGACAAATGCAGAGGATCACACACGGGGGTAGTCTGTGGATTATGGAGCAGTAGCAGGCTGGGGAGGGTATTTCATGGACCGCTCTGTTCCCTGCAGCGGCCCGTTATTCTAATTAACTGTTTTATATATATAAGGGAAATTTACGTTTTTGGATCAGTTTTTGTGTTATGTGACTCTGTCCTGTTAAATGCCTGTGCTCTCACAAAACTAAAGGGTAAAATTTAAGTTGGCAACAGAGAATAGGTCTACTACGATAAACTGCCATGGTATGATGTTTACAGATGAGCTCTATTGAACTGTTTGTTGAGTTTGGCCTAAATTACCACTGCAGATTTTCCCCTTTTCAACTGGTATCTTAGTCAAGTATTACAACGCACACATACCTTCTGCAACTGCGTCTCCAACTTACTACACTCCTCTTTTTTCTGCTCGATGGCAATCTCCAGTGACTTGAGCTTTGAATCCTTCTTGAGGCCAGAGGATGCGATCGATGAAGCGTGTTCCTTTAAATCGATAAGACTGGACTGAAGGTGGAAAGACAGTTAACACAGGTTCAAAGTAGGTCTAAGTAGGCCAAGCTGACACAGTATGTACAATCCTGCAGACAGAATATACTGTACAGCACAGCCGAGAAGAGAAACATATCAGGGCACAGCAAGACTACAATATGCAGCCATGTAGACACACAATTCTCTTTGCTCCATGCATACTTGCTGACCTCCTTCTCTGTTAATTCTATCTGCAGGCTGTTGACCTTCTCCTTCAGATCCTTGTTCTCCTTCTTGTACGAGTCCACTTCATCCAGGCGCTCTCTGTCTTCCCGCTCCCTTTGGTCCTTTAAGCGCTCTATGATCCTCTCCTAACGTGCACACGCGTGCAAACACATAATGAAGGGAGTTACACTTAAAAAACACTCTAAAGACACAATTCAGACTCAGACTGAGACGTAGACTCTTGGTGAACGTGAGCAATACTCTCAATATTCAGTATGAGCGTGCAATATTTTCATTTGCTTTCTTGCTGATAATTTGAGGAGAGTCAAAAATCAAAAAAGATACTCTCCTTAAAATCAAACCCAATTCCAGTCAGCAGGACGGACACCAACTTATGTGCACATCCACAACCTGGAACACCCATTGCATGCTACTACTAGAGCTAATGCTAACGTGCAGCGCTGTACCTTCTCTGACAGCGCCTCCTCCAGGGTGGCCAGGGCAGTGTCTGTGTTACTAGAGTCAGTCTGCAGAGACTTGACTCTGTCCTTCAGGTTACCCAGCTGCTTGTCTTTGTCCCGCAGTTGCTCCTGCAGGTTCTCAATCTGACACAGCAAGGAAGGGGAGGAGTGGGGAGGATGGTGGTGTTACAGGGGAGAGTAAATAAAAAAGCATTTCAGAGGTAAATGGCCTGATCTCAAAACCAGAAAAGGATTTTAATTTTTGTTTAAAAGCTCGACTCGAAAGCAGTTTCAAGAACTACATCAAAAACTGATAAGACTTCTTTAAGGAGAGTTTGAGAGGCAGAATAAAGAACAGAATATGAACCAAGCTGGCACATGGGATCGAGTAAGAATTGTGAATTAGGATGTTAGACATTGTGATGTTTACTGATCTGACATTTCGTATTATATGATTGTAGAGAAAGATGGACGAGGAGGAAGAGGTGTGATAGAAGAAGAGAGGAGGGAAAAGTAAGCAAAGGGAATGGGTGAGCAGCTAAGGATGAGAGTAACACTATGAGGGTATTTATAGCACACACATACAAGAGTCAGTGAGGCAGAAATATCTCCTAGCTTGTCTTTCTATGGACGCGTCCCCCCTGAGAGAAACGGATACTCTAAATGGAGAGAGAACGCACTGCTCTGTGTTTTCACTGAGTGGCTCGTTTAGTCGAGAGTCGAACCCAACAACTCGTTACGCTCATCATTCATTTCAAACTACATCTAGAGTATAAACAATATAACTATAATGTGGTAAGGAAATGGTTTGGAGAAGTATTTTAATATATTTTCCTCGGTCTGCATTCTCACTCACAAAATAAAAAGGCTTTCTTTGACTCTGATTATCACCTTCTTCTGCAGGACATTGATCTTTCTTTCTTTGACCTCCAGCATGTCCTTCATGTCCCTGATTTCTCCGGCAAGAGTGCCCTTCTCCTCCGTCAGGTCCTGCAGCTGCTTGGTTTTCTTGTTCAGGAAGGACTCTTTCTCCTCCAGACGCAGACGTAGAGCATCAACCTGATGTAAGTCACAGCCAAGAACACTGTAGTGAGTCCTCCACCTAAGACATTCTTACTTGACTAACACTGTGTTATACCTGCAATGCGTGTTGACTTAATTGATGAGTTGATTTAGTCAGCAGAGTAAAACTCAGTTCATCCACAAAGAATCACACAATGACACTAAAAATCTTCCAACAAGCAATCTGATCAAAAGCAAAAATGAGTCTGACGGCATGAAAAAAGAAAAGACTGAAGAAACCGGGGTTATCTAAGACCAACTCAACCAATTACTCCCCTAATAGAATAAAAAGAGCCAGTCCAAGCAGTGAACCTGCTTCCATTAAACAATTATTAACAATTAAACTTACATTACGCATTAAACATGTAATTGCGAAGCAACATGAGTGATGAGCAGGTATTCATTAGTGTGGTGATGATCTTCAGTTTGGACATTACAGTTACCATAATACGGTGTAGTTGTTTGATATATTGTGTGTATTGTATGTCCTGGAACAGTTTACTGCGCATTACGTTTCTTTGGTGGTGCCACAGTAAGTAAATACATTGCTGATATGATATGCTGTAATAAGCCGCAGGACGAGCCTATTATTTGCTCAGATTTGCTTTGAGTATGAAAATGATTTTGTGGGGCATTGCATTGTTTATGGTTTATTTACTGCTTGACAACCAACAAATGCATGTTTTTGACCATTACCTCTGTTTGCAGGATGGCAGCACGTTGCTCCTTGGCAGTGAGAGACTCTTTCAGCACCTCGATATGCTGTTTGCAGTCTGAGTTCTGGTTGTTGAGGGTCTCTAGTTTTGTCTGCAGAGCCAGCAGTTCAGACTCCTTCTTTGACAACTCCTGCTTCAGCTGGTCAATCTACAGACATGTTAGACAACCATTTACATGAGCATTGTTATACCATCACATGTGCGCGCGTGTTCGACAACATGGGGGGAAACAACTACAGCTACACAGTATGACTATTTTCATCAACGCACTTCACCATTAAATATGCATTTAGGACTGACTCTCCTGCATTCTTCATGTATTATACATCATCTCTATTCATCATTGATGAAAAGGAGTAAAGAACTGTGGCAGGTCTACACGCGGTCGGCTAACGAGAGGAGCGGCATGTAAACACGCATTCAAAGCTTTGCAGAGACAGACGAGCCTCGGAGAGCTCCGCCGCGTGTTCACAGTGTAGCTCTAACTAACAAAGTCATCATGTACAAAAGCAGGTGAAGTCCATTCAATAAAAGCTAATCCATCATTTACTAGGCGTTCACTCTTCAAACGTAATGTAAGTCACAATTGTATGTGGGCACAATAAAGTAACCATCTTTTATACGTATGTAAGGAAGAAATTACAAGTATTTCAGCAATTTTATTGTGATTTAGCCTTTTTGTGTATTCTGCCATTGAACTAAAAAAAAAAAAAAAACATTGGCAAAGAAGCCTCACTCAGATAGTTGCCAACAGGGCACTTTGCTGATGACACTAAATGCTGAAGCAGAGACAGACTCATCAGCTTAATTTAGCATTCTCATATATCTGCACAGCTCTCTCTCTCTGTGTCCCGAACGACTCAATCGTGTTAGTTCTTCAACAAGATCTGCATTTCATGCACAGCCGGACGGTATTTACCTTGGTCTTCATGAACTTCGAGTGGTTCTTGTAGACCTCCATCTGCTTGATCTCCTCTTCTCTGTCTTCTGTGTTCAGTAAGCCGTTTGCCTTCAGCATTTGAATCTCATCCTCCAGATCTCGAATGTTGCGCTCCAGAGAGGCAATTTTGGTGTCCTGCACACAAACATGCAGAGGAGACACACCTCAAAAAGCAGACTGGCATGTCTTTTTTTCAGTTTTATGCAAGAGCAAGTAAAACTGAGTCCAGAAATGACAGAAAGAAACTGACAAAAAAAAGAGGAAAAGAGGAAAAAGAGGAAATGAGAACAAGAGAGCAACTGCAGTATCTGACATCAAAAGCTTTCTACCCAGCTCCTTGCAGCCGCACAAATGAGTAATCACCATTGAGAAATATTGAGCAGACATCCGGCAATGAGAGATCAGCCTGGACTGGAGAGAAACGTGCCAGGGGAGAGGAAGAAAAGTAGCCCGAGTTGCTTGCAGATGAATGCAGAATCCAGGATCCGGACTGTCTGCGACTGTGAGTGCAGCTTTAGCTTCACGGCTTTTTAAATAAATAATACAACGTCTTTACGATTAGCCATGGTCCATCTCCCTCGCCAGCAGAGCTCAGAGCAACCTTGTTTCTTTTCCCTCTTTTTGTGTCTCTCCTTCGTTCATCCCGGTGGTTATTAACTTTTGAACTTGTGGCTGTTAGCGGGGTCAGTCGCGGGAAATGTACCGTAATGAGGAGCGATGGACTCTCGCGAAGGATCTGAGGGGTTAATGCATGAACACCGCACATGTACATCCACTTCTCGCTACCGCTGCATCTCACCTCAGTCTCTCTCTTACGAGACAAACATCAATGAACATTGCGTCAATAGATAGACACCGTACCTTCAAAGGAGGGAGATTTTATTCCATCCACATGTAATCACTGGTACATCGACCTGGTCAGTGAATCTTGCTCTTTATCTCTCTCTCCCTGCCACTGTGTATCTCTGTTCCCATCCATCTCCCTGCATACTGGCCTCTCGCTGTCATAAACAACCACACCTGTTTCCATGGTAGCAGCAGGCAGGCTATATACCGTGCACTGTCTCTGGTGAGTGAGGAGGAGAGAGAGGGAGGGATGAAGGGGAGACGGGCAGGGAGGATTTTTCGTGCTTTAGCTTCAGCCCCAACACAGCAGTGGGAGTGAGAAGAGGGGAGATGTGCGGGGGTCTTCCTGCACATCTAAGGTGCGGTGTCTATCTACAGGAGGAGAAGGAGGAGGAGGCGGGTCTTCCCTCGCTCTGAATGCAAATCAACAGAGTCCCAGAACAGAGATGTCACATGACCGCGTTGGGTGAAGGCTGAGGCCTGCACAGTGCCGATCCAGCCAAGTGAGCGGGGCTGTGTAAGCTCAGCAATGATGTCATGATTTATTTTGAGGAAGTGATGTCAGGCCTCTGCAGTGAGGCTGGTGGAGTCTACAGCAGTACGACACGAGTACAGCTCAACCACATAACAAGTGTTTATAAAATCCCATTTGCATGTCACGTATTTGCATATTACAGAATCATCAGTTTGAAATAATGCAACATGAAAGTCAAACGGTATATGCCTGAGCTTAAATCACATTGGATGTTGATGGGTGGGGTCTCGAAAATTGCAGCCTATCTTTAAATATTTTCAATGTAACATGAGACGTCCCTTAAGTTTCCCCTGAAGCTTTAAAGCCACGTCAAACATTACATACATATTCTTTCTCTCCTTGTTCCACTATTTAAAGTGAATTATTCAAATCTAGGATGCCCTTTTAATACCTTCAACAATGCTAGTCTGCAAAAGATATAGCTGAATTTATAGACCTGTAGTCTTAGTTGTTCACATTAAATATGCCATTAACTGTCATAAAACAAGTGTGATGCAGCTCGGCACGGCTGGCTGCTGCACCTCTTCAGCAACGGCAGCTGTAATGTTGAACAGTAATATTGATTGTTGATGTTTGCGCAACTGCCCAGTGAGCACATACACAGTGTGTCCGGTTGCATGTGAGAGAGAGATAGAGAGACGTGTGCCGACTATTGACTCAGCTGCTGATAACCATACAACAACAATAGATTGTGTAGAACACCATATGTGTTTAGACATGCCGCAGTTTATACAACACAACGCCATATAAAAGAAACATCTGTCTTATAACATCTGGCGTTAGATAGGCCATTCATAGCTAGCTGGTTGGTTTGTATACAGCCCTTGTTAGTGGAACATTCATTCAGTTGGTTAAAACGACAAATGTATTAATTACCCTGGTGTTATTTTGAGGATATTTAAAGTGTATTTTTCTAATGGTGACCACTGCTGTGGTTACACTCAGCTGTATATTATGAGTCAGGGTCTTACTTTCATCTCGATGATGGTCTGCAGGGCCTTGGTTTTGCTTGGGTCCTGATGCAGCTGATTTCTTCTGTGTAGTTCCTTTTAGAAAAAAACAACTTCTTGAGGCAGCAAACAGCAGAATACATGGTTACCTCTACCAAAAGCTAGATAGCATGACTAAAATAGTAAAAACACAAATTCAAACCCCATAAGATGCATTTCAATTTTGTAAAAGTGTTCAATGAAGCTAATTTGCGCTGAAGTTTTCCCTTCCTCCATTATATAATTGACATCCTACAATGTGAGCTGTACTATAGAGCCTGTTTATTATGGGAGAATTGTCACTGCCCTCTAGTGACAACAAACAAAAATAACTCTCCATTTTTATCCTCACACAGTGAATCCACTTAATCTAATTGATATCAACACTCCCCTGGTCATAGATTACCTCTCGAAGATGTAAGTTCTCTTTGTCCTTTTGATCCAGAATAACCTCCAGGTGTCCGAGCTGGGCCTCCGCCTCAGCGATACGCCTCGCTCTCTCCTGCTCCTCCTCCTCGGACACCCTTCCCGACCCCGATGGCAGCCCTTTGCTCTGCAGCATCTCCAGCAGCTTCTTAATGGACTCGTCCCTGGCTCCGAGTGTCTGTTTCTGGGTCTCGATCCTAAGCTCCATCTCCTCCAGTGTCTTCCTCAGCAGGAAGAGCTCCTTGGCCTGCCTGTCGTGTTCGGCCTGCAGCCGACGGAAGTTCTCCTCCGTCAGCTCGATGGTGGTGTAGTGGTCCGAAGCGGAGCGGTTGCCGCCCTCCTGCTGCAGCAGGTGGTTCAGGTCTCGTTGTGTGCGCAGCTCGTCCTGAAGGGCCTGGATGGTCATCTGGAGATGCTGGAAGAAAGACTCTGCGATTACTGACGATCATTTCAGGAATCAACACAAAAGTTTTTCATGACAACACACAGAGATGCACGCGAGGGTCGACGCATATTAACACATTTCTAAAATGGCTGTGCACAAAGTTCTGTTGAAAAGTCAAACAGGAGGAACTTACCAATTGTCACGAGCAAATAGACTGAAGAGAATTAATATGGTCAAAACTGCTGGCAATAGTGCTTATTTCATGTTTGTATGTTTTTTCATTCAGGAACAAGAATCACATTTGAGTCCCAGTACGACTCAAAGATGTCAAACCAATTCATCCGTGGGTAGATTGCTCTGCTTTAGAGGGAATGAACGAGGTTGTTAACGTGACTATCACAGCTGAAGACCTCGCTGAAGCCTCCCTGCAGTGCAGCAGAGATCTTTGCTCTCTGACAGACAGCTTGAGACGCCCTGCGATTAAAATGTCAGAGGTGGCATCTGGTTGCAATAAAAAGGGGCTATCCGAGCGGCATTTAGGCAGATACGGGATGCCGATGGAGCTTTTATTGAGCCATTAGCGTTGATTGAAATGGATTCAAACATTTTAGATGCCTAATTGATTGCGAGTGTGCAGGATGAATATTTCAAAAACACACACTCTTTCTGTCACAGATTGACTCCACAGAGCTCAATCTATGTTTAGAAAATTGCCCAATCAGGATTTAGAGGAGAGGAAGCAGATCGTTAAACCCACTTGAAGTCTGAGGTTAAGGGTTTGTGGTACTGCAGGGGGAAGGAGCACCGGACACACTCGGATTCGGATCATTCTTGGAAGTTTCATAGGGCAACATACGAGGGTTCAAGAGGAGTTTGCTTCCTTTACAGAGGTTCACAGGAGAGGAGGTTGTAATTGCGCAAAGGGATTGAAGGTAAAAATACACGCCACACTGAAGGTGACTCTATGTTGTGCACGCAACACGTGGTGCAAACATAGGGACAAACCTTGGTTCTCCTGGCATCCAGCATCTGCAGAGCATGGGCAGAATGAGCAGAAAAACAAATGTATGGTAAAAACAGAGCTTTAGAGCACGATGCAACAGAAACGGATGATCAACACAAACCAGCCAGAGATTTGTAAATGACGGACACACATCACATCCGTCTGTCCAGCCCATCTCGGTATGAGCCTTCAGCCCTGGGTTAGAGCATCATATTGACAATGTAACTACAGGAAAGATAGTTCTTGTTGGGAATACCTTTTTGGAAAATAATGAAGATTAAGTTGTGATATCGATATTCAATATTGATTACTTGGTTTGATACGTTTTTCTTGTTTTTCTCGTAAATAATCACATTTATTTTTCTTTGGGCTTTTAATGACTTGCTCAAACTCCTATGTTGTTTTAGTACACGTATCTTTTGATGCTGGTCTGACAAAACAAGACATTTCAAAATGAGTTGCAGCTCTGATGCTGATGGTGACATCTTCAGATAGAACTGCAGTACACTCATTTTGAACATAACTAGAGGACAAATACCAAAGTATTTGTCCGTCGCTCTAACACGTCACACTTCCTCAGTACAGACCAGACGGAGAGCAGCCTCAGTCCTTCATCCATTCACCGCAGACTGTGCAGGACGCTGTAAGCATCGCTCTTTAAACCGTCGGGGGCGGTGTTTGTATTGAGAGATCAAGAAGCTGATGATTTTTTCTGCTGACTGCAGGAACGCTGCCATCATCGCCAACAGCTTTGGTCGCACTAGTAGACAGTCAGAGCCATTTGGTCTGGCAACAGAAACCACTCAATACGTCTTAACTTGTCAATATCCCACTGAGTGTAATCTCGTTCATTTACCCTTTATCAGTCCCACTGTCACCACTCAAAAAAAGAAATATTCTTAACAATAAAGAACAGATCTGTACACTGTAAAACCTTCCTTTTCCCCTTTAACTACTTGTTCAATACAACAGTTATCTTCTTCATACATGTAGTCCTTATGATGAAATAAAGAAAGTGTAAAACAAATAGTATTTGGGCCCTGCAAATATCGGTGTGCTGCCACCGTATTCATACTAAATCCGTTTTAATATTAATGCACTTAAAAGAACTGTCTTCCTCACCAGTTCCCCCCTCTGTCATGATCAATAAACTGCTGGAAACAGTTCCTGTGAGTCAGTCATGATTCAGCGGATATTGACGTGGTTGTCGCCCTGCCTCAAGAAAAGGCTTTTCTTTTGCAGCGTTACCTGAAAAAGAGCGTGGAGAGCTTTCCCCCGAGTCAAGATGTTCAGCTACAGTGCTCCCCTTTATAAGTGACACCTGGGGCAGCCGGGGGTAACTGCTTGTCACGAATCCTTGTGTGCAGAAAGACAAAATCCGTCCTAGAGCTGCAGTAGACAAGAAATTCGGTTCTTATATTCTCCCCACAAAACGTCTGTCAGAGATTGAAAAGCTAAACTAACTACGGCTAATTACACATGGCAAAGTATGCTCTTGTGCTTTATAATGTCTGTACAATGCTGAAATAACATGACTAAAAGTCTCCAAATACGTTGGCTGTGTTCACAATAATAGTTTAGCAAGTAACTTTACTAACATTTTCTTATTAGCAACCGACATTTGGTTTAAAACCATTGAGGTCGTGCTAGAAGGAAAATCTGCAGATCCCCATAGTCACCAGGTTTCATCCTCTGGGGACTATGCATATCTAGACCGACTGTGCTGGCAATGCATCCAGTGATTGCTGAGGTGTTTTAGTCTGGACCAAAGTGGTGGGCATGTAACACAGGCTACTCTGATACGTGGGCTGGCGACATTCACGTCTTTTGCCAGGCGGCACAGCCAGGAGCAGCTGTATGTGGCGCATGTAACCTGCATATATGTGTGTGTTAGGAGAGAGTGGGAGCTTGTATCTGACAGGTGGACGGCTCCAAGGCGCTGAGTCAGAGCAAACTACTGCTCACTGCATCCCCCATCTCAGTGTTGTACGTCGTGATGTCTGACAGATATAGAATTACACCCACAGACATGACAGCGGACGTGGCATTTATTCCTCTCCGCTGTGGTAAAAGACGTCCCTCCAAACGTCCCTTTGAATGCACACTGAAGGAGCACTGGAACATATTTTTTTCGGTATTCAACTGATGGTAGTTGAACTGCATTGTGGGTAACAAAGGCTGCAATATTCTAATAAGAAGAGCGGCGTGTAAGCGTCCCACACAGTACAACTTGTATTTTTCCCCAAAGCTCGCAAAGGAAGTTTTGGAAACCAAACATAACAACACTTTGACTGAAAAAAACATTTACAGCACTTACTGCTATGAATCTAAAATCTAGAATCTATTGATAAATGATGAAAACAGACCCTCTGTGTATTTATTTCTGACAATCAGAAGTGGTTGCAACCTATGTGTCATCAGCTGTCCGAGGACAATAAAGGCTGCACACACACACACACACACACACACACCACAACCTCCTCATCTGTCCTAAGAATCACAACTATGGGACTTAATACTATTTATTTTATATTTCCCTTCGCACTAATGCTAAACACAAAGTGGTAAAGTGTATAATTTCACAACATCTTTGCATAAGAATCAGTCAGCCAGCCTACCGGAGCAGGCAATCAATAAACCATTCAAATAGACATAATGGCTGTCGACTAACTAACATCAACATCTTTAAAAAAGTGTGAATTTAAAATAATATTTTGGGTAAACGCCCTCTGGTTTAAGCATCTCATTTGTCCTATTTAGGTTCATAAAAGCACATTATTGTGTTTAAGGTGAAACAGTTGAGTCACTCAAAGCTCTGAGCCATGCTGAGTTGCGACATACTGTACATTTATGTGGAATTTTATGCTGCTACTAAACATCCTAAGACTTGAGTTCAACAAGTCAGGACATTTCCCAAAATAACAATCCCATTGCTCATCGCGTTCAGGTGACGGTTGCAAGCCCGTCTGCCACCAACGGAAGGTATTAACTCAACGCACTGTGTGGGCGGCACACCTGCTGCATCGCCACACATGTGAATCAGAGGTGCAAACAACTAATTACCCCATTACCGCTCCCACAAAACCCCACAGACTGGAGCTGATGACTAAACCTCGGCACACATATTCACGGCTGTGTCGACTACGAATAAAAGAAGCCTCTAACACACACACACAAATAGTGTGTGAACATGCACATATCTTCGCAATGTGCTCAAAATCCCTAAAATCCAACCTCCCACTTCAGTGAGACACAACAGCTCCTCGTTGATCACGTTTTCTTGCGAACCAATATCTGCTCACAGTAAGGATTCATCATTTTTTTTTAAATATGTCATGTTTGACTCTGAGGCGAGGTATTCATACACGGACAGAGCAGTTGGGAATCTGGGAAGCTCAGCCTCCATTTTGAGGATTGGGTGGATGCAGGCTGACTGCGTGGCTGAGCATCAGTGGTCATGACTCAGTCAGATATGGTCCGCTCGAGCTCACACACTCGCCTCCAGCAGCTCTTGTCCAGCTTCGGCACGACAGAACATTCTGCTGCATTCAAGTCCTGTGGATCAGCGACATGAAGCAGCCTGGTCCCTACGTTTGCATTGGACCTAAAAAATGTGCCTCGCAAAAACTAATCACCGCCGCTAATCACGAACGTCGACTGTTTCCATCCAAGCTCTGCAGGCTACGGCTGGTATTTCCCTCACAACAAACGAGAGACAAACTAACGCATGAATGGTTATCCATGTTTCCTACGGTATGTTTAAAAGAAGCACGCACTCACAGATTTGATATTTCGCAAAGTAAACAAAGCGTGGTGTTTGATCAAACTAATAGAAGCCTTAGGCACCCGATGCAATCCGAATGTGTGAAGGGTGCCTTAAGACAGATGTATTTATTATTATAAAATTAGGCAATTTGCGCCTTAGTCCGCCGCTCAAACGATCCCACAGTTACAAACACACAGTTGCGTAAGAACGCGCCACAGCCCCCGAGATCAAGATAGAAAAGACTAATTAAAATAACAAGGCACATCTGCCATTTTATTGGCCCACATACTGCACTTCATTCTAGAAGCCAAGGAGGGACATAAATATCCTACAGAGAGTCATAGCAAACACTGATGGACAAGGCTGAAGATATAAAAAGTCCTCTCTTTGTATCGAGCACAAAGGCATGAAAGCGCACACTGTACAGCTTCTACAACCTTCAGCTGCTACAGTGCACGAGGCAAAAATAAAAATGTGTACGAGGATTCACGTCGGGGGATTGAAATAACACTGCACAAAAGGGACTCAATTAAACAAGTAAAGGCTTGGGCCCTCCCTGTCCCAACACATTCCCGGGAATCATAACGACATGAAAAGTAAGAGCGGCTCTCCTCTAGGGATCACCGGCAGCACCGCCATCCTCCCCTTTAGCCACACGGCGCTGCTACAGGGATGAGTGTGCAAGCTTTAACCTCCACACAAATCAGGTAAGTTACAAACAATTCGAGGAGGGAGCGTTCATGTACACTGGGATAGAGGCAGACGTCCGCGACGACAGATGGGTCTCTGTTGACGGTCACACTGAGGGGAACCTGCTGCGACCTTGAAGGGGCGAAGAGATGGTGTTGAAATGATGAGCTGCTCAGTGTCTGATGGCATCGCCCAGACAGACAGACCGGCACGAACGCCACAAGCTACCTAACTGCGTGCAGCAGTTTTTCCTTGAAGCAGCGATATTAAACTGAAGACATTAGTGTACTTGAATGAAGGGCAGATTAAGAGAGACAGACGGAGGGAGGACCAAAGTCAGTGGGAGAAAGACGGGAGGAGAGAGAGGTGAAGTGTTTTAAAGCACTCGACATGTGTCTCTTTGCCTTGTGCGTGCTCTCGTCAGTTACTGATTTAACTGGGCCATGAACACACTCCCACACAAGTAAAACATCTTTTGACACAATCTCAGGCCGATCTGATGGAAACCTTTTCAAAACAAACAATTCACTCGTTGGCAGCGTCGCTGTTTATCATTAAACAACAAAGAGCAGGTTTTCAGTATTGCTTGTAAGAGGATTTCATACCAGGCACGATGCTCAGCCTGTTAACGTGTGTTTCCCAAACTTTTTTTGTATTTGCCTCGAGTGTGTCTCTCGCCATTAATTCTGTACTGGTAAACTACTATGCGAGGAGACTGCATGTTAAATATATATGTGCACAAAAAAGTCTTTCCAGAAAGATTTCAATATGCACCGAAAACATCTATGACTGCGTTCATTCCATTGACCTCCCGGTCTGATGAGGCGGGTCTATGGCAGAGGAGAAAATGGTGAAAGCAGCGACACACAGATGCAAAGAAGACGATCGAACGACAGCAGCGTAACAGACAAAAATTCACCCCATAAATGAATGTATTATGACGGCGGGGAGAGCTGGTCTCACCTGGTTCTCCTCATGGGTGACTCTCATCTGCTCTTTCAGGATGGACGTGCGAGTCGCCTCTTCTTTCCTCATGATCCTCTCCTTCTTCAGCTCAGGACTCCAGAAGCTTTTGATGCTGTTTGTGGAAGATCCCAACTTACTGTCCTTGAGGTCGAGCTCCCGGCGCAGCAGATCATTCTCCCGCTGCATGTCCCTGAGCTGGACCTGCATCTCCAGCAGCTCCCCGCCGCTGCTCCGCACCGCCTGCCTCAGGAGTGCAGAGGGCACCCCCTGGTGGTGGTGGTGGTGGTGCAGCATGGAGAGGGAGCCCAGGTCACTGTAGGACAGAAGGTCACCGTGGGGCAGTCCCACGGAAGCGATGTTCGGGCTGCTGCCCATGGCCGTGACGCGGCCCCCGTACATGGCCCGGCTGGTGGCGCGACCCAGAGTCATGGTGCCTTTCGGGTAGGTGGCAGTGGAGCCCACGCCCTCGTGGTCGCTGAGATACATGGGGCCCGAAGTGGCATAGGCAGCGTTGAGCGACTGGATGTTCTCCATGGAGAGCGTCTTCCCCCCCCCGCCACCCCCGCCCCCGCTGTTGGCCCTCCGATGGCCCAGTCTGGGGGACCGTGGCAGGCGCGGGGAGCGTGCGGGGCTGCTCTCTACGTGGCCTACAGCTCTGGCACTGCCGTACATGTCCTGTGAATCGGCGGTGCAGCCACCAGTGGGTCCTTAGCGGAGACGGTTCTGACCCTCTGTGCTGCACATGGAGGACTTATCTCTTTCGTCAATGGGTGGAACACATCGAAATCTGATCTGCGGAAACAAGAACGAAGCACCTGTTAGATGACACACCTGTTTGTGTGTCGGGCAAAAGAGCAAAAATAGATCCATGTACTTTGTACACTGCTGAGGAAACAAAACTTTGAACTCAAAGCGGCAAATAGACTAATTTTATGTGATTTCTTTTTCAAATGGGCCACAGGAACGTTTTCATCGTGGATTTCCCACCCACCGACAATTATTATTTTTCCAACTAACAGTTCTAATTCAGTTGGGAAAGACCACATAATACATTAGCTAAATAATGAACATACTAAGACCCAGGGTGCAGTATTATATTTGCTCTCATACATGATGGCCAATTGTTGAGTAAATAATGATACCATTGAAGGAATGACAAAATGCATGAGATGTTATTTCTCTTTTTACAGTTAATTCCATTTCAAAACTATCTAGTGGTAATAAAAACTGAAGTGAAACCATAAATCAGATCAGAATTGCACCAAAATGCAACTGCTGCGCTATAAGAGCACCTGGATACACCAACATGTACCACTGTGTTGCACCCAACAAGAGAGCCCCTATAATGTCCCCAACTCAATGCAAGAAAAATCTATTATAAAAGACAACTAACTTGATCGGGCATACGACATAAAGTAATGCTCTGAAAGCATTGCAAGGCCAGCACATAAAACATTCTAATTAAAGGGGGCGAGGGACTTACACTGATTTTCATAGCCAACAATGTAATAATATACAGACCTCCTAGTCACAACCTTAATTAAAACAACATAATTTTAAATATTTCCAGAGCCTGCTGGTTAATGAGGAGAAAGAGATATGGGAGGTTTCATTTTTAATGTTTTAATAATGGTTATGCCATTTCATGCCACCTCAAGCTTCAATACAGCACAAAGATACACCACAGTCTATAATATGTTAAAGCTTGAGAAGACACAATATGACAGTGTCATTATTAGATAATTGTAGATTTCTTTTAAAGTAAAATACAGAGAAGCAGTTTAACAAATGCTCAAGACAAAGACGCTGACTGAGATGTATAATATCAAAGGCTATTTAGTGATGAGAAAGTGACGATGTGTGGGACCAACAATTTGACTCTTTCATCAAAGTAAACTACAATACTGTCTCCCCTGTGGTGACACTTGCTGCTGAGACTCCGTTGCCATGGCGACTATGCCTGGGCTAACCGACATAAAGCACCCGAGTCATCTGACATAACGGCACAATAAGTTTCCCAAAAATTGTGGCCAAATGTAGATGCGTGTGTCTTGCATAAGTGCCAATGTGACATATCAGCCTGTAGACTATATGGAAGCTGTTTTTAACTTCATGTATATTCTTGTCTTTTCCAAATGAGGGACAGACAAAATGTCAATTAATGGCACAGGGAACCATGTGTCTAAGGCTGTGTATACAAATCCAGCACTCACTGAAGCACCATCATGTGGAAAGATTTGTCCCGGGGGACTGTAGCCTGGACAGGACGCCGTCCTCTGTGTTAGTAATATTAGGTAAAAGGTGTCCGGGTGGAAGAGAACGTACTAATATTAAATGGCACAGCAAATCAACCAGAATTGTTTTTAAGTATTGGGTAGAGAATATAACCGTGTTGTATTTATAACCTAAAGAGTGTAAAACAACTGTTTTTTCCTGTTTAGTCCCTTTGAGAGACAAATTCAATTAAAATTTTAAATATTACAACAGCAAACAACATAGCTCTAATCTACAATAGTCAGCTCGCCACGTCAGGTCTGTGGAGTTTGATTGGTAAATGGAAAAAAACTTCCAGCACTGGAAGAACAGACAAAACAACATAAATATCTTATAACATTTGCTGTTAGAACTGTTAGTTTGGATGAATCGTCTAATTTTTTGGGCATGTTTGCAGCGTGAAGCAAACCATGGTTCAGTCACTATTTGTACAATAAATTCCCTTTGATGAAGCTTTTCTGTGTCCACATGTTCTAAACATTTTTAGAATTGATTCATGTAACCACTGTTGTTGTTGTTGTTGTTGTTCTGTACATATTTCTTAACGTGCAAACCATCTTGTTGAAGCTGACAGATGTGGTATTCAACATCAGCTCTGATTCCTGCACGCTGCTGCTTTTGAAATTGTGAAATACTAGAATACCGGCAGGAAAAGGCGAACGACCAAAGCGCAATAGGAGGGTATCAGGTTATGGAAGACACAGTGAAGACACTGGAGCACCACAGGGGATGCACGCTGAGAAGGCCCATTGTAATCCCCCACCGCATCCTCACCCAACAGTTAACTTTACAAAGGGTGTTTTAAACAAATAAAGATAAGATACTCATTATTCTCATTTTTAAAACGCAGAGCCATACATGCATTTCTGACCATGCACTGCTCAGGTGTTAGTGAGCCATTACGACAGGCCAGTTTAGGCCATATAGAAGAAGTGAGCGGTGGTGATATAGTTGTTGATTCCTGATTCCAGCAAGATTTCACCACAGGGGGTGCTGAGCCCGTGGGGTCATGAATATGTCTATGAAGAGGATCGTGACATTTTGAAAGCCAGCATGCAGACATTTTGAGAACAAATGTGAATGAGAAGAATCAAACCAGGGTTCTGTAATGGTGGGAACGTGAACGTTTCAGGGCCAGTCTAGTGCACGTGCCTTTCTACAGTGGATAACCTTTACGAAATAAAGAAAACGTCCAGTGCAAAGAAGTGACGCCCGTCCAGTGAGGGTGCAGCACCACTTGAGCTAGTGCAACACATGCAGCCCCCTCACCATGTATTCTACTATTCTACTACAACCCCCACTCCATGAGACTTGGTTCAATGGATGTGGCCTACGTGTGTGCAACTTCCAATGGCCTGTTCAACCCGGGCGGTAAAACGCAAACGTGCAACGATGGTCTTTGCACCGCAAATGGCTCGTGAGTGCAATTAGAGGCTCGGAGAACATGACACGTCTTCTTGGCAAAGCACGGCTTTCTGCTCTTCATTTGAATCATAATGCTCATTTCACCGTCTACCGACTGATGAAAAGGCTATTTAGTGCAGCACGGGAAGCGCGGTCGTACATTTGACATCCTATCGGGCCTACATTGGTGTGCTGTGCGTCGAGCACCTGACCGCACGGATGCAATACTGGTTAAACCTGCCGGGGAGAAGCCGAATGAAACCTTTATTTTGAAAACACAAGGCTCAATTGTGTAGAGACGGCTTTAGTGTTAGATATCAAGTGAGATCAGTCTGGCTGTGTCCATGCAACGACCACCTGATTTAAAAAAAAAAAATTTAATACACACAGCTTATGCTCTCTTTCGGCTAAATCGCTCACTCAACGCTAAAAAAATATATTTTTTAAAACCCTAAAAGGATCGGCGCGTCATTTGCTTCTATAATAAAACGCGGATAGAGTGGGCATAAAATAGAAAGAAGCAAATGTACCTTGGTCGATGTTAATAATTCCACTCCCTCGCCGCTTTGGACGGCATATTGTCGCCTCCATTCAGTCGGGCAGCCTCGCGCAGCATCCTGCGCTGTCATTGGGCGGCGGACACGCGCGCGCCCCCTCTCTCTCTCTCTCTCTCTCTCTCTCTCTCCCCCCCGCACGCACCAGGGAGCCGCATCACAGGACCCGACGGAGGCAGCTGGCACGATGCGATGGGCGGCTCGGATGCGGTGAGCCGCCTGCGCGTAATTCTGCATCATCGAGGTGTTGAACGGTGATCTTTGACCGCGTGATGCGTTTTTTTAGTTTTTTAGTCTGTTTTCTGTCTGCTTGCTTTCAGGTGTACGGAAGCACTGATTTGGTATTTTCGGGTACAGAGGCTGAATCAACTGTGGCTTGGATGAGTAGTCAGACCCATTTCAAATAAAAGATGTTACGTCATTATAATGACAAATTATCTCGAAAACCATGTTAGCATTTCAAAATAAAGACAAACATTCAAAACATTGACTGAGTCAAAATATTTTATTTCAAAATGCTACATCAAAACATTTATTTAGAGGCATTAAACTCGTGATGTGTCTTTTCGTTAAATCTGTACCAGAATCGTTGGGGGTTTAAGGGTGTAAATGCCGGACTATTTATTGGCCCAGTTCTGTTACTTCCTGGAGTCTCGGTTGGTTGCTTGGCAACATCACTGGGATGACAAGGCTCCTGCTGGTAGTTGTATATTTAAAGTACAGACGTGGGATTGATATTCATTTTCTCAAGTCCACAAATAAGCGTTTTTTCCAAAATGTGCATTTATTTCATCTACTTTAACGTCAAAGCAAAACAGAATTTCGACAGGCAGTCCTGTTTTAAATGAAACGGTTGGAAGAATAAGCTGGCATATTATTGTGTCTTTTATAACATACTGAACCTGCAGAATTCGGAATGCCAACATCAAATGTGCCTGAAGGTTTCCACAGACACAATGAGCAGCCGACAGAGTAACGTCTGTCTGAACCAAACTCATGACATCACTTCTCCGAGAGGTGAATACGTCCTTCAGAAACGTTTGAACAACCAGACCTACAGGTTTTCAAAAGGATAATGTCCCTGTGGCTCTGGTCTTCCTCCTGCTTTTACCGGCCCTCTGGCCTTTTGCAAAACTACGGGGACTTTCTCCCATTTTGCAATGTAAACACTGACGCTAAGTGTGCTTGACAGGGGCCCAAAGGAGAGGCATCAGCATTTCTGTGTCCTGAACACAGACGCACAAAGACTCCCACGTTCTATCCCTCCCGTGCACACATGCAAGGTTATATCAACAGGAAATGAGGACAATGGTCGCAGAAAACCCTTTGTGCTCCCGTTTATTGAATATTACATTATACCTTAATTTCCATAACAAAAACCGAGGTATAGGCAGAATGACTGTCGGTGAGATTTACTTGTGTCAAGGCTTGCCTTCTTTTTCCTCTCACAACTTGACCTGCAGTATCTTCATATGTGCCAGAGCAGCCGGTCAATGGTGAGGTGCTGCCAGAAATGTCCATTTTCTCCCCCTCTCTATTTAGATTACATGTTAAGGGGGAAGGAAAGCCCATGCTCCTGAAAGAAGAATTCATACAGTTATCATAACAACCCCATCCTCTTGGTATCAACACCTTTACACAGGTTAGAATAGTTATGTGCACAATCTACAAAACCTCAGTAGCATAAAATAGATGGAAATCAAATAAAACTGCAATACAAGGCTCCCTTTTTTGTTTTAACTATAACTACAGGTCCTCCTCAGGCACACTGTGATATGCTTCATAATGCATGCGTGTGATCTTTTCCCTCACCCAAGGCACGAGACGCTGGTCTCTTTTGAAACATCACTTTAGTTTCAGCCATTGGCCTCAAATGGTTTATCAATGATAATAACACCTACTAACACACCTAATAACACTACTGTATGTGTGTTTTATACCGTTCATTAATGAAGAATTATATCAATTCCAATCCAACTGAAACAAAACTATTTTCTTGTTCAAAGTGCAGTCTAAGGCTTGTAAGTATCATCTTAGGTGTCAGGTTGATCACATCTTAATTGAGCTCACAAAGAAATCAGCGCATCTTATTTGTTTATTACATGAAATTGACGATTATTCATCTTTTTTTTTTCTTAATATGAGACAGCAAAATGTCCCAAAGGAAACCTTTTAAAAAGCATACATGCCTGGAAATGGACTGTTTCATTATTTAAGTGTTGAGTATTGATTTAGCAGTGCGTGGGACTGGCAGGAAGCACATGAACGAGGACGAGGAAAACTTGTCAGCCAGTCCTCCCATCAGCTTAAGTCTACAAAAAAAGGCTCAATTACGGTAATGTGTGAGCACACTTTGGCTGTTAATAATTTATTTGCAGAGTGAGTCACTCTCTGCTTCCACAGTTCTTCGACCTCTGTGTTGCCATTCCCATCACTTGAGATTGAGTCACACGATGTTCCTTTGAGGTCATTGCTGATGGAAATAACTTGTTCATCCTCAGAGGCCAATGCTCCAGTCATGGCTTTTGGGAAATGCAAAAATGCAACCACCCCAATTACAGTTTACTGACTAACAATTACGGCCTTGACAAGACGCCGTCTTGGTGAAGCGACCTATAACCGAGGACAACAATGACAAACCATTAATCAACCTGCTGTACAAGCCGCTGCCTCTGCAAAGGGAGGCGGGACAAAGCTGGGTCAGCCCGTAAGAACTCTCCTGCAAAAGACAAAATAGAAACAGAAAAAGGTCTATTGAGTAATGAGTGACCTACGACTATTTATGACACGGGTCGCTCAGCAGTTTTTCTGTCATTGTGAAGTTAAATACGGTCCATTAGAGGCACCTGAAGGAGTAAAAAGAGCCTTGACGGTATTCTGGAGAATTGGCTGCTGGGCCTGGACATTAAATTTACGCGTTTTGGACCATGTCTCAATCAGCTTTATTAAAAAATGTATGTATTCTATCGATCTATATATTTGGAAACGGTTAACAGAAGTCTTTGGCGCAGAAGTTATGGTTTTGCTCTGCTGGATCAATTACTCACTCAGTTACCATTTTGTCTCTCATAGTTTAACATGTGTAGATCTTTGGAATACAAACACATCTTCATCCCCAATATATGAAGCTCATGTCTTTGGCTGTGGAGATCTCTCAAGCTTAGTACAACCGATGACCTCAATGAGGAGCTAGTGACCCTTTTAAGCTGCAAAATGTAGTAAAAGTTCAGATAAAGTTTTTCACATCTTTTTTGAATACATAAACAATGCAATTACAATTGACGACTTCAAATTCAGGATTTGCATGAAAGAGATGGCACCTAAGTTCAGGGTCATCCTGATTTGCATAACATATTCTTACACTTGTTGTATTATTTAGAGGCATTGTCTCACTGCCATTTGAACAATATGCTGATACATATATTATTGAAGCCAAACAGCCTGAATATTACTTAGAAATATTTGCCAGAGCCACCAAACTAAACACAGAGCTCTTTCATAATGAAGCAAAGTCAAAGTGACTCCAACTGCAAAAGGTTTATTGGGAATTTCAGGTCTTATAAAGAACAGTTTAAAAAAAAGGCCAGTTTCTGACTTTTTTTGATAACTGTGACTACACTGCTACAGTATGAATAGTGACCTCAAAATGTCAAAGTACAAAGTACATATTTAAAAACACATGTTTGGCAAAGTGAATTTTAAAACATATTTTGTCCGGAATTTTGAACCAGATGAGGGCAGCCAAGATCTGCAGATGTGACGCTTTCACTGCTTTACTCTGAGGGAAAGGGGAGCTACAGAGTGGCTTGTGGCCACACGGGCTACACGTGTGAAGAGCAGCACTGTTCACACACAACATACCGTCACGAGTCTGCTGGTGACTTGATACCAAAGCTGCACTGCCGTGTCAGCGGTAACGGTTCTTCTCATAAAAGAGCGGTAATTTAATTTCTCTCTTATGAACTAATATATGCATCACTTTTGACATGATGAATATACAAATTTAGACATACAGCACACATAGAGAAATAGTATGTATACCTCAAACAAAACAATATTTCCTTCTATAGCCAGCTAGTCTCCTCTTAAAGAGTGCAAGGAAATAGGTCACACACACAGAGACTGAAGACAATAAACACAATATATTCCTTTTCTTTTTATTCTTCTCTCTGTTTGGAAATTGCAGGGTCAATATTTTCATTAATCACATTACTTGACATGATGCACCAAAATTTACTCTGTTTACAGGAATACACTGAATAGAACACAAGGTTTCACAATGGATACACGACTGACGTTTTTGCCCATTGCACTTACAACAGTGAATGACATTTTCCAGATTTTTTTATTTCATTTTTTTGCTTCCATTTACCCTCATCCCCTTGCAGATCATATCCATCAAATTGAAGACCTCCTGATCTGACAAAGGATTTCAGTTATGCAGTTGCTGAGGAGGTTCTTTCTTCTTGTTTTACAAGCACAATATGTATAGAAACTATACACAGACTGGGTATTTTTCTGAAGACGAGTTCTGTTCCACTGTTGTAAACAGTCAATACAAGTCAGCCACATACTTTATGCTTATGCAATAATAATCATCATCATCATTAGTTTCACCATCATTATTGTGGTAGTAAATATTCTTTTTATACACAAAAGTTGGCAGCAAATACGGCATGGGGATGCACATGACAGCCGTACTCAGAACTCAAAAGCTGTACAGAACAAAGAATTTGTATTTACATTTGTATGTAAGAAGTGTTTCTCTCTGCATCGAAGGCTTTTTTTGTCCCTTGCACTTCATCTTGACCAGACGCGTTTTCAACTTTGATATTGATCTCGCACTGTTTAGTTGCAGGTAGTGTTACGCAACCTCCGTATTTATGCGTCTCATCGGGCAGCAAGTGCTGCCTGTTAGGCCTGCGCTTTGAAAATGACATGCCCCGGCTGTAGATTTAGCTCATCAATATTCTCTACGTAGGCCTGTGAAAGTCAGGGTTTGTTAGGCAAACCTCGGTGAAATCATGCCTCAGCCTTTTTCTACTCAGGTGCAACTTCCAAGAATAAAAGATCTAATCATGCACCTCTCCAACGTCTTGGCCGCAGAGTGGCTTAATCAACAATGAAATATCCAATAGAAGCATTCCATTCAACCCACAGGTTATACTGACACCCAATATGTACACGAACAAGTATTAATGAGAAGTGCTGACCATCTGTATTACAGGTTCATAGCAGCACAGACAGTCACTGCAAGCCAAACACTGAGGAGCCCAGGTCAGCCAGAATGCACAAAAACTGAATGAAGGCTTGCAAACAGCCAGACAAAGCCAAGCGAACACATGCTTCAAAGCAACATGATGGTGGACATTCAAACCGACAGTCTACACAGTTCACCCTTTGGCAACAAGTCCCTGTGCGGGGAATGAGGGGTCAAAACATGCCACAGAAATAAAAACAACAGTTCAATATTCAAATTCGTACAGACAAGTTGCTAAGTAAAAACATTTTCATGACATTATTTTTTTTAACTACCTTAGTTTATATTTTTGTTGTTTTCTTGTGAACACAGTGATGAAAACAAACTGTTTTAGGCAGAATCACTTCCAGGTTCAAAATGAGTCATTGCATAGAACATTTGAATTGATAATTGCTTTCATCCGCTGCTATATCTTAAGCACGTGTTCGTGGTTGTCTGTGCACAAATAGAGGCAGTGGGCCCAGCGTGTTAGTGAGATCATCTTGGTGGTGAATCGGTAACCTCATTAATCAGCAGGAGGTTAACGTCTCTATTCGGTGGAGAACACAATTAAACTTGGCTCGGAGGTGTAACAAGAGTGTGCGATGTGTAGAGTACATGTGTGGGGCATATGTGTTGGCAAGAGTTAGAGAGAGAGAGAGAGAGAGAGGGGGGGAGAGAGAGACGGTGTGAGTGTGTGTGTTCGTACCTGACTGCATGCTCTTATGCATTTGCACATCACATGCACGTATGAACACGGTACTGTGGTTGTAAACCCTCTGACATATTTTATACGTCTATTGATCGACAGAAGTGTTTGATATTTCCCATCACTGATTTAAACAACATTTATACGATTGTGCTATATACCATTATCTGCATGCTATTGCTTTTTAAAAAATCAACAAGCAAATGATTTGATGCAAGAAAACATTAAAACAAATTAAAAAAATTCAAAATATAAAGTTTTACCAAAGAAATATTAACAAACAACAACGTCACTGGAAAGTGATCCGTAAATGCACAAATGACAAATTTACATAATTAGATCTCTGGTTTGTTTATGTACATACAATAGAATACAGTTGTGTAAAAAGAAATGAATGATGACCTGGACATTTTAAAACATATGAGGTATACAAGTAAAAACATGTACTGAATAAGGCTCTTCCATTCCGTAAATATCAGGCAAAAATGAAAAGAAACTAAAAGATGAGACAAATCAATAAAAAGGATAAATTCCACTCTGAGGCTTTATCCTTTTTAAAGTCAGCCTCGGAGCGTTGCAGACAGCTGACTACAACGATGGCTTTGCAATGGCTGATTAAGAGCCGTGGCCACTCTTTCATTTGGTCCTCTCGTCTGTGTGAATCTCACACTTGTGGGCACACTGGTAGTACTTCTCTTCCCTAAAAACCTACAGCTGATGACTGGTGGTATTTCATAGGTGGTGAAAAAGTATTAATATGGATTTCTTTTTTTTCTTCAGTTTTTCAAACATTTGTGCGTGCATTCTTATGTCCACATGTATACAATGCATTCTGTAGACATCGAATTAAAAAAAGGAGAAATAAAAACACATTCAAATAAAGGGTAAAATACCCTATACTGGAATGTACTTTAGAGATCCGAGAAACCAAGCATTCAAAGATCGTAGTGGAGTGGTCGGGTTGGGTGTCTTGATACACCTCATCTACCTCAGGAAGTGGTTTCATCATGGACAGATATCAGTATCTTTGATACAAGAAAAACCTATGAAAATCTATCTTATTCCTTTTTTTTTCACAATGTTGAATCAATATCCTTGCCAGATGTGCACTCCTCAGACACAAGTGATAATCCATTAGATTTCCTATAGAGGGCGCTGTGATATTTCCTTTATCGAGCTGTTTGAAAGAAGAGTGGGCCTTTTAGTGTCACACAGATCCCAAGGAGAAGGAAGGGGAGCGGGTCTTGAATCCTCCTTCCCCACCTCTCCTATGCTTCTCCACATCCCTATTATTGACCGTTGATGTCCTCCTGAAAAAAAGACAGTGAAGATTTGAATGTTAACAGAAATAAGTTAGCTGCACGATATTAAATTATCCAGAAAACACAAATAAATGCTGCAATGTAGAGTAAATCAATACAAATTAGAACCAAACAAATGTATTACATATATAAGAATCAAAATTAGCCTCCAAAAATATTTTCAATCGGCACTAGCAAGGACCTCACATAGACCTTCTGCAATATTTATGACTCAGTTTTTCCAGACTACTTTCCTTTACTTCCTGTAACACTCAGCCAATCACAGCCCTGCTGGTTTTGACCGTAATCCACAGGGTTGAGCTGGCTGGCCCTTTCTGCTCAGACACCCGACTGACTCTGGTTCATCTCCACACGCCTCCCACTGAATCCCGAGACTGACCACTTACACAAATATGACTTGACACAGCTACTGATATTAATCCAAGTGTCAACATAGACATCCAAACGGCTGAATGATAGACCTTCACTTAAATGAGCCACAACTTATTCCCGTGCAAGTCACGGCATGTGTTTTGACAGACGCTAAATAGAGTGCATTGAAATCCGCTTTATTTGCAGTTCTGCTCCATTGAGCAGAATTAGTTTGTTAGCTCATTCTATCATGTAATGAGTGATTCCTACCGTGAGTCATGATTCTGCGTGTCTGCTTGGGCTCTTTTCCCTGCGTGTCTGTGCGCGTGACATTAAAGCAAAGCCACAGTTAGCCTTCTCAGACTAATTATAGCCAAGTGTGCTCGGCCCAGATTATTGTGTGTGTGTGTGGAGTCAGAAGGTAAACCATCCTGGTTCCGACCTCCCTTGGTCTTGTCCTTACACCCCTGCAGCAGCCATTTCAAGTGTGTGTGACTTCGATAACCTGACACAGCAGCAAATCAGTCAAATGAAACGCAAACCAACAACACAACTACTCCAGCCATAATCCTGCAGAAACACACACACACCTGAGCATGTACACGTAATACACACACAGAGAGGTATGTGAATGGCTATAGTTACTTACAATTAGGCCAATAAGGCCTCAGACGTCTTGACAATCATCATTCTGGGACTCTGTCAAGGCCTCCACTTACTCTCAGGCCTCTCCGGCCCTTTGCTCATGTCCACCGTGCTGATGATGCAATCGCCTTTATCTAATTCACTTCAGTCGTGTCTGAGGAATGTCTGGGGAATTCCCTGCTGACAAGGCATCCTTTGATTCCAGCTCTGTCCAGTAATTGGAGGTAAGGGAAAGGTACAACGGATCAGTTAGAACACACGATCACCGTATGCTAATATAGCGTATGTAAATATGAAGCTGATAAAATACAGAATCTACATGCATGACAGCAATTTATGTTCACGGTTTGGAGCCTAAATAAAGCTAAAACTAACAACTAAAAAGGCAAATATGATCAGCAGTTAAGAGTTTAAAATGTTCATCATGCTTTAGTTGTACACAACAGAAGTGTCCCAAAAGTGAATAAACAAACATTGCATATTTAAATAGTTTTCTACACAAATGTTGTTTTCATTTGCTTAGTGGAGCTGGTGGCACAATATTTATCAGAAAGACAAGTCCAATGATGATGAGATGCTAATAAGATACTCACTGGTGCACGCAGGATCTGTCTCCCTCTATTCGTTAATGTGAAATTATTTATTGCAGTTCATAGGTTTTTCAAGTACAAAGTTATGAATCCATCTCATTTCAACTCTGCATAGCCTGAAAGTAAAGCACAGTTCATTCAAAATAAACAGGTGGAGCCATAAGCACATACAAATACTTACTGCATGGAAGCATTTAGATCCTCAAACCTAGCCGAAACCCAAAAAGGTTGGTGCACATGTCTGTAACTTCACTTAAAACTACTTTGCTTCACTTACCCTCATCTCTCCAGTTCACCACAATGAAGTGAATTTCTTTCCAAAGCCAGACAAAGCTACGAAAATGACAAAGAAACAAAGGGGATGATCAGACAACCACATAACTCAAGCCCATTCAAATTCCACTATCTCACAGAATTAATAGACTTTTGCATTAAAACTTGAGGATAAAGGATATTGAGGATAAATTTAAGTTTACTAGAGTAGAAGATATGTGTTTTTCAGTTTCTTAAACATTCATTTATTCATGACCGTACCATCGCCCAGTTTCCCTGCTTGTTCTGCTGCCCCTCCTTGCAGGATTTTGGTGAGAACATTTTCCCCTTCAGCGGGTGGTTGTCCGGCAGCGGCGCTGCCTATAGCTACGGGTTTACTACCGATCCCAACAGGGGCCTTGGACCCTGCAAACAACAAACACCACAACTAACACGTTTGTCGTTGTTTGCCCGTGGTTATTGAATGGTTTGTGGTAATGGTGGAAGACACTTACCAATGCCTACAAGAGGAGGTGTAGCTATTTTGGTGGGCTGAGTTGCTGTTGGGACTCCTGTTGTTGGTTTCATTCCAGTTGCTGCTGCTGCTGCTGCTGCTGGAGGAATAGCCTCCATTTTTGCCTTTCAAACAACAGAAAACGATATTTTGTTACAGGAAAAGTTAAATGTTCTAATATGTATTTATGATCAGGCTTATTTTTAAATGTAATCTTATGTTGTCATGTTTATAGTTAACCAAAAGGTTTCTTTGAAGCATAAAAACAACATCTAATGCTTCTTTTTTTCTTCTTAAGTGTTTTTAGAATCAACCTTTTATATTCAATATTTTATTAAACAAAAAACACAATACCGGATTTTTAAGCAGTGTAATAAAAGAAGATAGAAACCGTTAATGTGGAACAGTGAAACCAGAATTCGGTATACTCACTGTAGTAGCTGGTTGCCCTGCCACAGACCCTACTCCTGGCTGTCGTCCCAGTGGGGCTTGGCCAGATTTGGGTTGGGGCTGCGCCGGTCCAGCCCCCGCTGTGGTTGATGTAGGCTGGCTGCTCTGAGGGGTTTGGCTGTGCGGGAGGGGTTGCTGCTGCTGCTGTTGTTGTTGTTGTTGTTGTGGTGGTGGTGCACTCTGCGGATGTTGTTGCTGGGCCTGCTGGGTAACATCAAGTGGTTCAGAGCCTGGATGTCGCCCCGACTGGCCCGGACCACCTGACCGTTGCTGCCCAGCATGACCGTGAGAGGGCGGCTGCGGCTGCTGCTGCTGCTGCTGAGCTTTAGGCCCCGCTGTTGAGGGCTCCTGCCTTCTGGGTGTTGTGCGATCTCCTTGGGGTCTCTGGCTCCGTCCAGCCGTGCCGTGATGATGACCAGAGGCCGGATCCCGGGAGAAGTCCCCTGAGTTTCGGGGGCTTCCCTGGGCGGAGCGGGAGTCCGGACCATTCCTTCTCTGTGTAGACGAGGAGCCTCGGCCATCAGAGCGAACGGAAGGGTCTTTGGGGTGTGTTCTGGAAGAACGGGTTGACCTGGGATCCTCTGAGGTGTGGCGAGATGAGCTGTGTCTGCCAGAGCTGCCGCCGTGCGGACGGTGATCCCGTGGCGTTGTGGAGGAAGGATGGCGTTGTTGCTGGTTGTACTCATCCTGGGGACAGTATTCTTCCGGAGGTTCGTCATAATCATGGTATGTGTGTTTACTACGCCTACCAGTCGATGAGTGAACTCCGTGATGTCTTGAGCGATCAGAACGGGCTTCCCGTGGCTTCTCAAACCAATCAGTCTCCTCTTGGCCCAAATGATAGGCTTTTGAAACCAAAACAAACATTATCAGTCAATTGCTGTTGGTAGTGAGATGCATGCAGACTGAAGCCACTCAAAATAACTTGGGAAACATGCTCCACATCCCAGAGCCATGCACATTTTTAAAGAATCCAACAGAAAAAAAAAACGTAAAAATCAAGCGTGCAAAAACACATAAAAGAGGCATTATTGGCTTAATTCACCACAGGGAACATTCCATAACAAAAGACAAGATAAACAAAGTCACGTCACTCTTCTAAAAATTCCAAACTTGGCATGCAGTTCATTTCCAGCACATGCCGACGGTCGGAAGAACAAATGTTGCACAGCAAAAATTCAGCACCAGTTACCTTCACTGTCAGAAACAGCACAGTGCATGTCATCAACGAGGTAAGGGTCATCTGGTTTATAGACTTGACTCCTGGGCTGGTCCTTCTTGTGATGGTCCTGCACATCTGGCAACGAATGGCTGGAGCCATACTGGTTCCTCACATCATGGGCTTCTGGTATTCCAGAGCCTCCTCCCATGCCTACAGGCTTCCCAACAGGACTGATTGGACTCTCCTCTTCTGAATTCTGGCTGCGCATTGGAGGCCTTCCACTGCGACTGCTCCTTTGAGACCGCTCCATGGCGTCCCTTTCGTAGGATTTACTTCTGTGTCCTGTGGCATCCCTTGAGGATATTTTGTCCATACCATATCCGGTAGACCTGGATCTGCCAGAGCTGTACATGCGGTCCTCCTCCTCAAGACCATCACGACTGGTGCCGTAATATTTTTGTTGGTCATATGTATTCTTCTTTATCCCGTAGGTGGCATCGTCCTGAAGCTTCTTCGATCTTGACACGACTGTACAGCTGCCTCCTGTTGATGTTGTCATTGTGTAAGAGGCCAGGTCAGACTCCACGTCCCTTGCTTCCTCAATAGGGGAGAATTTAGAAATCTTCTGTTCCATTCCCTGCTTCCTGTGCTTACTACGTTTAGAAGAGACTACAGCAGGGGCAAGGTTCTTGGGTGCAAGTTTATGGCTACTGGAGCCGCTTCTTGATGGGTGTTTATAATCATCATAGTAGTAGGAGGAGCCCCCACTCACTGTGGTGCTTGGGCGACTGTCCACTGTATTCTGGTACCCTGTTGTTCCACTAGGTCTGCCATAGCCATCCACGGGCTCATCTTCAGGTCTACTGTAAGCACTCCCACGTGCAGGACCATTCTCATTGCGATACCGCCCTCCCACAGGATGGCCTTGAGCATCCGTAGATTGGCTGGCGTTATCTTTTGTCAACTCACTGATGTCATCAATCATGACATAGTTTCTAGGAATATTCTGCTCCAGGTTAGAGGCATATACTCCATCTGAAGAATAAGCAGATGGGGGACTCTCCACTGAGTGAGGAAGGCCGTGCTCCGGGGGGCGATACTGTCCATATGCGTTGCTGTAGACTGAGCCAAAGTTGCTATCTGGAACTGATGTGGCCACTGACACTGCTGGGTTGCTAATGACTTCATAGTTTGTGGGGAGTTTTTGCTCTAAGTCAGCCAAAGAGGTTTGACGTGGTCTTTGATGGACTGTTAGGATGTCTGCCTGGGGCTGGTAGGAGAGAGCAGGTTGGTAGGAGCTGTGGCTGGGGTAAGGAAGGTTCTGGCTAGGCATTGGCTGACCAGAGGGATGGAAGCCCTGATTACCATGCTGCTGCATACCAAGGTCTGTCTGGTAGGACGGCTGGGCGTACATGCGATTGGAATAAGTTCCCTGGTTCTGGTAGCCAGGGCCTGGTGGGGGATGGGGCTGGAATGTTCCTGGCTGGGGAGCTGAGGACGAAGGGTATTGAGGAGGTTGGAAGCCTATCTGTTGGTAAGCAGAGCCTGGCTGCTGTGTTGATGGCTGAACTTGAGGGTATGGGTAAGACATATAGGATGAGGTTGAGGGATACTGGGAGGTAACATTGAGGTCGTTTGCAAATTGGCTTAATGGTGCAGTGCTGGGCCTCGTTAACAGACTATTAGCATCGAAGGTTCCTGTTGCAGCTACCATCCTGAGGTTATTGAGCTCACTGTCTGACATGTAGTCCCGAGCATCACCCATACATCTCATGTAAGCAAGCTCTCTCCTTTCCCTATCCTTTACCATGGTCTCCTTACGTTGGGTGATGCCTAGCTCCAAGTAACGTAGCTTGGCGTCAATCTCTTTCTCTTCTTCCTCCAGTTCAGCCTGCTGCTTTCGAAGCTTTGATGACTCTTGTTCCACAGCTTTCAGTTCACTGAGCAGGCCAGCCTTCGTGACTCCCTGGGCGGGTCTGGGTAGGACCCTCTGTGGCATGCCGGGGGAGCTGTACATTTGTGCTGGAGTAACAATGGGGAGCGAAGTCTCCTCTGGAGGGGGGCTTGGGAGAGTCCTCTTTATTTTCCTCATCAGAGCGTTCTGCTGCTGCTGCAGAGAGGCCATCTGCTTGGAAAGGCAGAGACACATCAGCAAACATTGAGCTATAAACAGAATGTGTTTATGTAAATTAGACTCATTACTGTACACTGGGTACTCACAGAGGGTCTGCACATTTCTTCATCCCTAGACCTAAGTGAAAAGCTTTCCAGCTTGATATGTTGTCAGACTAGTTGGTTAATTAGCGTATGTACTGTAGGGCCGTTAGCTCCATCAACTGTTACAAGGTTTGCGAATATTGCAAAATTACAAGAAAAGGTAGACTTTATTTTTTATTCATTTGTAATAACCCGTAACATTCATAGCATTTATACTGCAATGGTTTACATTTGAATGATCTCTCTGCAGTAATATCTAATGTTGTAAATGTGGGATCCATGAATTTCAGAATAATTCTAAATCGGAATGAAATACGCAACAAATGAATGCGTATTTCAATAGCTCAGTAAATGTAAACATCATCAAATGGTAAAAACAACATGCTAAATCCAAGTCAAAGAAGCAATATGGTTTTGACTTGCTTGATTCAATTTAAGTCTGTTTTAGAAATATGTTAATTCTCCCTCTTCTTCTATGATCAAACATCCACTGGAACTGGCCTTTTTTCACATTGCTCGAAATGGCATGCAAAAGTCAAACATACTGTATAAACTAGAAATAACCACACAACTTAAAAAATACATTTCTGCTAGTCTAATACTTACAAAATAGTCGTTTTGGGTAGATCCATAAGTATCCATAAGAGAACCATGTATGAAACACTAACGCTTAACATCACACGGTGTCTTAAATGCCTGAAATAAGATGTCTATGTTTCCTCCTCAGACAAATGCCAAAGTGCAGCGCGGTGTTAATTTATTTTGACCAGCTGCTAACAATCAAAAAGACTGCAAATCACCACCACGATTCATCCACACACTTTGTCCCCTTGGCAACTCTTAAGGGGTTGCTGGATATAGACTATAAGACACAAAGGAAGAGTGAGGGAAAAAGAGAGACAGAGAGACAAGAGAGAGAAAAAAGAGAGGAAGACAGGGAGAAGTAGGGACGGATGGGGAAAATGAAAAAAAAGAGTAGAAAAGAGAGAAGGTAGGGCAGGAAATGCTGCCAAACAGGATGATGAGAAATACTTTTCTGCCATGGCCAGCTGCCCTCATGAGAACATTCTGTCACCTTCTCGATGCCAGATACTGTGATCCACACACAGTATATCATGCAGATGTTTTTTTTGCATTTTAGTTTTTTCACTCAATTAATTGACAAATACTAACTCAATTTAATGCTTCTTGGACGCACCCACGGCACTTCTCTATGTGCTAACTGGATCAAACCCATTGAATAAAATGTTTAAGCGCAAGAGTGGTGATCCTTCATAGTGTCAGTGTGATCTCCAATACAAGTAATGTTTGTATATATTGTATGAAAAATAAATGCATGTCTCAACAATAACAGAATAACAGAGATCTCATGCAAACTTGTATGGTATTCCAAAAACAATGTATATTTGCAGCAATATACTCACATCTTCCTGGGGGTCCAAAACATTTACTTATTCTGAATACTTTTCCCTTTGATATGTATACATATATATATATTATAGGAAAAGTAATGGTTCCGTACCTGACTGTTGGAAACAGCTTGCTGATGATATGGGGAGAACCTGTTCTTGGCAGGGTCCTCTGATGTGGGACTTAGAGGCTTGGGATCCGACATGGAGCGCTGCACACTTTTAATGGGTCTTGGTAGGGTCTGGTGACGTTGGGGGGATTCAGTAGTAAAAGCTTTCTGCTGAGGTGTAACGTGGGCCTTATTGAGTTTCTCCTGGGAGGCAAATGTTGTCTCCAGCATGCGATGAGGAGACAATGGAGATACGGGGGAGTATAGCACCTGGGGAGATTTGGGGGGCTGTCGAGATGGAGACTCATTTTGTTGATATCCAATTTCCAAGGGGTCTGGTTTCCTCCTCTCAAACTTAACTACTCCTTGGTGTCTAGGTGAGGTTGGTTCTGATGCATTTGCACCTACTATATGCAGACTTGTTGAGTACGGATTAATAGTTGTAGGGACACTTAGCTGAGGGGCGACAACACCATGAAACTGAGACTCTGGTTCGGTCTGGCAGGCCAAACTCTCTCCTTTGTTGGTCCTTTCCGGGGCTGCTATGTAATGTAACAGGTCAACCTTTGAGGTCTCTGCCATTGTAATGTGGATTGCAGGAGAATTCCTGCTTAGTTGGTCGGGCTCTGTTTGGCATGATGAATCATTTGTGGTCTGAATGGCTATACTTGCAGAAGCCACTTTAGATGACCCTTCTGATTTAGCCTCCCCACTGGACTCAGAGTGCTTGGAAACACGGGATCTCCTGCGCCTTACTGGCTGCTGCTCCCATTCTCCCTGGTCCTCCTCATCAGTTTGCACACTGCTGTCGGCAATCCGCCGTGTTCTTCTACGCCTGTTCATGAATCTATCCTCTCCATCTTCATCATCTGTTTGCACACAGCTGTCTGTAATCTTTCTCAGAGAGTCGTCCTCTGTACCATCCCTCAGACGAGGCATGGAGTTCTGCTTTTTCATCATCTTGGAATCAGTCTGTTTGTCACTGCTTCTCAAAGACATTCAGAGGCAGAACTATGAATGGGTCGAGCAGCCACCATAGCCTGGACCACTTGTCCGTCCTGCCAAAATTGAACGCTCTGTCCATCTTGTTGAATAACTCTACCACTCTGGTCACAAATGATAAACCCCTGAGGGGGCGCTGTACCAACAACCACCCCTTGTTTAGCACCTTGGGCAGTAGTGGCTGCTGCTGCCGCCACTGCCGATGCGGCGGCTGCCTCTGCTGCTGCAGCAGTAGCTGCTGCTTCCACTGCAGCTGTCTTTTGTCTTTTTTGCTCCTCCAACTGCTGCTGGAGCTGGTGCTGCAAAGACTGAATTGTTCAAGCTGCATTCTCTGCTGGGCCAGTTGTTCTCTTTGCATAATGAGCTGTGTCTCCCGCTCTGTCTGCTGTTGGTGTAGGACTGCTGCTTGATCGTCTGGAGCTCTTGAATTTCACGCTGAACAATTAGTTGTTCTTTTTCTCTGTGACGCTGAAGCTCCACACGATCTCTTTCAAGCTCCTCGTGCAGGCGCAGCTGGCGTAATTTCTCCAGTTCTACGCGCTCTCGCTCTAGATTCAGCACATGCTCTTGTTGTTGACTGAGTCTTTCATCGTCTTTACTTTTCATTGCATCCACGGGAGGAGAAATTGCAGAGCTCGGCGGTAGGGCAGCGCCGTGGACTGTCCCTTGGGGCTGACCCTGTGGCAGAGCTAATGGTTGAGGTTGACTGATGGGTTGAATTTGAGGTTGGGTTTGAGTCAAAGATAAAGCTTCTGTTTGAGCAGGTAACTGTTGTGGCTGCATTTGAACCTGCAATGGCTTAACAGTTGGAGGTTGGCCTTGAGCTTGAGAGAATGGAGAAACACTCTGCGAGCTAAGCTGTGTGTGGTCTGTCTGTTGATTTGCGGGGTTTTGCATACCAGTTGCTAGTACATTTTGTGCTCCTAGCTGTGCTGCATGTTGGGTTGGTGGAATGGTTGCAACTGTTTGAGCAGAAACTGTTGTTATGGGCCTTCCAAGGTACACAGGAGTTTCCTGGTGGGAGCTGCTTGCTTCAGGCACACTTCCTGATGGTGTGGCTGAAGTAGGATACTGGTTTGGAGTAGGGTAGGAATATGGCCCCTGTGTGGATAAGGGCATTCTTGGAGTCACTTGAGGCAACCTGGTAAGGCTAGCCAATGGTACTGCAGTTACACCTGTCGGGTATGGTCTGTAAATTCCTCTTGGTACGGGATGCAGGACTGAGGAAGGCTGGGTGGTAATTGGCAAGGTGGAGGCTATGGGAGTGTTGATGGTGGAATATATCATGCCATCACCTCCTCTCATAGCAGCAGGGTACAAGGCGCGTATACTTGCTTGTCTAGCATTTATTAGGTTAGTTAGTGTTTGGCCATTTGCTGTAGGTCTTCCATCTGGACCATACAGTAGGTTCGCTCGAATTGTTGCTAAGCTTTGCTGGAGATTTAACCTACCTAAAGATCCAGCCCTTCCTGCCCCATATGGTAGAAGTTCAGGGATATTTCCATACCGACTCCCAAACTGGTCCCCAGAGTTTAGAGCTGCACACATGCGACTGATCTCCCTTGCAGTGGTTGCACTATATTGAGCCAGATTAGAGTCTTGTGATCCTGTTTGGTCACGTGAATTGTAGACATAGTCGGAATTGATATTTGACATGGAGCCATATCGGCGAAGGGGTAATGAAGGACCAGTGATATCTGCTTGCTGACGCAAATCTGTGTAAGATCCATATTGTGCTCCAATGCCAAGGTAGCCACCATCATAAGCCTGATTCATGCTGCTAAGATCTACTGCCAGACCCCCCTGAATGTTAGTCTGATAGTGACCAGCATCAGTCACGGAGGGAAGATTACTGTCAGACATGGAAGGCTGAATTCTCCCTGAGGAGCCCACAGGTGGTAGATATGGTTTATGTTCCTCTGTTACTCTTTGTGTAGGTTGAGGCTGATGTTGTTTTTGCTGTTGTTGGATGATATTGTAGTGTGGTGGATGGGGAGGGTAAGCGGCTTGAGAGGATTCAGGGGTTGGGGTTTTATCTGATGATATCGTTGGAGGCTTCTGATTGAATGACCCTGAACAGGAACCAGCAAAGGGCAATTTGTAAACAACATCACAGCAAGCCACCTGGTTTTCTGGTTTGATCTGTCCAGTGAGATCCAAGACCTGAGGAGGAAGAGGGGGTTCCTCTTTAACAAGCTGAGTCACTGTACCCCCATGTGATGGTTTATTTTCATCAAGTTGTACCATCATGACATGGGGCTTACCAGTGGACAAGTTCATTACTGTTGGCTTGTTTTTCAGTTCTAAGGCAACTCCACTATAGACCTCAAGGGGAGTGTTAGAAGCTGGAGCTCCAGACACTGGTGGTGGAACCAAGGGGGATACTCTAGGAATGGCACTAGCAGTCACTGCAGGCTGGCCACTACTTGTCTGGCTGACTACAAGGTCTTTTTTCATTAGGGTTGGCTGGACCTGATTAGCTAAATTGTAACGTGCAAAAGAGGATTGCTGATGGTGCTGCTGGAGCTGCTGCTCAAGAAGCTGTTGCTGCTGCAGGAGCTTCTGCTGCTGTAGCTGCAGTTGATGCTGTTGTATACCCAGATTCTCCAGACAGGCGTCAATTTTTGGAATAGATGGGTCTGTAATGGGAGGCTTGTTCTGGGATAAACACACAGCTGATCCAACACCCTGCCCCAAATCCACACGGTGTTGCAAAGGATCTCCATACACAACTTGATGCTTGGGTTGGGACATGAACATAGATCCTGCAACCGTGACGCTGACCGTAGTGGGTGTTGATACGGATATGTACGGTTGCTCTTGTGCATTCAGGTTCATAATAAGAGGTTGCACCGCTGTGTGTCGACCAGATGGCTGCTCTGCTCCTAAAGAGTATCTCCTTGCATCAGAGGCAAGAGATGTTAGGTCCATTCCCTGATCCGTCATTATAATTGGAGCAGGCCTCACTGGAGCTCTCAGATCCACCACATTAGAGATTTGATGTGTTTGAACCTTGACCCCACAACCCATTGAGGAGCCTGAAATATTGAAATTTTACACAGAGATATGTTTTCCCATAGTCTCACGACTATGTGCAGTTGGAGTGACAGTACCCAATCTGTGAAGAATGTTTAGGAGACTGTTGTGATGGATGCATTTGTGGTGATGTTGGGGAACTTGTCGAAGAGGGCTGGGTGCTATACAAGGTTTTACAACTGACCTGTGTTGGTGATGACAAAGGGGAAGTGGAAGAATTAACAGTCAATGGCTTGGCGGGACTGGTTGTGTCTGAGGCTAGAGTTATCACCATAGCTGGCGAATCACGAGAGGACTGTTGCCGTGCTAGACGCGGTGAAGTTGCTCTTTGAGGTGCCTGAGCTCCATGGGATGCTGTAGCTGATGTGGGACCACCAGGTAAAGATGGCAGCTGCCTGCCACTCCCACCAGTGGATCTCACAGATGACATATGCGTTGGGCTTTGTGCTGGAGAAGCATTGGGAGATACCGGGGGGCTGGGCCCTTTGAATAGGGAGAAGACTTTGGAGGTTAGGGAGGATGCTGCAGAGTCAGGTGATGCCTGTGTTGGTCTATGGGAGCCTCCTCTGTTGCCACCAGGCACTGTGCTACCTGCCTGTCTAGTTGTGGCAGTCTGACTGACTTGGGCTTTTGTTGTGGCAACTCCAACAACTCCTTCAATTTTGGCACTCTGTGTCATCATCCTATTTTGCGTTTCTTTAGATAGGTGCTGTGCTGCATGCATTCCTGGAATTCTTGGATCACTCCCTGTTGTGGGGAAGGACATAGGGGCGGTAACCTGTGTTGGGCTTGAGCCAGGCGTCAATACAGTTCCTGCTGCTTCAAGGTGATGTTTACTGTCCGGCTGAGAGGTACCTTTCTGCCTCTGCATGAGCTGTGCTTTCTTCATCATCTCCTCATAGACCTCCTCTGCACTTTTTAAAGTTTTATCAGATGGTGATATCAATGATGTCTTTTCTGTGGGGGAGTAGAGTGACGTGAAGGTTGGAAGGTTATATTCATTTCCAGATTTGTAAAGCTTTCCACCAATCATCTCAAAGCCCTCTGCCTCTGAATCCATAGATGGTGAGTATTCAGAACATGATGATCTGTGAAGCTCCTCCATCTCTGCCGCCTGCCTCAGCTCCTCTGTTGGCGATGCATCTTCAATGGGTGAGAGATTACTGGGGGGGGTTTTGGATCTTTCCCTGCGTCTTTGTGCCCGTAACTCCTCTTTATCCCTCTTTGTTTTTCGAGCGGTACTTCGTATCCTTTGTTGCTCTAAATCTCTCATCTGCTCTTGTTCTCGAAGAAGTTCTTCCTCCTCTCTGAGCTCATCCTCCTCAGACGAGTCTTCGATAGTGGGCAGCAGGGGCCCATGCGACCGATGTCGAGCCTTCCTCTGCTGCTTTGCCTCCTCTAGTCTTGCCCTACGACTGGGGCTGCTGTCACTGTCGTCCTCCATGGAGGACACAGACGTGGGCGATGTTCCAGAGGTGTAGCTGGGTGTGGTGGCAGGTAGGGTGGATGAATAGTCTCCCTTGGAACGCTCTTCAGGAGAACCAGTCAAACTTTCCATCTCTAGCTCAGGTTCTCGTAGGTCATGTTCGGTGCTGAGCTCCATGTCTCGGTTGTAGCTGTTTGTGTTATTCAGCTCAATGGTCTTAAAACGGCGAAGGCCACCGGCCATTACTACATCTTCCTCTTCATTTGCCTCCGTTGGCTTGGTGTCCTCCTCAAAACTATTTGATTGGTGAGCGAGTCGTCGCCTCTCCTTGCTTAAATCCCCACCAGTTTTATGTACCCTTTTACTTTTCTGGTTTCCGTGTTCTTCCATCTCCTCTTCATCCGCACTCATCTCCAGGATTTGCCTCCTCATGAATTCCTCATCGGTTAAATCTTTATGTGACTTCTTCTGTCTTACTGGCAATGGGGACAGACCACTTTCACTGCTGTCCTCGACATAATCGTGGCGAAGCTTACAACTGAGTTCATCTTCTGATTCATCCCTTGCTGCCTCGTCATCAGGATTGTAGTCCCGGCCCTGTCCGACAGACAGTGAATGTGGCCTGTGTTTCTGGTCTGAAGTCTTAGACTCTAGTAGAGGCTTCATTGAGCTCTCAAGCTTGGTGATTTCCGAGGGGATGGAAGCCCCTTTTTCACTGAGCTGGATTCCTTCTTCCCGGATCTGTCCTGTTATCTCCCCATGACAGCTCGAGATCCCATCAGAGGAGTATCCAGTGTCACTTAGACTCGTACTTGATTTATTGTAATCCTGTGGAAAGAGAGAACGAAAGGGAGAGAGGTTAGAAGCTAAAAAAGGAATTCATTAAAGTAAAGTACCTTCATGGTGTGGTCTATTACAAGCCCCAGCGAACACCTTGTATCCCACTGTTTCATCAAACTTATCAGGACTGACATTCTCATGAACATTTCTAGGTAGCATCGAATGAAATTACTGCACAAGACCTGATACAATTCAAACTGTATCTAATTCTAGATACCAGAGAATAATTACATTTGAGAGAATAAATCTTCAATTGGACAACCAGACATAGTAAAACTTGAGGCTAAAATCAACCCAAATATTGTCCTTTGGTTTTGAATGTGAAGCAAATTTGACTTTGCATACATTTACCACCAAGCACCATTTATACATTTATCAACATGAAAAGAAAAAAACTTCTAATCTAATCTTTGATCATACTATTAATTTGGGTTGAGTTTGCCTGTCAAAGTTACATCCACACAGATGAAGAAATACACTGACACACTGAGTGAATACAAAAGACAGTTAAACATACAAACAAACAGACAAATTTCATTTAGTCACATGCTTTATAGTAATCTTTGATGCATTCTCCGTTGCATTCTTCGAATCATGGAAGAATAACGAACATGCTTAGAATGCCTGAAATATCACCAATAAGTATCATAGTAAACAAAAAGCTTGCATTTGGTACAAATAAATCAAAATTTACAAAACCAAGCAGTGGGAATGGCCACAGAGAAAATGGTGATGGTTATGATGATGATGATAAGCACGATGGTGATAATGAAGATCATGGTGATTGTTCAGTTGGCGATGATGATAAGGATAATGATGGTGTTGATGAGGATTATGATATTTTTATAATAGTGACCATAGCAGGTTTGATGATAACAACAACTAACTACGTTCCAAGTGAATGATCACGATTGAATTGAACTGATGATTATGAAGAAGAAAAAAAGATCAACAAAAATAACAAAACAATCATGTTTAGTACAAAAATAATTATAATAATTATGAGAAGAAATATGAAAAGAAACGAGAGATAGATAATTACAATGTTATTGCCCCAATCGGGATGTGAAATGAGCGATTAAAAGGATGATGATTTAATGATAATGTTTCTGAGAAATAGTTACAATTATTTGAATGGAGCAAAATCATAAAATAAAAAACTGAATCAAGAGTAACACGTGAAGGCGAAGAAGTTGCAGGTAGCTCACTTCATGGTGTCTTGACTTCTGTGTATCTTCAGCTATCTTCATGTCTTTGGTCGAAGTGATAGTCTCTGATAGTATCTTCTTCGGGGAGGCCTTGACGTCTTCTTTTACAGTTTTGGATGCGACTTTGGCCTTCTCCTGGGGCTGTTTGCGGCCCTGGTTGTTACCTGTGGGTTTAGACTGAGCAGGTGTTGTTTTTGATGGGGTGGGAGAGGCCTTGGCATGGTTGGGTGTGGCTTTACCAGGGGGGGCCTTGGCCCCGGGAGGATGAGAAGGGCCCTTAGTCTGAGCAGATGGCTGAGCAGATCCCTTTGTCTGAGTGGGCCCTTTGGCCTGGCCCTGGCCCTTCATTTGGTTAGAGGACTGAACAGGGCCTTTACTCTGACCTTGTGATTGATTAGGACCTTTGCTTTGAGGTCCCTTACTCTGAGCTGAGGGTTGTGATGGACCCTTAGTTTGGGAAGGTTGTTGATTTGGACCCTTATTTTGGGAACCGGGTTGGGCAGAGCCCTTGGTTTGAGGGAGAGCTTGGCTGGGCCCCTTCGTATGAGGGGCAGGTCCAGCATGTTTCACAGGAGAGACAGGGCCACTTACTTGGGGACCCGGTGGTTTCTGTTGTTGTTGAGGACCTGTGGGCCTAGGCCCTAAAAGCTGATTTGGCCCTTTCTGCTGAGGTGGTTGTTGATTGGCTGTGGCAGGTGGCCGGGGGGATCCCAAAGGCTGTGCAACAGGAGCTGCAGCATCTCCCAGGCTTCCTGACAGAGCCCTCTGCGTCTGGCAGTTCAAGCACAGCCATTCTTTCTTCTAAAAGACAAGCACAAAGAGAAAAGGAAAAAGAGTTATCTTAGTGTCACCTGGATCCAATAGAAACAATTGAAATGGTCAGTAATCTGTCGACAGTAGCCTCAACATTGAAGTTCACTTTGAGAAATTTAAATCAGAAAGTTGTGGCTTTAAAAGCGGTCATGGGATGTTAAGGACTTCGTATAGTGAGTCTGAACAACTAGAATTGAAAATTTGAAAGCCTGTCCAAACAAGGCCTTTGATCTCTTGGTGAAGGCTTAATCATTTGACTACATTAAGCACTCTCAAGCAGGCTGCACAGAGGAAGGGTGCCGTGGGAATGCCTGTTATTAGATTGGAGGAGCGCAACTGGCATTTGACCTTTTATGGAGGTTACGGAGGATGCTGAGTTTTGTAGGATTCTATAGCAATAGTTATATAATCAGACACTGCAAAAAAATCCCATCAAAGACGTGTCCCATCATAAATTCTACTATATTTCCATTAAAATAGAAAGGGTTCATTTCATGTCAATGCAGCGGAGAAATGAAACTGCCTCATGGATAGAAATGAACATATTACAGGTAATAAAAGCTGGAAAGAGAAGTGGCGGTGCCACTCAGACAGAAATATAATCAACCTCATAAATACCTTTGCTGCAAATAACCACCTGTCAATAAATAATAACTTTGTCACTAAAAAGCTCAATAGAGAAGACAACATGTTCTGAAACAGCAAAAGAACAAGAAACAATGCAGGTGTTCAATGACTGTATCAGAAGACACCTTTACTGCTGATCAGTCAAGATGCAATAGAAGGTTGCAAAGAAACGATTCATTATTTTCCAAAGCCATTAGATTCTGCTGACACTGCCACAGGTCTGACATGAAGGTGAGTTTTTCAGTGCCTGAAGGAAATAAATAACTGAGAAAAGCTATAAAGCTATAAAACAAGAGATAGATGGAGAGTGACATTTAGTCAGCAAAAACCCTCTTAAGACACAAATAGGGATCTCAATCCGAAAACCCCAGTGAGTAGAGCTTGACAGATACGTCTCCAGTGTTTTAAGTTGTCTTTGTGACTTCACACTTAATCTGTGTAGGGAAATTGATCAGGGTCTGTGTGAGTGCGATATTGATTTATTCGTTTCATCTCAGGGTTACTTGTGAGTTCTCTGCAGTCTTTTGTGGAAAACAGTTTGACTAACTGGGCACAATGGACAGTGGATGCAATCTATCACAGGCCGATTCTATTGTTTTCTTAGTAAAACAGATTTGTGAAGGCAAAATAATGTACAATTAATGGTTACCCGCTACCGGATGTGGGTGGTAGACAAAGCTAGAGCTGAAATACAACAGAAAAGGGTGGGAAAGGTTATAACAGAGAATAAAGTAAAATTCATGATATTGCAATTGCAATTTTTTTCATACTCGTTTAATGAGCCAAGTACTTTCTTAATTCATTGATTGAGTTAAATAATCAAATCTGAAAGCCTGAGACCATCAAATGTTTGTCATTACTGGTTAGACGTTGAGACTTTTTCACATGCTGCTGTGTGGTGCTGGTCATGTAGCTTGAAGATATCTTGAATACCCAAAACTGCTGCCTGTCGTGAGAGAATCAGCTGCTCTGGATTACTGTAATGTGAAAAATTGTGATCAATCCAGCTTTGGTACCGGTGGATTACAGCTGTTTTTCATACCTCAATGAGGCCCTCAGGCAACTTGAGTAGCAAATTATGCAGCTCCCTCATTTAGAAATCATGAATACTGCAAAAATATGTACTTCATTCTATTTTTTGTCTCTTTTATCTTTTTAATGACTGTTTTTCTTTTATATCTCAATCAATGTTCTTAACTGTTTTTAAATCCCCTTGCTTCATGTTTGGATGTTTTTAATGGTTTCACGTGAAGCATTTGGAATTGCCTGGATGTTGAAATGTGCTATACAAATAAAATTGCCTTGCCATGCCTCAATTAAGGACATCGTTGTTACACTTGGCAAGTTTGAAAACCTTTCAAGGAACAGAACCCACAATGACCACCTTTAAATTATTGTCACTCACTTAATAAAGGAACGTCCCTAAATACAATAACCACCAGAAGCAAATGTAATCAAACTTAGTATAAAGAAAGATATAATGGCTACATTTTAAATTGATGAGGCTATTTTTTCATTCGGGATCAAATCTTCTATTCTACAGGGATCTGCAGGGTTTTCTCAAAGGAGACCAGGAAGCGAGGATGGAGCGACTGGCAGGACAAACACACAGACTCGCTTTGTTTTCATCTCTCTCAAGTGCACTACTGAGAAGCTATATATAAACAGGTGCCGTACTCTCAGAACCAGCCATCTGTGCAGGTTCTTTTGCATGTAAAAAAATGTGCAGAAATGTCAGAGACAAACGGCCGTGTGCTTGTGAACAGCGAGTGCACGACGGGGGGGACGGAAAACCACTGAAGCGACATTAAAAACGGGGAGGAGATGCAATGCGCGTGCACATGTGCATGCATGCAATTACATAATCAACCAATCTAAATAAATCTGACAGTCTCAGGAGTTTTTTTTTTTTTTTTTTTTATCACTTCAAACACTCACATTTGCCTAACTATTTTTTAAGCACGTTCATAGATGAATTATATACCTAAATTAGGTACTACAGAGAAGATTATTTTTTCTTGATGGAGCCAAACTCTTTGCTCCTGAGTCAGCAGAACATCACTGCGTGGGTTGAGAGGGAGTGAAGAGCAAGGCCAAACCAGAGCTGGGAGTAGCAAATTATTCATGCAGAGTGCTCTGGCTTGTACAGCCTTGTGGGCCGTGTTTCCCACCTCTGCCCACACGGTGGAGGAAATGCAGGTCCGTGAAAAAGACAAAGCGTCTCCAAGACAAGCCTTCAATGCTCTCTGAAAACAGAGCAACCAATTCACTGTGGAAAAGCCCCTCAGCTTGATACAAATAAAACAGATAAAAACTAAAGCGATAGAAAAGGGAATGTGTTGTTCTACTGTACACGTGTGTGGTAGCATTGTCCTCAGTTGGTTCGTCAGATCATCTCATCTGAGCTGGTAACCTCATTAAATGGCAGGAGGTTAACCTATGTGCTAATGTGAGAGTGTATTTAACCTCGGCTTTGAACTGTAACTCAGATGCGGCCGAAAAGACTACACTGACTGTAATCTATGACTGAAGTATCTGGCGTTGGCTCTTTCCCATTGCTGCATATAAAGAAAGCGGCTTTCAGCATCTAGTTTGAAGACATTCTGACGGAACACATGCTTTATTTACACTGTAGCTTCCTGACAGTCTCTAGTCTCACCAGTGCAGCACGTTATTTGCTCTTAGATTTTGAGAATCTGCACCTCACTCCTGTTTAGTTACTGTGGAAATAATCTGTGTGTGAATCTGTGAGAACTCAGCGCAGTGCAACCTTAAAAAAAACATCATATTCACCGTAACAAATACAGAAAGGCTGACTACCCACACAAGGTGTTGAAAGTGTAAGAGTGTATCCGCACCCTTCCTACTGAACAATGGCGTCCGACAAGGTGGAATACTGTCCTCTGTTTTGTGACGCTCGGATGTGCGCTGATGACTTAGTGACCCTGTCTCCTTATGGCTCCGGTTTAAGGCAATTCGCCATAGTTTGCTCACGGTATGACGTGCAGTGTGGCATTAAGTTCAACAAAAAAAAGAGGCTTGTCATAGTTGCTAAAAAAAACAATGAAGGCCGGAAGCCCATAGTTCCTGCGTTTTGTATGGTAGGCCAATGCTAAATGTGGTGCAAAAGTCACATCAAGAGGAACAATCCAAGTAATGACAGTGTGCAGCGTCAGAGGAGCAAACTGTACCCACAAGGCAATATGCTGGCACGTATATTATGAAGTTAAAACGGCTCTCTTTAGAGCCTACTGTACTACTCTATATCGGGCCGCATGTTATAGCAAGGATTCAAGGGGCATTTAATGATGCTTTTAGAATGTTGGCCAAGCTCTCGCAATGGTTAAGTGCAAATCGTATGTTTGTGACCCCTAATGTTCCCGCCTCTCATGCTGTGTTGAGGAATTTTGTATTTAAATTCAAATGTCGATCAGAAAATGTCATCATAAAGGCCTTAACTGATCCAATGATCCAGTCAAACAAGGAATTCTTCATGTTCTTGACAAATATCTGTTTGTGTTTCTTTCTTTGTATTTGTCTCTTTTTGTATGCATGTCTACAAATAGCAAATGTGAATTCTGCTGACAAGGTACCATGAAGAGTATTGAGAGAACAGTAAGTGAGTGAAACTGAATCTATCATGAGAGACTCGGGTGGATAGTCTGCAGTGTAGAGATGCTCCGGTTGGCTCACAGCCGGAAAAGCTGCCCTTTCACTGTCAAAATAATGAGGGATTGAACACTGCAGGTTACCACACGGAAAAGGTCAGAAAGATTGATCCCATTCTCATAGATTGATCCCACTCTCAGAGGAGCTTGCTGAAACATTACAGTCCGGATCACTCATGCGTGTGTGTCTGTATGTGTGTGCGCACTAGTACATGTACCTGTGCATTCGCCCATGTCTGTGAAAGTGTGTTGTGTTATAAATTCCCCAAATCATCAAGTAATGCAGCAAGCAAATCAGATTAATTACGCTGGCTGCTAACCCCCTTATGACAAGCCAAGCTAAAGGCCGGTATGCAAACGGCAAATTAAAAGTCTTCCGATGGGGCTCGATTTGATTAAAGAATGTACCGACCCAACTACTTTTACTGTCTCTCTTAATTAGGAATGATCCATTGAAAGCATAATGGTAAATGTAATGAGCAAGAAGACCAAGAAGAAGTAGATGTAGAAGTTGAACTGTGCACAGTTCAACTTCTACATTTGAGAGCTACAATACACAGTTTTGTGTCATTAAACAACTCGATGAGTGTTAGAAATCAACACCATTTAGTGTTAAAAATACACTTACGCGTGTCTTTGAACAACACTAAAATCTGCAGGATGGGGCTCAAAGGAGGATTCAACTGTTTACTT